GCCTTCGAGTCCTTTGTCAGCTTTTTTACATGTAAACACCACCTGGGTGTCATCACTTGTTGGCACGCTGTTGAAAGAAAAAGCAAAGGAGCACCAAATATGATGAAATGTATGCAAATGTCCATGCTATTCACTATAAAGGACTTAACGAAATTGTTGAGACAGATATAGTTAGTCAGAGAAGCTAATGGAATTAGCAGCACACATCCCAAGCATCTGTTTGATGTCACTAATGATATGTCCAGGGATCTGCCATGTGCTATTGTTTTGATCGCCTATAGATGTATGCCTGCGTGATGTGATAAACGAGTGGACAAAATCCCCCGCTCTGCTTCTGAAACTGGACCATTAATGTCAATCAAGTGGACGGCTGCAGCTAGCCGGAGGCCCTCAGCTCGCACACAGGACGCTGGTCCCCACAGTCTCATGATGACTGTCCCCAGACCGTATGCCATTGCAGCTCCGCCTAATCTTCTTTTCATGGTCTTCATTACGACCTGTCAGGACATAAATTGCCAGTAAATTGCCATGTTTATTAACACAGCACTTAAACAGCACCCCTAATTCCCCCGCTGCCCCCTCTCGCAAATGTTAACATTTAAGATGGACCGAGAAGATCAATTACAGTATGGCATGAAATCCTGCTGCATACACACTCGCACACGTACAAACACACACAGACCCCCCCCCACGTTCACAGTTTCACCTTGATATGCCTCCTCAAACATTCTGTCCTCTGTTGATGGCCACCTCTGAAGAGCCGTACAGACAGACACTTGCTTGCTGCATATTTTCAGGCCGAGTAATGATGGGAAGTGAGGGCCATGCTTCACAGAGCACTGCAACAGCAGCGAGTGGAGTTGGAGACTGGCTGCGGCCTTTGCCATATAACACAGTAATTACTCGATCAAATCTGTTCAAACTGAAGCAATGCTGTTCTGTGATCCCTCCTATACTAATCAGCCCGCTGAGGTATGGCTGTGCAACTATAAATTGCTGACTTAATTAAAACCAGGACCTCTCTGTCATCTAATTACAGGGAGAAAAGGTTATTGCTTCAATGCAATTTTCCAAATATGATTCCTTCACAGTTATTAAAGGCTCCGGCATCGTTTATTGTTTCAGATTTTTCAATATGGAAATGGCCCCGGTGACAGACGTAATGACTCGGGGAAAACGTTTCATCTCGATAGTGGCCTGGCACAACCATTTGTCTGAGATAAGTGGAGCGGACAGGAACGGGGAAATGTCATGGGAGGCATCCCATGATTGCCTCCACTTTACAGTTGTCATTAAACAGAGCAAAGGTTTCTTTTCTCTTGCGTGGCAGCAATGAGAAGTTTATTAATCTCTCTAGAATAGCAGAGGCGGTGAGTTATTAGAATTATGAAAATTCACAAGAGAGAGGAAATCTGTGGGGAGGTATTTTGTGATGAGACTCCGCTATTGTTCAGTCAGGCTGGTATTCTTATTGCCCTCCACCTCCAACCTCAACCCTTAAACCTCAAAAGGTTGAATAAAACACATCCCAATAATACAAAACAGGTCTAAAGCATGAACGTATTAAATATGAGATGAATTTTGTGGGGAACATAAACTGGACATTGTTTCAGGTGAAGAGGTTATTAAGGTGAGCTTCCTTTGTGCCTGAATGAGATCATTACAGAGAAAAGGTCACCGGCTATTGCTTTTAAAGATGACTGTTGGTTTAACTTAGAGGAATGTACTTAAACTTGAGCACATTAGCTACACGTTGAGCACAATTCTTTAAATTAAAAATTTTCTCCACTTTGATTTGCTTTAAAGCTTTCTCATTTGTAGTCAAATGCTCATCGAAGTTTCAGCTGTTATTATTTGTCATCTTTTGGGATCAGAATTAGAGATAAAACCAACAGAGAAACAAAGAGCCAAACAACACCTACGCCTAAATTCTAAGGGAAAAACTCTTACATCCACAGATGCCTGCCTTATTCTTATTTTTAACCTCCACTTTTAAGATACAATACAATTAAGGTACAATTGTGCAGAAAGCTGTAAGATTAGCATATTCATAGTTTTATATCTACACCCATTTTTCAAATGTGAAACAATTGTGGCACTGCATGACCACATTGATTTCATTTACCTATTCCCATGCTGTCATGACTTGTCCACATTTAAATGAATAAAAGAAGCAACAAAACTTTTACCACAGAAAACATACTTGTGTGTACGTCACATATATTTAGAAATAACAACAAGGGGCAGCATGGGGTCAGATTGGAACAGTAGTGTATCCTGGACACTAATGCCCTGTGTCTCCCACCATAGGGTTTTCTTAATTACATTAACCAAATGCATTCTGCAGTGTGTGCAATCTCATGGTTAACTGAACACCCCTGTAGCTGCACCCCCACCTCCTGTCCCCTCCCTCTTCCACAGTGAAATATTCATGTTGAAAGCCACTCTTCCCATCAACTCTCTATCCATCGCGTCCCTGCCTGCAGTTCTTCAGCCATGCCACCATTGTCTGAGAGCGACCTCCAACATACACACTGTAAAATCTGATTTTGGAAAAATGGCACACCTCTCAACCTGAATAGATTAGAGGAACAAGTAAATCTTAGGAATGATTTGATTCTTTCATATTTGTGCTGTTTATTTTCAAAGCCAGCATTGTTATTTTAAAAATGGGCCACATCTGAGAAGTTTCCAGTATTCTCTATATATTCAAATCTATTTTTGAGCTCAAAGAAAAAACATACTTGTATTTCTTCATGTCAGCACGACACACTGATTCAAATTGACCAGGCAAGACTAATTTAAATACATGAACTATTCATTAATTGAATAAAGAGGCTAGTTAGCCCCAGGGCCTCTTTATAATCATAAACTGGGATGTACTATTTATGCAAAACAGCAAAGTGCCATGTGTTGGCTTATTATGCTAATGATGAATGGCAAATACATGTTTTCCTTGCCCATGAAGGAGGATTAGGCATGCAAGTGTCAGCAAGTTGTTTCCAGCTTACAGAGTGTGTTCTTTCATATTACAGCATTTTGAAATGCAACTGAGTAATGTGATTCTTCTCATCTACTTCCTTTAGCCAAAATGTGATTATACTCCCTCTCAGTACTATTGTGAGTATGCCTACATGCATTCTCTCTAATGTTTTGCTGTTTGACGGTTTGTGTGTCTAACGGCTAAACAGTTATTCGGATATGACTCATAGTTCTTAAACAACGACCATTAGTCGTTGTTCAAAAACTGCCAATTTCGGAAGCCCATGTGCAAAACGCTACTACGATTTGTTACGTCACTTCCTGTTTCGGACCCAGTGCTGTTACCTCCGGATCGGAAGTGATGCAATTTCACTCATTTGTTCTAAATTGGTTTGAAATTTTAATTTGAATGAAAAATGTACAAATATTCATCTACTTGATACTTAATATCTACTACATAATGTAATAATATATTGATATTTCATAACATTGATCAATATTATAAATGTATATCTCATGTTCCGTACCATTTCAAACACATGACCATATCATTGGTGTGGACAGCCGTGGACAGGGTCCTTTTGTGCATATTTTATTTTGGTGTATCCCTTAAACCAGTGTATCCCAATCCTGATCTTTAAGGCGCACGGCCCTGCATATCTTTTGGATCACGGTAGAAAAAAGGACAGACATAACACAGGAGTTCTTACAGCTGACAGATATTCTCACTTTTTCTTCTTCATACAAAAACATCATCAGTTGTTTTCTGATCCCTTGAAACTTTCTTCTGTCTCTGTCTCTATTTTACATTTAAGATCAATGTTATTGTGATGACAATAGTAAAAATCCAATGCATTTCCCTCTTATCTTCCCTCTGCTGCCTTTCAGCTTTGCATGGTCTTCTTGTGCATTCAGCACATCAACATACTCACAGCTGTTTTGTAGGAACAGCTATTTCTAGTCTCCTTCTGTCTGTCTGAAGCTATTAAGTTGCGGAAGCTAAATAAAGAAAATCAACTTCATATGCTCTCAAATACTTTCAGTTTCAGGAGTTCCAGCTATTTTTTGGCTAAAACGTTTTGTTTGTAATGAAAAAACATCCTTTAAGTAAAACTCTTATAGGTTTTAGTGATTAGAATCATAATAATTATGCTAATCATCATAATGAAAATATGTTTCCGGTAGGCCTATGCCATGGCATCAGTCTAGAAGAAATTTGACCCAGAGTGTTGGTGTAGTTTATCCCAAAAAGTTTGGTAGTTCTATGAAGGTCCCATGTCAGCGTTTCAATCAGAGTTTAGTCCTTTTTTATAGAATTGCTGGTGTTCGTAGGCTTATTGTACTTCAGAATGACACAGTTGCAACATAGATTTAGCTCTAAGACAGATGGCCTCTCATTGGACTCTAGAAGACATCGGTATGTGATGGTATGGTCCTGTGGTTGCTGTGGTTTATGCTGTTTATTATGGGCAAATGTCTTCACTTTGGTCTAGTCTGTTCAATTTGACATTGCTGCAGAAGTATTCTGGTTTGCAACCGTACCTGTGAGGTTGTCCTGTCCCACCATTTTTCAGGCATATTGCTGCCATCTAATTAAAATGAGATATTCTTTTTTTAAATCAAATGCTTCAATCTTAGCACATTCAAATATGCTCTTTATGTTCTATTGTGGATCTTTTTTTTTGTAGTATTCCAAATGACTGCAATCTGAAGTATATTTGACTTAGGTATTCCATGGTCGTGGGGTCAGGGGCTGATTGTCTTCATGCTCCATTGTTTGGAGTGAAGTGTGCTTAAAGTCTATTCAGTGCATGTTCGGTCACATATCTTTCGCACAGACACATTATCATCTGGAACGCATGTTCAGACACACTCCACTCTTGACTTTCAAACGATTTCATACAACACAAATTGCTGCTCCGGTTCCCTCTAAATTCCTCAATACTCTGTGTCGCCCCGTTGCAACGTGGCGCCTGCTTCCCTCTCCGGCAGCGAACGTCCCACGGACCAATGGCAGCGAGCATGCCATTGGCCAGAGCTGCGTTAGCCATGAAACGTGCGCTGTGATTGGCTGTGCGTAAGGCGGCAGGAAATCCCGGCTCGGTTGCATCCCTTCCCTCAGGAAAGAGGATAGACTCACTTCAAACTGTGTGAATGTGAGCCAGGCTGTGCTATAGTGGACTTGTTTGCAGACGCTGGAGCTCTTTAAAGTTTAGTGGCACAGTTTCACGCCACTGTCAGGCAGAGAAGGAGAGGTCAGTGAGTGGAGCCCACGCAGTGAGACCCTCTCCACAGACGCTCTCCTGCGGTGCACTGAAGGGGTTCCAGGCCGACCCGGGAGCCATTCTCAGCCCAGAGCCCGATGGCCGGCCTCGGCTTGCTTTGTGCCGTGCTCCTGTGCGCCGGTGCGGCGCAGGCCAAACCCACGATCAGGAAAGAGAGAGTTCTCCACGACCCAGAGCTGAGCAGGCAAGCCCACGAAGACAATAAGAGCTACCAGTACGACCATGAGGCCTTTCTGGGCAAGGACGAGGCCAAAACGTTTGACCAGCTCACTCCTGAGGAGAGCAAGGAAAGGCTGAGGTAAGACAAACCCCCTCCACCCGATGGGGGACACGAGCCGATTGTCAAATCTGACCAAATGCAGACACAGATAATGTTTATTCCTTTGTGTAAGCGTTAACGTCCCAGCTGGAGTTATTCAAACATCAAAACACATGTCCTCTTGTCATACTGATGTGCATGCCATCAAATGTGTGAGGCCCATCCGCCTTAGGCTCTCATAAAGGCTAAACTGCTTTTGCAGCAATGCTAGGCGCTGATTTAAGGCATTTCAACTGGTGCCATCACAGCCTCTTACAACTTGGACACACTCTGAATGTGCCACGTGGTTCTGTCAGTGGGTTGAGGTTCCTCATTTGGAAGCTGTGTGTGTCTTTACTGCTGCTGCCTGGGTGCCACCCTGTCAGGCATTGGACAGGAGAGGTCCTTCCTGTGGCGCCTGGAGTGGGAGGGTCCCCACACAGCATCACAACGTGGCAGCCCACGTCTAAGAATACCCCACAGCCTCTCTCTGCAGCCATTGCCGGCTTATCCCACCCCGAGCCGCGTCCCAGCGTGGTTAAAACTGACGTGGTTTTCCCTCTCTGTCCCCCTCGCAGCAAAATTGTGGACCGAATAGACAGCAACGCAGACGGCTACATCAGCACAGCCGAGCTCAAGGCCTGGATAAAGCGCGTCCAGAAGCGCTACGTGTACGAGAATGTGGCAAAAGTGTGGACAGATTACGACCTGAACAAAGACAACCAGATCTCATGGGATGAGTACAAGCAAGCCACTTATGGATACTATCTGGGTATGCTTTCAGAACACTGTCTCTCTCTTTAGCGTGTCTCTGCCACCTTTTCAGACATGTGATGCGTTACACTGCTAACTAAAAGGCCGACTGTCACCCCATTTGAATCCCTCCCGGCAGCAAACCCAGAGGAGTTTGAGGACGCCACAGACCAGTTCAGCTTCAAAAAGATGCTTCCTCGAGATGAGAGGAGGTTTAAAGCCGCCGATCTGGACGGCAACCTGGCAGCAGACAGGGAGGAGTTCACAGCGTTCCTCCATCCGGAAGAGTTTGAACACATGAAGGACATTGTGGTTTTGGTGAGTTCTTTATGAACACGTGGTCCTTCAGTGTGATAAAGTGGCAATTAGGGCTGGTCTAGTCTTTCATTTAAGGTTGGACTAGGGTGCAGTGTTTCACAGTCGGGCTGCATGTGAATACAGGACCTGATTTGAGTTTAATCTTTCCATGATTGTGCCACTTTCAGATGGCTGTCTGATGAAATTTTAACTCATCCCGGAAATGATAGAGTTCCTGCTTCTTCTTCTTTTTTTTTTTTTTGGGAACAGGTCCGCCGGGATGTTCGGGCTGTCCCATTTAGCACTCGATCTTTAAATATAAATTTGGTTTCGTGGAACACTGGCGTGGCAAATGCTACCAGCGACGCACCACGCTGCTGTGTTCATAAAAGTTGTACCACCCATTTGACACGGTTAATAATTAATCTTTCATTTTTTCTGATGCTGCTGACTGTTACCGAAGGGGCAGCCCAGCCAGAGACGTCCTCCCTGGTTGTGGCCGAGGCTAACGCAGCAGCCACCGGTCAGTTTCATCCAAAAAGCCCCATCGAGAGAAACGGGAGACACTGAAAAGCAAAGAGAAACAGACACTCTGCGGCTGTACAAAGGACTTGGTTGTGGACTGTGGCGGTGCAGGTTCAGGCAGGAACGTCAATTCATGCCACTGGGTGCTAACTGTACACCCCCAACCTTGTTCTTATAACAAGGCGCTCTGTTTAGACCTTCAGCTTTAAACTTCTACCTGCCGATCTGCTCGTGTTCCCACCTTCGACTGCCACAAAGCCCCGGCCAGTCTTTTATTGCAGGACCCCCTCTTTTTAATTGTTCAACTTTTTTTTTTCTCCCTCACTTTTAGCAGGAATTTAAGCGTTGGGTGAAAAAATAAGGTGACAGGAGCACAAATAGCACATAGCATGGCACTAGTCCTGAAAGTAGGCGATATGTATCATGTTTTAGTGTGTTGTGTTTTGTCTCTGCCAGTAAAAGGCCGGCTGCTTTGAGCTGAGGCCCGTGCTGTTCTTCACCTCTCTGTTTAGCACAGTGCATTACTTTTTTCCCCCTTCCTATCAGGATTTAAGCTAAGTGAAGTTTATTAGGTGGTGGTAGCTCATCAGGCCTGCGGTGTTCATCCTTCCTCACTTCAGGAAGTCGACACTGAACAGGTGATCTTCACGTGCACTGATAAAGCTCAGATTTCAGTCCCTTCAGTCAACACAAGTTTAGTGTCTGAAAATGAACAGGTGGTGATGCATGGCCTTTATTAATGGGCCATTAAACCGAAGCGGTAGGGAAGATTCAGACTGTAGAAAATTGTGGAAAAAATAAGGAAGGACGGTGTCTCTATAAAGTCAGCCGACTGACTTTGCACAGATGGCGTGAAACGACGCTGCCGTTTATTCTTATTTGCGGTCTGAAATAACCCCATTCTGACCATTGTTGTCATGGTGGGACTTGTCTAAAAGGTCTCTGCTTTTTCAATTCCCATTGTTTGTGGCTGATCTCCATCTGCTAGGTATGATGACATCATACATGTCTTCCCTTTTATGAAGCCTGTTTATTAGTTGGAAACGGGGAGGATATTGAATAGCATCAGATTACTTAAAGAGATAAACATTAAGCATCGCTTCTACAAGGACTGAATGTGTTCTGATGCTTTTCCATGCAGTGCTGTTGTCCAACCTGAAATGTGGATGAACCAAACGTCACTTTGTGGTTGTGTTGTTCCCAGAACCCTCGCACATACTCCTGTGTTTGCGGCATTATACGAGGAGCTTGAAAGTCAGTCCTTTCAGACACCACAGAGTCAAACCTATTTAGGATATATTTAAAGCTCATATCACATCGACTGTTTGCTAAAAAGTGTAGAATCATCTTTAGTTGCTGAGGGTTGAGCGCTCTTCGGCAGCCCTGTGATTGTCGGCTTGCCAGCTCGGCTGTAAGCTGACCCTTGCACAGTCATTCAGTCGCACATCTCCAGGCAACATGTTTCTCTTTTATTACTCACAGCAGAAGTTGTAGTACACTTGACCCTTCTTGTTAATGACATCATTAACTCGTTGTGAATGCAGGAAACGCTGGAGGACATAGACAAGAACGGCGATGGACATGTGGATGAGGACGAGTACATTGGTGAGTTTTAGAGTACATAGAAAGGACATCCAGCTCCTTCAAGTAATGGAGGAGACAACAGTGGCACTGAAGGCGTCTGCAAATTTTTCCAGCAAAGCGCTCCGCGATATGAACAAGAACCAAAACACGGGAGGGAAGCGTCACCACGGGGAGGAGTGGTGGATTAAATCAGTGTCAGTCTGCCCAGCAGCTCGTAGAGAACATCCTATGGAGTTGATATACATTTCCAGAGTAGAATTAATATCTGTGTGAGCAGCAATTTGGCTACAGATTAGTTAAAACAATCTTTTTTTTTAGATTTATACTGTAACCAGCCCTGCCTCAAAGTAACGGAGCATAAAGCCCAGTCAAACTCTAATTGTGGCCTTGATATGATTAATATTTTATACGATTATATTTCTGATATAAATGCATATTGTTCTTTTTTATTTGAGTTGATAATTACTGATTTATAGCATAGTTGTTGATTTACCTCCCTCAGTTTCCTTTTGAAAAACTCATTCTTCTCCTGCTCCGACATTGGTAATAACTTATTTTTAAGGGGGAAAGATAAGGTGCTCCTGTAATAATTAGTCATTAAGCTTAAATACTTTTCTTAGCCTACTTTCAATAGGAATTCACCACATCAACAAAACAGGAACTGTGCCTGAGAGCTGCGCATGTTTTCATTTGAATGTTCTTGTGGTTTAAGCCGACATGTTCGCACACGAGGACGGGGGTCCAGAGCCAGACTGGGTCAAAACCGAGAGGGAGCAGTTCTCTGACTTCCGAGACTTGAACAAAGACGGGAAGATGGACAACGACGAGATCCGCCACTGGATTATGCCACAAGACTACGACCATGCCCAGGCTGAGGCCAGACATCTGGTGTATGAGTCCGACCAGGACAAGGTGTGTTGTTTGAGTCCTTATTCTGTGCTTACCGCCATTCGTTTATTTATAGGTCTACAGCCTCCATTTCGTTTGTTGCTTTAAAGTGAAGAGCTGAGCTCTGCCTTAGCGAAAATGCTACAGATTGAATGACTTAACTAATGCTTGCGTGTCCTCATGTCCTACTCAGGATCAAATGCTGACGAAAGAGGAGATCCTTGAGAACTGGAACATGTTTGTCGGAAGTCAGGCCACTAATTATGGAGAGGACCTCACCAGGAACCACGACGAGCTCTGAGTTCTCCACACAGGAGTAGGGGGGTTGTTCTCTCATCTCAGTCGTCTTCACTGACAAGATTGCAGACTTTTGAGCCCCCCCCCCCCACACACACACACACACACACACAGCAACACTACCGTCACTTCTTGTAAACAGAACAGTGGAGCAGACTTAGACGTCCTTGATTTTAACAGGCGCTCTCGATGCCAAGGATCGGTCTCGCCACTAACTTTTAGGGTCTGTTCATATGATTGTTCGTGTTTGTGGTTTGTTTGTTTCTGATATTCAGGAGCAAAAAACTAAGAAAGACCCAGTGGACTTACTCTATCAATCGGTGCCTTCCAGACACGTCACAACACCTTTTTGTATAAATGTTCTTAGATTTATCATGTACAGGAAGAGTTTGATAACAGTGGCAATGTGAAAGTGCAGTTCAGAACATTTATTTTACTCCTATTTATTTATCAGGTATCTGTGGATCTTAAAAGTCTGAAGGGAATACAGAATCCCTTTGTTTAATGGTTACTGAATAGTTTCTTTGTTTACAATCTTTCCTGTTTGCATTACTAATGTTTGGTTGTTATTTTGATTCAGTGGTTCAATAACTGTTCAGAAACTAATGTCACTTGGCATGGTGTTTGCACGAGCCTGGTTTTAGTGTAGCCTGTGAACAACTTTCAGTTTTTTATGTAGTTTTATTTGTATTTATAGGTAAACTTTAAGATAACACTTAGCTCCCTGTAACAGTTTAACGTCACTGATTTCAAATTTGTGCTTTACCAGTTTACAGGTTGTTTTTTGTTTTTTTTATAAAGATGTTTTTGTTAATGGTTTTTTATTTTGGTAGCACTCTGGCATGCATGCACAACTAAACTGAGGAAATTCATAGCCCCTTGTGTCATCACTCCAAAAGCCATTTTCTGTGTCATTACTTCAATTTTACCATTACACAACCAAACCTGCTTGTTTTCAGACTCAGATTATAATTTTTCTCTGATTAGTACTTACAAAGGACACGGCTCCTGAAGTGCAAGCGGTGAAAGTTTGGGAGTCATCATTTAGAACACTGTCTGCTGAACAACCCCTGAACCATCACCTCTTCAGTTTTCATGGACTTGAACGTGCATGACAGAACTACACATTGCATCCAATTCTGTCCAAATAAAAGAAAGTAATTTCTCCAGTTTCATTCACACCAGATTATGTCTATGATTATATGTTTCTGTCATTTCAAGCAGCATATAGTACACAGGAATTTTGGGTCTCTGCAAAGGTTCCTTAACGCAGTCTCCATTTGACACATGGTCATGATGAGACTTAGAAGCAACACGCACCAAATGTGGAATTGGTGTGTATGTGAGCATGGGAAACCACTGCTTTTGGTTTTAGAGAAGCACGTTAAGGACAAAATAACCCAAAATGAACTGACTAGACGAGAGCAATATATTAGTTCTGCTTTTACCCATTTCTTTGGAAGTAAACCATATAGGTACAGTATTGTTGGAAAGATTACTTAAATTTAGTGGAAGGGAGCAACAGGGGTTGCACTAACATGCGCTCAGAGGCAGGTAGGCTGCCACAACACATGAAAGAAGAGCTGGGCCCTCAGCAGACACCGAAGAGACGCGCTAACCCCACACGTTTACTGTTTAATTTTGTTGTGGCTGTAAAGTTCAAAACACTGTCGGTTCCTGCATACTGATATCTAAATATGTAGCAGTGTGTGTCCCTTAATTCCATCCATCGCGTTCAGTTCCCAGGATCTCCTCAGGATGCTTGTTCATCTCTTTACTTTAGCTTCGTCACCCAAAGGTTTCCGGTATATGTGCGTGCCATTTATACTTTCACATGAGTATATTAAAGCCAGCTAATATGTGCCCTTGAGACATCCAATTCTGCGCTCGTCTTTTGATTAATTTAACATAAAGAGTAAGTGCCTGCTGTTAACACTACTTGGGACTGATTTGAGTTTACACATAGCGCACGGATAGAGTTCATCTGACTTCTTGTTGCTGCTGGCTGTTGCAGTAAAACTCTCGGATGTAACTGAGAAAGCTACTCTGCCACCCACCCTGGCCCCTCTGCCTGTTCATGTGGAACTTATGGATATATGTGTGCCAGTTAGTGAGACAAGTCAAGCGGGACCAATGTGATAAAGCCCATTAGGAACAGGGCGATGTATGTTTGAGTGGACTGTGTTATTCTGTTATAACGTAGGACTCTCTTCAAATTTGATCTCACTATAAAAGCCAAAAAATGCTTGCAGAGCGAGGAGTTCAAATGTTCGTGTTTGGTTTGATGTTTTCACTCATATTCAGTTATTTGGCATTCGAACAATAACACAAATGATTCAATAGAGTTAGCAGGAATTGATAAAACTTTTGCTGCATCATCTAAAAAGACACTTTTATTTTCAGATTAATTCCTTCTTTGTCCATCATGGCTCAGGTCTGAGGTGTCTCCTGAGACTACTGTTATGTGTGGTCCCCATCTGATAATGGTTGCTCTAAGCATGCGGGGTCAGTTTAGTATAATATATTTGAATAATTGGTAGGTTGCAAACATTAAATCGCTCAATGCCCTCCTTCCAGACAGCACATGAGATTTGTCATGTGTCGTGGTGCATCTGCGTGTCGGAGTCAATAAACTAGTGAAGGTGGATGAGTGTTAGCAGTGCACAGAGATGTAAACGAACCAAATGTGTGTTTGCCTGAAGAAGGCGGGGGCACATGGAACAGCAGCCTCACAGCCATATTTAACAGTCTGCCCCCTTGTTTATGCTAGGGTCCTAATCATTCACACTGGGGGAGTGTGTGCATAGTAATGCCTTCAGACGGCTCTCATATGAGTGTCTGCGTAGATCAAGCCCTCCGCTCTGATAATAATGAGCCCCCCGGGTGAGGACAGGCTGGAGACAGTGGGAGAGGAGGTCATAAAGTGGAGCATACAAGAACTGTCCAAAACCATTTTCACTTTGTCTCATCCACCAACAATCTCCTTCTCAATGTGCACTTCTATTTTCTTATCAGTAACTAACAGCAGGAAAGCCTAAATGACTGCTACAATTCAGCAGCCTCCATAACGAACTGTTCATCCCACCCGACCCCCCCCCCCTCGCTGACTCTTATAATCATGGTGCCCTATTTTTCAGTTCAACGTGTGTTTCCTTGTCTTTGTCTTTTTTGTCTCTTTTGGATGTTCCTTTTACACTTGGCACCACTTTTTCAATATTTTGGGGCATATAATTCACCTTCTTCTGGGGCTCTCATGAAAGCCTCAGATAGCCCTCCTCTATTATATAATAAAACATAAAACAACAGAAAAGTAAAGCTTTTGTTCATCATCAAGCGGCTGACTGTGGTCTTATGTTTTACCACGTCAGCTCAAAGAGAAAATTTGTGTCTTCTGTTTATTCTTGCGTGAAAAAAAATACAGATTTATTGCTTAAAGTGAACTACCATTACCTCTAAACTGCACATAAAAAAGTCAGACATTGTAGCTAACATGGAAGACTCTATTGTCAAACTCATCCACTTTTATTTTAGGATACCCTCTTGAGGATCAAATAATCTGGAGACCTGCTTAAATTGCATATTTAAATAGATAGTCCATCCATCCATTATCAATACCACGGGGGGAACTGGAGCCTATCCCAGTGGTCAACGGGCGAGAGGCAGGGTACACCCTGGACAGTCCGCCAGTCCATCGCAGGGCCACACACAGGACATACAAGGACAAACAACCACTCACACTCACATTCACTCCTAAGGGCAATTTCCCCAATCTCCAATCAGCCTAACATGCAGGTTTTTGGACTGTGGGAGGAAGCCGGAGAACCCGGAGAGAACCAACGCAGACACAGGGAGAACATGCAAACTCCACCCAGAAAGGTCCTGGTTCCCCTGGGATTCGAACCCAGAACCTTCTTGCTGGGAGGCGACAGTGCTAACCACCACACCACTGTGCCGCCCTTAAATAGATAGTATTTCGCACCAATCTGAATACTTTGTTGAAATAAGTCAAATAAACTAAAATGACTTCAAAAATATATTCTAACTATTTGATTTGTAAGCAAGTGTGAAATATCACCTTTCACCTTGCAATATATGATACAGAAGCTGCCCGTGGTTGAACTTGTTTTAACTACTTCTGAAAATCAGCCCGGATGATACACAGACTATCTCCTGTGTTTATAAGCTACACGGTTGTATGTGCATGTCATGTGAATGTAGGCTAATTCAGTGCCTTGCATGTTTCTACTCCTGTAAAATGAAGCTTGAAAGAATGCATCAATCTTTTATGTTATGTCAGAGAAAGTGCTTTTCTTTATTCTTCTTCCACATCACAGGGCTTCACTCCTCCTAGTGGTGGTGAGACAGAGCTGGATTCCGTCCATGCCTTTTTCAGAACTATATTTTCTGCTGCCTCTATCATGGGCTTTCATGCGCTATCAACAGATAAGGAATCGTTCATTAATGGCTACACAATTAGAGCGAAGGCTTTAAGGAGCGGTAGATTTCAATTTAGGAACCGTAAAACAAGTGAGTTGGTAACTAATTCTAACTGCCAATTGAGAAATGAAGGATCTTTGGGTTGAGGCCAGAATTATTAAAAACAGCTCCTACATTTCTGCCTCAGTCACTCATATGGAAGCACGAGAAAGGCTGCTGCATATTTCATATATTTGACACGGTAAAAAACTTTCAGAGTTCTACTTTGAAGATAGGTGGACTTGGACACAGTTGGGTTATTTTGGAGTCCATGTTGCTAAAGGATGGAGACAATGCCATCCCAGTGAGAAGTGATGTCTTTGGGAAAAATGCCTCTCTTGCTCCATTTGTCAATATTTGTTTATTTTCTGGGGTTCTCTTTCCTCATTTTTTAGCATCTGGACACCTTTGGGATGGAGTGGAGGAATGGGTAAATGAGACCTTCCCCATCCCACTACTCCCTGGGGAGACTGAGTTGGTTTTATGTTGTATCTCACATGATGGAGACACATCTAATCCTGTTAGGAATGAATATCTTTCTGTGGAATAGAGGAGACAGCAGGAAGGGGAAAAGAGGAGAAGATGAAAGAAGCTATGTCTGAAGGGAGAAGGGAATGTGTCTCCACGTCTTTGCTTTTGGGTTAGTGTATGTGTGTGCGTGTTTTATGTTTATGCGCCTGTGTACCCTCATGGGATCTTTCCGGCTGCTGCCTCTATATCTGACAGCCTCCTCTCAAGGTGTTTTCCCATTGCTGTCTTTCTGTGTCTGCTCCATCCCTGCTCCCTGAGTGAGAAAGTTCACCCTCTAGGCCCCATCTGAGCTCCAGGCCCCCAAGGCCTCCACATTCCCAAAGCCCCTTCACACTGGAGCCCCTAAGGCTCCCTGTTGTACCACAGGGAATTACCCCAAGAACCCCAAGGCCCCTCAGACTGCAAAGCAGCAGTTCTGCTCAAGAGAGCTAGCCTGAAGGGAGGATGAATGCTGTCTGGGAATACAACTGAGAGCACGCTTCGCTTCACACAGAACAGTCCCTGACAGCGCCTCCTGTTGGCGCAGCATTGTTTTTGCATGCAGGCCTCCATGCAATTCTGTCAAGTTTTGTCTCTGGGGCCTTGACCTTGTTAATGGTCCCCTGGAGCTCACAGAGGCCTGTGTGTGTGCTACATGCTCACTGACCTTTCAAGTTCCCAGAGGTTAAATAATGAATTTTCTTGGCCCAAAGAATCACAACAGGAACTGGATGCCGGTGCCGGATGCACCTTGGAATTTATTGAGTGACATATAGATAATAAATATGATTCCTTTTGTTGTTTTAAAAAAAACATCATTCCAAAATATCAATGTCTAAACTTGCTTTTACATAATAGACTAAGCTTGTTGTCCTCAATTTCAATTTTGAGAGGTAACTTTAATCACATTTCTTCTCAAAAAAGCCTTTGCACGGCTTTGGATACAGAGGCTATGCAGCTAGCAGGCCTGCTGTCCTACAGATGTCTTGGACTGTGCATCACCAGGTGTACGTCACCTGAGATTACCCACGCTGAGACCCCTTAAAGGCAAACTGCCAGCACTACAGCTGAGGGGGCATCTGGTGGCGTGTGTGTATACAAGTATGTGTACGTGTTCATGCATTCACATAAGAGCCAACATTTGACAAGATGGGATAGACTACACAGCAAATTTGTAGAGCTCATGGATTAAAACAAAACTGCCCCTAATGTTCTCCTCTAAGTGTTCTTATTAATAAGGGAATGAAGTGAATGAGGTTGCTCAGTGTAAGGATGAGGTCTGTCTGTTTCTGAATATGTGTGATAATGATGGTATTAATGACTGGATGTTTAAAGCATTAGTTGCTCACACTCCTCTCTGCCTTTGCAGTATCTTATTAAGAGTGAATTGGAGTGACTAAAATGTTCAACTCTGCTGTCCCTCTGATCTCTCTCTGCTTCCCTACATCCCTGCAGAGAGAGAACAAAGAGAAGCCTTTCCTAATCAAAGTGCATTGGATTAAGAAGCATGGGGGAAAAAACACTGAACATCACAGAGATACTACCTCACAACCATTATGTGAATTGGAAAACAACCTGAATAGCCGCTTCAAATGAGCAGTCTGTGACCCTGAAACAGGAGAAAGGTATTTTAATCTTTGTTAGATCGGCAAGTGCAAAGGAGTGTGGTGGAAATAAAAAAAGTACTGCAGGTGCAAACATAAGCACATGCTGTACTGTAAATGTGCTTTTATTTATCATTCATAGGATACAGAGCTGCTTTCATTTTCTATATTTTTCATAAGAAAAAGATATTTGATTAGGTGGCTACTTATCGTATGGAGTTAAATGATCCAATAAATATTTGTTGTTTTTTGTGCGAAAGTAAGCACACTTTTACTTTTAGTCTCCTGTGTGCCCTCTGTTGTGGAAGGTGTGAGCAGCTGAGAGGAGATAAAGCCTCATCCTGTGTACAGAACTGTCCCAGTTGTGGGATGTTAGAGGAATTTGGTTTGTTGGAATGATCTCAAGTAGTTCTATTTGTAGTACAGTGGCTTTTGATTTTATTCTTCTGATGGCAGAGTTCAGTGCCTTTTTCCATGGACACATTTCCACATGCATGTCTGTGTTGTGCATTTTAGAATCAGATATTCTTATATCCAGAAAACAGGGCTATCCAATAATAATCCTATAAACTCAAGACAATATTTCCACTTTAAATACATTTTCAGGTTACTTTCAATCTCTAGGGTTCAAATTTTTTCTACCTTTCACATAAATTAAATATTGCCTCATTTTAATAGGTAAATAGAAAACCAAGTAGGTTGTTTTTGGTCGGTTATTTTTGGTCTTTTTTGTTTAATTTGTTTTTGTCTTTTTCTGCTTTTTGGACTGTGTGATGACATTTTAAAGTGATATTCATCCTGAAAATATCAAAGTTCACTAACGTTAAAGCATCACCATAAAGATGCTGAGCTTGTGCACGTATGTGTGTGTGTTAACAATGCTTTCCCAGTTACATGACAAAATTAGCCCACAGAGCTACAGTACAGCTCTTTCAGCCCACAGCGAGACATATTTTATTAATATACCTGCAGTAGCTGAATCATCTCATCTCTCATAGCTTTGCACGTGAGCATGCACAGAAGTCCATCCACATCATTTATATTTGATGGGCCCAGGCATACTCTGAACATGCCCTCGTGTTTCTCACTTTCATTTACATTACCATATATATTGTGGATACCTAAAACCAGTAAGGGCTTGAGTCGAGAAGGTAGCGAATAAGATTTATATGAGACACACTCCAGCTCTTACAGCTCTTCCCATCTGCTTGTCATAACAGACTGACACTGCCACCATGTGGCGATGTCAGGTTGTGGGGATGTAAAGTGCCGTTGGAAACCGGAGGCTTTGATTAATAATAGGAACATAAGTGCATGAATGCATGTGCCTGTATTTCAGGGCCCACTCATGGCAAAAAGGGGCCGCCAGTGGAGTGCAGCCTGCTGACACTGAGGTATGTGTCTTTTCTAATGAGATTTATTGGGCTCCAGATGTTCCTAGTTATGAAGATGTGTGTCCAAGATTTAGGAGGGTGAGACCTGCACCCTGTCAGAATCACAGAGGGGTGCAGTTTTATTGTCTGTCACCCCCCTTACACACTGCCTCTTATAGGTGGCCTCTTAACCTGAAAACACACGTCTCTTTTGTCTCTCAGTCACGCAAACTCTTTTACCCTTGACTCATATGTGATTCAAGATGTTACAAACAAACTTGAACATAAGAATACCAAAAAGAATGTCTTTAATGGTAAGAAAACACACCACATATATACAAAGCCCTTTGATGAATATTGTGTCCTTCAGGAATACAAAAATGCTGTAACAAATTCCCAACAAAAAGTGACATACTGACAATTTCCTAACTCCAGTTTGCAAGGTCCAGCAATTGTTCAATGTGAGGCAATTTTAACAATAAAAGAGGAAGCCAGTGCAAGTGTACAAAATACTCAAAATAGCGTGTTTTCTTCATGTCATATAAAATAGGATTTCTCATCTTGGCTCAGAATCACTGCATTATACCCCCTCAAAGTCTGAGATCTAATGTCACATAACCATAACGTGTGCTGCTTGAGGTGCTTCTTGCTGATCTTGTGGGTCTTCAGTGAGTCTGTTCTCCTGCTATCATCTGTCAGACTAAGATGGGCATCAGCTGTGTTCACCACTTCACCGAGTCTGGCGATGCACCATAACTGCTGACCAGGCTCCAGGCGTCTTTCTCCACTGGCTGGCACAACATATTGTCACCTTCCTCTTCATCCTCCTCCTCCTCCCCCTCCTCTCGCTGCTCAGATGGCAGGCTGCAGCTTGGTCAGGTTCCTCTGGTGCATGCTGTGGTGGCGCACCAGCTCGTCAGAGCGGGCAAACTTCTTCTGACAGTTGGACCAGCGGCAGGTGAAGGGCTTCTCACCTGACAAGAAGGGGACACACGAGGGAAAACAACAAGAGGGGGCGTTGCTTTAGAAATAAAGCTTACATAACCAATGACAGTTTTTATAATGGATCAACTTGGAGAAAGATGGAAAGGAAGAAAATAAAAGGTATACGCACTTGTTTTACCTGTATGAGTCCGAGTGTGGGTCTTAAGATGATCTGACCGTGAGAACTTTCTCTGACATGTCTCGCACTGGAAAGGTTTTACTCCTACACAGAGGAGGACGTCGGAGCAGGGTCAGTAAATTAAGCGAACAAATTAGAAGGAGCGGTGGCTGCTTGTCTCTGACTGCAACTCAAATGGTACCACTGAGGGAGAGTTTACAGTTTGGAGAGATGTCTGACTTGTGTGTTATCTGAGAACAGTCTTATGCACTGTTCTTTTATTTTTCTGATTTTCAAAAACTTTTGCCCTCCCTAAAAACACTTTCTTTGAATAAAATGGTTTTATTCTTTTGACTTTGTCTAATTTTCACATTTTGATTGGTAGAAATGTCTTAAACATACATAGTCCAGTTATTTTTCTCATAAGACATCATCATAAAAACACCATGCATACATCCACATGTATAGTATGTTCATATATGTACATATGTATGGATCGCTTCATTCTATGCATTCTATGAAAACTAAAACTGATTGAGAATATCAACACAGCCTTACATAATAACTTCTTGATCACATTTTGTCATTATCTGAATGCATATTTTGTGCTGTTTGGGCATTGGAATAAATACAAATAATTTTGATTATGATAATAAAGCTAGATGCATTTATGACAGACAATACTTTAAAGAAATAACTCAAAGCCTGGATGAGCCTTCTTTGTCATTTCTGTGTGCAGAGGACTAAGCAAAAGGAAATAGCTAAGTCTGACAGATGTAATGCCAATGCGTTACAAAACCATCATAAATGTGTTTTTGTGACATGAAAACTCTTTATAAATATGGTATTACAATGGCCTTTTAAAAAAGAGTCAAACACAGACTTTGGTAACTTCAGTAGAGGCTACAAACATACCTGTGTGTCTGCGTTGGTGTCTCTTCAACTGGTCTGAGCGGGAGAATCTGCGGCCACACTCTATCACATCACACTGGTAAGGCTTTTCTCCTGCAAAACATTATCATTATCCCCTTTGTCATCAATATATAAAAAATCTAATAATAATTTTAAATCCTCTTATCGGTCTCACCTGTGTGTTTCCGACCATGCATCTGCAGATGGGACAGTTTGAAGTATCTCTTGCTGCAGCCGGGATAAGCACACACAAACGGGCGCTTCTCACTGGCCTCTGAGGAGCGCGTAGCTGCAGGGGCCACACCAGGCACCCGTCTGACATCCTTTGATATGAAGAGGAAGGTGGACAGATTTTGAGTTACAACTTCAATAACTGCATGTTAATGAGTGTTTTTGATGTGTCTGGCTCACCTGAAGTCCTCTGAAGACGCCGTGCGTGTGTATGTGGTACTGGGTGCTGATGAACATGGGTGGAACTGGGCTTGTGGAATCACTCTCATAGCTGTTTGCATGGCCACTGGAAAGTTAAATTGTTGTTGCATTAATAGATAATCCATGATCTACTCATTCTAATTCCTTTTTTTTAAAGGTTTTAAAAAATCTTTTGCCATTAAAGATATTTCATTCCTCATTGCTGTATATTATACAAATCGGCCCTGCCCATGTCTTTACCCTCCATGAGTTGTCCATGTTTATGCAATGCTCTGTTTTTACTTCTAACACTGAGGCACTTCTGACATGAAGGTTTTTAAGAAAACGAGACATCTCTTCTTTGCCTGCAGGCTTTTGATGAGATCAGTTCTTCATAGAGCATGTAAACTAAATACCCCATTGGTTAAGCCCTTGAAATAGGTCTGAATTGGAGACTTCTTTAACTCAAATGGTCTGAACTTGCTTTTCGATAGATGTAGAGGGAATTTTCAGCTTGTACCATTGATGACTGATTTTGCACATTTAATGCCTTGCAATAAATGTTGCATTAAAACATGCATTAAAAAGTTTTATGAGTAGTTAAAATTTATCTAACTATATATTCAAAAATACTCATTCTTTCAACTTCATTCATTTTTTGACGCAAAAGTGGAAGAAAAAGACTATGCGCATAAACATGATTAAGTTCTTCTCCTTGCCCTGCTATCCTTAGGCAGAGGGCCAACAGCCATCTGGTCAAATCCTCCTCCTCCTGCTGCTCAGCACAACCGCACAAACACTTGTCAAGATGGAAAAATACAGCTTGTTATTTAACAAAATGAAAAGAAAAAAAAAACAAGGTTCACCTCTTCATGGAAGACGCCAGTGTGTTCATTTGATTCAATGTGACACACTCCAGCTGAGACGCCATTTGGTACAGGTTTTCACTGAGTAAAGCATAAATTACAATAAATTAATTTATATTGACATTTAGTTTGAGACGTTTTCGAATAAAACTGATAAAATAGTTGCAAACAAATTAATTGTAAACGCTTAGAGGAAAAGATTTGTTTATTGTGTTTTGGAAATGAATTGCAATATTCACATTCCAAGGCTGTTTTCCTTCTATTTGTCTTCCTTGGGAAAGAATAAGTAGGTGTAACATTTAGGGGAACTCCACATGGTTTACTTATTAACATGTCCTGTCCACCCACCACCCTCCTATCTGCCCTCATTAAGAAACACGGGCACTAAGCCATTCGTTACTTCGGAAGATCACACTGCTGCACACACAAATACACAGACACACACAAGGCACAGGCATGCGCATAGTTTAAGATGTACTTGTGCACTATGTGGGGGTGTCTCCGTGCCTAGTACACCCTGGACCAGTGCATGACATCACCTTGTCCTCGGTATCATTAATGGCGGGAAACAGTTTCGGGGGAATTCTGGACTGCATTCCTTAAGAAGTCCTTGAGGGAAGGATCGTGATGGCTCGCTAATCAACTCTGAGCTATGTTAAACTGTGGAAAGGCTCAATGATATCTGACATATTGTGTGTATGAGCATGTGCGCGCGTGTGCACATTTCTGTTTGTTTGAGTCTTTCCAGCTCAGGTCATAAGCCCTAACAGCAGCACACTCTTCCCTCTGCTTATCAGCTGCTGAACCTCTGTTTGGGTTGTGCATGTTCCCATTCTCCAACAACATCTCCAGCCGGCATCTGAAGATTTTAATTCTAATTTGACGTTTGAAATGTTTCACGCCAAAATGAAAACAAGATAAAAGCGCATTTGGATGTTCAAATAATCAAATCTCCATTTTCCCCCTACACTGACTGAACTCTCGCTTTCACAGAACTTGTTGCATACTTTTCTCCTAATTTTTCCTCAGGGTGTACACATCAGCAGTAGATCACTGTGTGTTTGTTTTGGCCTGCTGAGCACCAGTGGGCAGCACTTAACCTCAGAACAAACGAGGATTCACGATCCAGGCAGCACAGAGGTGAATGCAGAGCTCAGTGTTGGAACAGAGAGTTCACGGTTCTAAAAATGACCTGCAAGTGGTGTCAGTGAAAAGAATCTGATAGAGACTGATGAATGAGGAGTCTGAAAACTCTGTGTGGGTGGAATTGTGTTGAAGGGGTCTTCAGGGTAGGGGGAACTCAAATATAGGAGCAGTAATCACATGCAGGGGAAAGTAATTGTACCTGTTGTAGTTTCTCAGTAGCAGAGCCTGGTTACTCGTACAAGGCTCTGAAGGATTATGACAGCCAAACACGGAATTAGGCGCTGGGTACTGCTGGTCAACTGAACAGAAGAAAACGTAAAACTTGCTTTGAAACAGGCCAATAGCTGACATTTATTTACATAATCTTTGAGAATGCAATTTCCCCTCTAACTGAAGAAAAATAGGTCAGAAAGAACAGGAAGAAAATTCTCCAGTCTGAAGGCTGACATTCTGAATTCTTTATGTGTCTGTCTCCCTATGCAAAACACAGATTTTCAGTTAAATTGTCTGAAAACACAAAAAACACTTTTCATGTGATATAAAATATTCACATTTTCATTCGTTTTCCCATTTTGTTAATAAAATTATTTAAAAAAAAGCTTGACTGGCAAAAAATGCCATCAAAACCAATAAATTCTTCCCCTAATAAAGCCACAAAAATGTTACTATCCTTGAAATGCTGCCTTTTCTTTTAGTACATGGACGAACCCAGCGGAATATTTTTCTAAAATTAATAGTGATTCATTTCAGTGGTACGCATAGCTCCTCTTTTTCAAGGAGGTCAATGAGAAATACTGGTGCTTTTCAGGTTCATATAGTATACTGGTCCCCAGATAGTTTTTGACATTCCAACAGAGTCACATAAAACTATTTCCTCAAGTTGTAATTTCCAGAGTCATTAAGGGATACTGTGTTTATGTTTGCCAGCGTATGTGAATGTGTGTGCAGACAGAGGTGGAGCGAGATGAAGGAAAGTGGATTTTAATGGTCGTGATATGAAAAGTGATGGGTTACTTATATCATCTTGGGGAGACACAATAGTTTTCCAGTCTGCAAATCAATTTAGTGAAAACATTTCAGGGTGCAGACGGTTACCTATGCTGTTTGTCGGTGACAGTGTGTCCTCGTGCTTGAAGGACAGGCTGGAGAGCTGAGGGGTGTGATGAGGAGGTGTATGACCGTAACTGGGGTTGCTGTCTAAACCCAGTGGCGCAAAACCTGAGAGAATAACAAAAACAGAGGCAGTGGAAATAGGATTATCCTGTTTTGTCTGGTGCTGTCATCTCGTAAAATGACAGAAACATTTGGAAGGTTGCAAAGTCTGCAGTATCTGGTCAGTTATCTATATCCCCCCTGGTAGTAGCTCTAAGTGCCTGGCAGAGTAACCACAGAGACACATTCATCACACTACAAAATCCTCTTTCCTTGTAACATATTCTTTTCCCTCTATCTATCTTTGGCCTTGTGGTTGCAATATTTATGGCAGGTGGAAAAAGAAATTTGGCAAACACATGGTAGACAGACTAAGAATGAGCTATTGCGGAATACGCTGCTTAAAAAAAGAACTAATGATTTACATTTAGCATAAATTGAATACAGTCGTTTAAAAAACAATGTAAATTCTTAGCGGGAAAATTTGCATCTTGTGAAATGTTTATGTTTTATCCACACAAACAGTGTGTGATATCCAGACTCAGGCCCAAGTGGTGATGTTACAAAACTACTCATACACTTTAAATCCTGCAGCTTGCAAATACATTTTCCATTTTATCACTTCTTCAAAAAACACTTTCCAGTGAGGAAACAGAGTGCTGCAACACACACTGAGTCACATCAGCATACACACACTCTGGTTTAAAACTCCCCAGAAACAAAACCCAACAGAAAACAGGACAAAGTCTCCACACTGGATGCCAAAATCCAAGATTTCAGATAACAGATGAAAATGAATCTGAGCTTTATTTATTGCAATTTCAAACATTCCCACATTATAAAATATAAAGGTACTTTACAAATTCTTTTACATTTAAGCCCCACTAATGTTATGGGAATTTCAATTAAACACAAATTAAAAGAGATTGTGAACCAGTTTGTGTGTATAGCTTATTTCTAACAGAGGAAGTAGTATTTTTCTTTTGCACATAACAGTAACCCTTTTCTGACTCACAGCCAGGAAAGGGAAATCTCTTAACTCTCTTTATTAAATTTTAGTTGAGCCAAGAGTTGCATTTGTAATAATTTAACCAAAACTGGTTTATATTTTTTCGTTCAAACAGTATTTCACCCTTTGTTTAGCTAAGTTTATAATATTCTATGTATGTTTGCTCAGTAACTTCATTGATCTGACTGTACAGAGGCTGTAATGTTAGCTGTGGATCAGACCGACACACTGCACACCAACATCCTGCTCAGACATAACAATACTGACATCTGCTAAACACGGAGCGACACCTCAAATGCATTCATACACTAATGAGAGAACCCTGAATTGGGTCTGACAATAAAGGCTTACCTTGGTTCCTGAGTGGGGGGCTTTCCACACAACTAGGCAGGTAGGCTCCATTGGGAAACATCCTTGTTTGACCCACTGTTGGCTCCCCATAGCCACCGACCCGACAGGGGCCTGATCCTGTGAGCTGGCCGGAGAAGTGCACGGTGAAGGCCCCGAGTCCACAGTGGGGATCCTCTATTGGGTCAGCAGTCCCCCAGCCCGGCTCCTGCTTGATGAGGGAATGGTGGGAGTTCAAGGATGTGTAGGGAGACCCGGGGTGGAGGTCCAGAAGTTGCGTCCATTGGCCACCGCCAACAGACATTCCGCAGCCACCTCCAGCTCCTGGTAAGGATGGCACAGGAGGTGCTGGAGATAAGAATGTCAGGTCACAAACATCTGACCCCACGGACATGGCTCCACACGGTTCAGTCAGCATTACTGAATGCACTTAAAGAAAGTCCAAACAAAATCTGATGGTTCTCCAGTAGAGGACACAAGTGGGGAAAAAAAGGTCAGATGGCTAGAAACTCCTAAGAGGGTTTTTTTTTTTTAAATGTGGAAACGGCAAGCATGAAGCCAATTCCTCTACAGAAACAAACACGAAAGTTCAAAACAAACTGCAGGATCCATCTTTACTGCCCCATGTCATGGAGCTAATAAAAAAAATGAATGATGAAATCTGAATGTCAGATTTCAAACTCCCATGGTACCTGCAGAGAATTCGAATTGGAGGCTGTGGTCTGGTCAACTGTGCTTAGTTGCTCTGTCTCTATAATGTCTGGCTTTCCTTATTCTCCTGAAGGCTGAAATACTGCATAACTCTGTAAAGGGGGAGGAGCAAGACAGGCTGAGAAAAGGATGACTCTTTTGTTTTGCCACGGCCAAGACAGACTACACATTTGAGAAAATTCTGACTAATGTCACACTTTCATTAGAAGGTGGGTGCAGCTCTTCACTTTTTGCTCAGATTGAACTTCTGCTCCTGATGAGTGTTTTAGTAAGTATGTTCATGAGGAACCGCATGGTATAAAAACTTAGCCTTCACTTCCTTGTTGTCTATTGCTCCACAAATAATTTAAAGGAATCACGTGTACTTATATATTACTGAATACTGAACACCTCAAGCATCAGTTGAGAAAATGGGGCTAATAAAGCTGTACTGTTACACACACACGTCCATTTAAACACAATGTTTTTTTTAACCGTGTCATCTTCTGACTTTTGACCTGTGCCTCTTTGTCAGGCCTTCATCATCAGATACAATTTTCTGTCTCCTCTGAATCATTTCTTTTCTGAAATGTATCCAATTTCAAAATGAGCACCGCATGAAGCAACTGTACAAACAAGAGAGACGAGACGAGTGAACGAACAGTGAGAAGCTACTGAAAAAAATCTGCAGGGATAGGGATTGCAGAAAAGCTTTATTTACTACTAAAGTGGTAATTTCCTCAAAGTAAGTTTTTTTTCCCCTTGATGCATGTTCAACAAACAGGAGGGTTGGTTTTTATATAAATATTGAATCGCTATTATAATTCAGAATGTGAATTTTTCCATTTTGGACTGCTTTGCTAAAATTAGCTCTCATACAGTGCACGGCCTTGGAGAAGAGCCACATCACACAAAAGGATAATTATTTATTAGTAGAGTAGAGGGGGAGTTGTGTGTGCCTGTGTGTCTCAGTGAACAAGTAAGACACAGGGGTTTTGACCTTAACTCAAGCTCGCCTCAAAGAGGAACTACACAGGAATGCATCAACTTTATCCATCCATCCATTTTCTGAACCGCTTATTCCCAAATGGGGTCGCGGGGGGACTGGATCTTATCCCAGTATTCAATGGGCGAGAAGAAGGGTACACCCTGGACGGTCTATCCCAGGGCCACACATATAGACACACAAAGACCAACAACCACGCACATTCACATTCACTCTTAAGGGCAATTTGGAATGTCCAGTCAACCTAACATGCAGGTTTTTGGACGGTGGGAGGAAGCCGGAGAACCCGAAGAAAACCCACGCAGACACAGGAGCAAACTCCACACACAAAGGTCCTGGTTCCCCCGAGGACTTGATCTCGCTGTGAGGCGATGGTGCTAACCACCACACCATCGTGCCGCCCTGCATAAACTTTATTATGCCAATAAAATCAGGACAGCTGTTGTGGATCTTTTAACATTATAACATTTGTCAGATCATCGTTCCAGTTTTTTTTTTTCAAGGATCACAATGTATTACTGCTTAAATGTTTTTTCATACATAAAAAAGTTGCATGCTGTCCTCAGTGTAACCTAACACCCAGTTCCATCCTGCGATGAGACCAGAGTATTGTTGGTTAGGGTTTATCTCTAAAACTATACATCATGTTTTTCATGTTTATTGTGAATTATATATTTCACTTAATCTTTTATTTTTTCTAGATATTTGTAAGCAAACTGTATGTAACTCATATCCAATATTTTATCAAATATTTTAACCAAATTTGTAGATCCTTTTGTTTGCAAAAATGACTTTGTTGAAAAGTACCTGAACCAAGCTACATAATGTGAATTGAAAAATATACACTGGCTTCATACTAAGCAGTTATTTAAAACCTTCTGAGAAATTTAGATTAAGAGATATAATAACATAGAAACAATAATAGGAGACAGCCATAAATTGTGTATGAAATCAATATAGATTATCACTGGCAAAGCTATGGAATCTGACATGTAAAGCAAATATGGGTCTGTAGCTTCATGATAAATCTGTTTTTTCTGCCCCCCAAAAAATTATTTCTTATACTACTATTTTTGTATTTGTGTCCATTGAATCACCTGAGTTCACATTACCTAAAAGAACCAATGACATAAAGGTCTTACAGCAACAAAAATGGTTAGCCTACTTTTCTTTGATAAAAGTGACAAGAGTGGAACTATTTGAGAGAATAATGAAGCCTCTTATCTAAAAAACCAAACAATTTCAAAGAATATAAAAAATCTTTTGAAAACAGTTTGAGACTTTCCAGGGAAATGGCCTCAAAATTGTTTTTAACTTCGCTACAGAGTTTGAAAAAATAACAGAGCACCTCACAAGCTTTAGGCTATCCAGAGCTGAGGATGGGTTTGCATTATGCTGTTGTACTCAAAGCTATCCCCTCACAGCAAGGTGGTTCCAAAGCCGACCTTTCACTGTTTATCCTCCACTATTCTATCAAGAATCCACACGTTAGTTTTATTCTTTTTCTTAATTTACCATTGGAGTGAGAGGGAGCATCCATGGTTGATGTGCCGATGTGATCCCCCTGTTTCCTTTAGATGGAAAGTCAACGTGTGCAAATTGTCATCCACCAATCAATTCCATTTCTGCCAAAAGGACTGAAAGTACTAATGATTATATGTAAAATGTGTGTCTCTTTCTTAACTTCATTATACCTTTTTTAATACTCTTTGGTCCTAATTTTTTATTCCGGATTTAAATCGTAGCGTCATTCGTCCAATTACATTTTTTGGAAGATATTCTAAATTCTGCACTCATGATTCAGGAGTTCAGATATTGCTGATATTACTTTACATGCACAACAAGTTCACTTGGCTTAAAATTCAATCATCTACTCCAGAGGACATGAGTAAGACCAAAAAATAACAAAAGAAAAAAACATTAAGCACTCTGACATATGAAATCATTTTCTGTAACTTTCTATTGCTTGTTCTTGAACTGGTTTGGACATTTAAGTAACTATTCTGGACTCGTTTCTCACTGTTATCAAAAATGGACAGCAAACCTGAGCTATTAGACCTAGAGTGGTGTTGAAGAGGTGAAAAGTGTCAACCAGTGTCTGTCACCACCATCTGGAACATGGTTTAGGATTCCAGTTAACATTACTGACCTCTAAATCAACTTAGAAATAAATGCTGAGTAGGGGGAGGGGCCCCTGAAGAAGATGACAAGCAGGAAAAGAGTGGGGCATATAGATGGGGGAAGTCCCTGTAAGAGTGATGAAATGAGCTGGCAAACTGCTGAGTTGGCTTCACAAGCACTATTGTTTACAGTCATTATTATTGCCAAATTTCACCCTTGTGTCCCTCCAACCCTCTTCAGTCCGGGATAGGTGCAGCAGTACCTGACAAGTAGCAACATCAGATTGATAATAGTCCCAAGACACATTTATAGAAAAGGCATAAGGCCCCAATTTTATTGATGTGCTCTGCCATATAAATTGCCAAAGCAAATTCAATTATATCCATTACAACTGTCAAAACCTTACTAATGTCCATAAAAGCTAGTCGTAAAATCTTCTGGGTGGTGTGTTGTCTGTCTGACTCCTGGAAATAAACGAGTGCAAAGGCAGTCTTATCCCCAAGGAGCACCCTGACATTCATAGAATGTCCATGCAACTGACTTCAAAATAGTAACTCGGAGAATTAATTTCTTCCAAAAACAATTCTAAAAAAAACATCTAGGATCCACCCATCATAAACAAACACAAACTAAACTAATGCAGTTCATGGACAAAAGGTTGTGGCACAGTTAAAAGCATCTAGCCGAAAAAACAGAGCGCGAGAAAGGAAACGCAGCACCTCTGAGCCAAGGCAAATGCAGGCCGTGCCTTCCACAGACGGGTCTTTAGCAGGGATTCATCAAAGGTGACAGGGCCTGGAGAAAACAACCCTTTCAGGGTCTATGATGAATGGAAGCACATAATACGCCCATTCTTCAGATCAAGCTCTGGTTAACTCAGGGTTTAAAAAAACACCACTCTCCAAAAAAAAAGGGAAATGGTCAACACCGCCTCTGACCCTTTACAAGAAATATATAAGTCTGAGCGTTCTGCAGGAACATGACTAAGAGGGAATGGGGGGGGGGGGGGGGGGGGGTTGCTCAGTGAGAAGGATGCAGGATCCACAAATAAACTACAAAGAAATGTTAGATTGTTGGCCTGATTATTTTTTTCCTTTCATCTAAATGAAAATATTCATACTTCTTCCCCTGAAGGCAGATCGGTTGTTTGTCAGTTTGTTTGTTTTTATTCCTGAAATTGATGATTCAAAATGGCATGATAAAGCCACTTTAAAAAAACAAAAAAAGATTAGTAATCAGTGCTAAAACCGCTGTGATATGAGAGTCACAGCAGTCTGCTGGAGACCAGAGAGCAACAGGTGGGATCTGGATGTGCTGACATGAAAACCACAACATTTCTCTGTGTAGGCACAAGAATAAGATGATGACAAACCCAACAGCAAATTGTTGTAAACTTTCCTGACGGTTACCACCATCACCTCACAGCAAGAGGGTTCTGGGTTCAAGTCCCTGGGGGAACCAGGACCTTTCTTTGTGGAGTATGCATGTTCTTCCTGCATCCAAAAACCTGCATGTTAGGTTGCTTGGACATTCCAAAGTGTGTGTGGTTGTCCATCTTTGTGTGGAAATGGAGTGGACTAGCAGACCATCCATTGACCACTGGGATAGGGTCCAGTCCCCTGTGATTCAGAAAACGGATGTAGGTGACTACCTCTGAATTGTGTCCCACTTTGTTAATTTCAGGAAGGTTGATAATTTTTTAGACATTAAAAGACAAACTAAGAGATACACAGCTTAACCATTTTCACAAATATTAGAACATATCAGACCAGAGCAGTCAAGCAGAAAGCTCAGATATGTAGGATAATGATCAGTGAATTACAGTGTGTCAGCCATCGCTGCTCTGATGACGTTTCATACACCCATTACCCTATTCTTCCTGATGTTGACCTTTCTCTTCAATCACCAAACCCACAACGTGAATCTCATTCACTCTGAGGAAAAAAGCCCCCAATCTTCTAAATCTTCATGGCTGTCAGCGGATTCCATAAAAAAAGGCACAAACAACATGACACTGATTTGTGTCTCAGCTTTTCTGTGGCACACAGCGCCAAACTTGTCTGTTTCCACTAAAAGCATGGACATGAGCTCTATCTCAAGGTGATTTGTGATTCATCCTCTAAATACAAGTAGTTTATTGTGCCGCTACAAGAAATAGGCCAGCATGTCGTTGGAAACAAGACAGCATCTCTGCGTTACCAGGTGATTCAGGCTAGCGTTCCCCAGGAACCTTAAGCTGATGTGACTGGCTGTTGTGTGCCACAGTCGAACTGACACATGGAGGTCATTTAAGGTTTCTATCGCAGTTAGGACAAAGTGCTGACCATGCAGTGACAAAAAAGTATTTAAAAATGATGTACAGTGAAATTCAATCAATGTTAAAGCTGTAACATGAACATGAACGAGTAATGTGACAAAAAATTAACTAAAATGAATCAAAAGTAAAAAGAAGTTACTGCACACAAGAAATGATTAGTTCATTTCTATAGAACATGTTTATGGAGGTTTTGTTCAGAGTTCTGTTGTGCTGACAGATGTCCATTCTCACAACAGCACGTCAGTCAGTGGTGGGTGGTGTGTTTTTTAATTGTTAAGGATGTTTGACGAGAAAAACATTGAAAATAAATGTTTAATTTTCAATGTTTTTCTCGTCAAACATCCTTAACAATTAAAAAACACACCACCCACCAATACAATACAGACTTTGAAATCTAAGACATTTCTGGTTGAGGATTTGTCATTTGACATGTTGACATACATTTCATTTGTTGATGTTGAATTTTCTGGAAAACCTCTGCCTCATCCTAGCAGGTGGCTTTGTGTCAGGATCAAGGTCGGGCGTTATCAGTACTTTACAGTAAACCACAGCCCTTTCTATGCTGTCACACCCAGGCAGCTGCGGCTGGGGTGTAAGCAGTCATCAGAAAACATTTCAGATAACTCTGCTGCTTACTGCCTGTTGTCATACCCTCGAGCCTCATTCTGAAGCTATTTAGCAAAGGTTTTTGGGATGAGTCGGAGGCATGTGTGTGATGGGAAAATATGAAAATGACCACAGTCGGCACAGAATGTGCCGGTAACGTCTGACACTTGCTTTTAGGGAAATACCCCTTTCCTGCATCTTTCTCAATCTGGCTAAGGCAATAATGTTAAAAACATGGTGGACATGCTTGTTTAGAAATGTTGGCTTTTTAAAAGAAAAGCCAAACTTAGTGAAACACCTCCTTGTGCTATTTTAACAATTCATACATTACAGCAATGAAATATCTTAACTAATTGATTTAAAACAATTAACTATTGCGTTAACAACTGAACTGAACTGATGAAGAAAGTTTTTAAGGGTTGAATCTTCTCAACCCTCATAAAATTCATTAGCTCTGGGAAACCATCTCAAAGTGAAAGGGTCTTACAGCTGAATGGGCATTCAATCAGTATTCAGGGATCTAGCATCCAGAGCTTTAAACCATTGCACAGCATACCCCACTAGAGACAAACTTGATTCTTTGTTTGACCGTGCTTTTTGAACTCTCGCTGCCCCCCCTGGCCCGTGAGTGTGTGTAATGTAAACACTCTCTAATGACAAAAGACCACTCCATCACTGGCTGAGTCCCAGTCCCCCTGCAGTCACCCGATCTATCAAGGCGGGAACATCAGAATTCCTGGAAGACTGTAACTTTTATTTTTGTTGCTGCCATTAAAGTTGAACTAAGCATTCCGTGGAGGGGGGACCTAAAATAGCTCAAACCACAAGCTAACACTGACTGATTACTGCTGCTTTTAGTAGGAGATGTGGCAGTTCGTTAAGTGATGCTGTACCAGCTGTATTTTTCTGATCATCTTATTGTGTGTGCTTTGTGAAACAGCTTTATAAGTGTCAAGCTGATAGGTATAAGGGTAATGAAATCGTTTTTTGAATGAACTGAGGGATTATTCTTTCATTTTACCCCTAGTCAGGAATCTGACTGTAGCTTGACCATGTGATTGATTGCTGAGTTGAAGAGGTGATCACAGGCACTGAGCGGCTATCAGGGTAGTCCACAGGCATTCGGTTTGATGAATTGTGTGCAAACATACACAAACACACACGCAGGCGCACCCTGCTACTGCAGCTGATAGAATAGTTTCTCTATCAACATGGATGAGGTTTTGATTTATTCAAGCTGTAAGAATGAACATTTAGCCATTAGCTCTCTGGTGGTATTTGCAAAGTGGTCCATAAATTGTCATGTTAAGAAAAATATAGATTTTGACAAGTTCCTGCAAATGTTGGGTGATGAAAATCAAACTCCTTAAAATTTTAGGAGCATGTTCATACAAATGGTCATTTATGTCGAATGATTCAAATTTAAATAAAAACTGGATAGTGTGTAAAATATTGACTGCACATTTGTGGACAATAAAGTCTAGTGGAACAATCCAGTGGGGTTTTGCCTTAGATTTGTCCATTTGCTCCTGTTGGCTTTATTTGTTTACTTGTAAACTGTTTTTGTATGTACATTTCAGGGGAGGTTGGGTGAGCATATAAGTAATTAACAAGCAATTTGCTCCACCTAGGGAAATGGGGAAGTTACTCATGCGATGCACCCTGACAAGGTCACTGGCTGATAGATGAGCCTGAGCAAAGGGATTTTTTGGAGATTGTGAAGGCAAGCAGGACTGTGGGAACCAGACAATTAGTAGGTGGAAGGGTAGGCAGCCATGCTGGATGATGACCATGAGACTGGTTTATATGAACACTCACCACTTGGCTGGCTGACAGGGACAGGGCCGGCACCTGGGCTCAACCAGCTCCTAATACAAAGTCATTTATCTTTGAGGAGGCTGATCTGGCAATTTGCCAACAGTTTTGGAGAAAGAATATGAGATATTTCCTATCAAAGAGAGCCGTGAAGTCTTGAGTTTTTTGCCTTTAAGTATTTGTAATGTAAATATTTCCTGATCAGCTCATAGTGTGTTGATATAACATTTAACAAAATCATCACCACATTGTAATTTTCTGGGAATATATCTAATTTTTTAGTTTTTCATGCTACTGGTTCAGTTTTTTCCCAAGGTTTTTTAAAGTCAGCTCTTCTGGAATTGCAGCTTGTATACATAATACAGAACGTGCAACATTCTGGGGACTCATAACAGTCTGTTGCAACAGAGCAAAGGAAATAATATGAATTATAGGAGAATTGGGGTTTGATTAAAAAAACATAATTTTCCATGATAAGTTAAGCTCATATGAATTCTCCTTGCAAAATGTGTAATTATTTTACAGCCTCAAGGGAACATGTGGGAAAGGGCGAAGTAAGTGAGTAAATCTGTGCAAGATTTTGTAGATGTGAGACAGATATATCTGCTTTTTACATGCAAAGATATTTTGATTAGTTGATTTAATGGTTTGGATTTTTTTGCCTTTTCACGTTTTAAACTGTGATATTTTTAGTCCCTTTTGTGCCTGTGTGCGTTTGTGTGTCCATGTTTTTGTGTTGTTCCTTCTGACCTTAGTGTATGTCTATCTTGGCCAGGACACTCTTGGAAAAGAGTTTTTAATTCTCAAGAGTTTCTGTTTCCTGGTTAAGTTAATGTCAAAGGGAAATACAAGGAGGAGGGAGTTTTGTTGAAGCAGAGCAAACAACCAATTCTACACACATACAACCACAAAACAGAAAAACAATCAAGAAGGGAGACATACATCACAGCAAGCTTTGGAAAAGATTGCGGTGAAAACAAACATATCTCTTATACAACTGGCAAAGGTAGATTTATAGTGATGAAAAAAAATACTTGGGATACAGCTTAATCAAGGATCAGCAATGTTTTGTAGCATTTTCCTGAAGACAGAACAAAAGGTTTTTCTTGCCCCTGGAGCTGCAAAGCAGACAAAGCTTTTATTCCGGTTTTCATATGCATGAGACTTTTCACAGTTGTTAATCAAATAATGAAAGCCTCAGAGTTACACAAGCACATTTATGAAGAAACAGACATAAATTCTTTGCAATGACAACATACAAGGGCAGGGAGAGTGAAGGTGGGATTTGGTACCATGCACTTGACTTCCCAAAAGAATGACGCATCAAAGGAGGCCTGTGGTGAAACACTCTATCAGCTATTTCCCCTCAGCACACTATTTAAGGTAGTGTATATCCAGACATGTAACAGAGCTAAGTTCCCTTTCTGTAACTGCAAGGAGAAATATGTGGCAAGCAAGCCTTCATGGAATTATGACATGGCACGATGAGTCTCAATCGCCTATGAGTTCCCAAATTACACATGTTTCCCTGACAGATGAACTGTGAGCAGGTTGGCTTTGACATTAAAAAACGTTCCACCATATCTGTGCAGCCTGCACAACACCCAAATGTTGGTAACATGACTCCTTAGCTATACGGTGACCTTTTTGCTCCTCACTGCCGACGTTAAGTGACTCACCATAGTAAAAATATACAGGATCCCATTTGGTACAGGGGCCAAACACATGCATCCACAGGTCAGTGGGTTTGTGGTGGAGGAGAGGTGCCCTCTGACACTGACAGTGACTCCAGGTAGGAAAGCTCTATATCAGGCCTTCTATGGTGGCCCCCAAAGATGGACTACAGCTCAATCAGATAACCTCCTCAGAGGAAACTCACCTTACAAACTCTAGTTCAAGACATCAAGGGTAAATCTTCCTGAGTGGAGACAAAAACTTAGATAAATAAGAATGAAAGCAAAGAGAAATCTAGGACTAATTACGTTTATGAGGTTGTTCAGCAGTAAAAGGGGATCACTGCAGATCTTGAGGAATTTAGAAACACTTCATCAAACTTTTACAGCCAAATGTATGCACACATTTTAGTTAGTGGTAATCTTTAAAACGTACAATATAAAGACGATATACTCTGATAACACACGACTAGATGGCATCTCCCGTTTTAGACTACTGTATCTTTAACAACTTAACCCGGAAGAGCAAACATGTCACCGGCAACACAACCTTTTCTTTTCCGCTCACAGTTCACCATCGGTCGGAGCGTGGATTTCGTCGCTGGGGCTCACAGAACCACTCAAAATGAGCGTACCGGCATTCATCGACATTACAGAAGAAGACCAGGTACGACTCATGCTTTTTTAACATTTTGATACTACCAAGGTCTACCAACACATGAGCTTATTAATTGAAAACTACCCAACCGGTTAGTCTAGCATGCTAGTTAGCCTAAATGCTAACCGCACCGTTTTTAAGCAGCTGACAGGTTCTAAACATGCTTTTAGCTTTTCGCTGAATGTACACCACAACAAATGATAAGTGAAGTTATGAGTTGACAAAAAATCTCGATTTATTATTTTTGATTAAGTAGAAAATACTAACTGATACTCGTTTCCAATTAACATATTTATGTACAAGTTTGTAAAAGGTCTTGCATTTAGCTAGATTAGCATAGAATGCTAGGTGCTTGGTCACATCTGCATAAAAAAGACGTTGAGAGAGAGCGAGTGTTTTGCTGAGTTAACTTATTTATATAAAACCTATGAACAGTTACATTTATCATTTTTCTGTTTGTCTGCCAAAAGTTTCTGCGATGCTAATTCTGAAGAATAATAACAAAACACCGTGGCTATATGTTTGTATTCGTTTTTATTAGTGTAGTTTAGCGTCCTTTGTGTGGATGAGTTTGTTTACCCCTTTAAAGCCTGATTAACAAATCCCTTTAATGAGATATATATATATATGTGTGTGTGTGAATATGCATCATTCAAGTCAAAATTATGTAGTCTTCTGCCTGCTGTTATCAAGCATATCTGATTGTGTACAACAGGGTTTTTACATGAAATGATGCAAAAAAAAATTGAAATGTATAAAGAAATATGCATATGGTAAAGAGGGTTAACCACCATGATTGATAATTCACGTTGCAGGCCTCAGAGCTGAGAGCCTACATAAAGTCCAAAGGAGCTGACATCTCAGAGGAGAATGCAGAAGGTGGACTTCACGTTGATTTGGCTCAGATTATCGAGGCATGTGACGTGTGCCTCAAAGATGACGACAAAGGTAGGTGACAAGGAGCACCCCTGCACATTATTTGACTGATGCTTTGCTAGATTTTAGGAAGTGCAGAGAGTGGACAATGTTAACACCCAGTTTGTAACATTTTGTTTTGCCACTAATAGATCCTGTGTGAAACTAAAACACTGCATGTGAAAATCGATTGCTCACAACTTGTGTGCTTCTCTGCAGATGTTGAGAGTGTCATGAACAGCATCGTGTCATTGTTGTTGATCCTGGAGACAGAGAAGCAGGAGGCCCTCATTGAAAGTCTGTGTGAGAAACTGGTGAAGTTTCGTGAAGGAGAAAGACCCTCCCTCAGAATGCAGCTGTCAGTTCTTCTCTCTTTGTTTAAGTCAGCACTTGACTGTTAAAAATATTTACACACCTGATTATCTTTTTTGTTGAAACATTCTAGGCTGAGTAACCTGTTCCATGGCATGGATGAGAACACTCCAGTGAGATACACTGTCTTCTGTAGCCTCATCAAGGTGGCTGCCACCTGTAATGCCATTTCCTTCATCCCCACCGACCTAGATCAGGTACATATCTTTTCCTAATGAAAAACACTCCTAATCTTTTATATATATATATATGTATATATATATATATATATATTTTATATTTTTTTTTTTTGTTTGTTTGTTTGTTTGTTTATTTGTGCTGTAGAGAATATACATCTGGAAACTAGTTTTATATGTCTGAATCCAAACCTTATCAGTGGCCTTTCTGTTTGGCGGTTTTGCTTTTTATCAGGTGCGCAAATGGATTGTTGACTGGAACCTGAACACAGAGAAGAAGCACACACTTTTGAGGCTGGTGTACGAAGCATTGGTTGACTGCAAAAAGAGGTAACTGAATTTATGCCATTTTTACATATCCATGGGACCAGCTAATTTATTTATTAATTTTTTAATATTTAATTGTGTTCCATAGTGAGGCTGCTGCAAAAGTGATGGTTGAGCTTCTTGGTAGTTACACAGAAGACAATGCTTCACAAGCGCGTGTTGATGCCCACAGGTAAACTCACACAGCTTGTTCAACAATAGTCTCTTAAGTCACAAAAAATTCCATTATATATCACCTCTGTGTCCCTTTACTTTCAGATGCATCGTCCGTGCTCTTAAAGACCCCAACACTTTCCTGTTCGATCACCTTCTCACCCTAAAACCTGTTCGCTTCCTGGAGGGTGAACTCATCCATGATGTGAGGGCTAAGTTATGTTTAATGATTGTAGCTCCACATAAGCAAGGCTGAGCTGGAGTAACCAGCCTATTTATTCCCCTCTACATCTTTGGGAAAGGCTCCTCATTTACCAGTCACAGATTTTTCTTTTGCCAGTGTTTTATACCGATAAATAATGAAACACGATACAGAGATATTTTTGTGGTTAAGAGTGAGCCATGTAACCTTTACTGTCCTGCATAACTTTTCTTTCTTTTTTTATTCTCAGCTATTAACGATCTTTGTGAGTGCAAAACTGGCTGCATACGTCAAATTCTACCAGAATAACAAAGACTTTATTGACTCTCTTGGTAAGTCAACATTTGGCATTATTACATCAACACAGAAACTGGAAGAGCTAATGAGTGACAAATTGTATTTACTTGTGCTTGGACGTATGGCAGATATAAGTGCTTGTGTTGTGCTGACACAGTGCAAGAATTTGTTATGGCTTTTTTTTTTTTTTCCTTCATCACCACTAAAAGAAGTAAGTATAATTAAAGTGTGTGTGGGAGTGGCTTTTAAAACAGACAATGCAGAGTTATGTTTGTGTTAGGGGAATTAAAGGTTGAGCCTTTTATTACAGGGAACCTCCCTGATTGACAAAGAACTGACTGTGACTGTTTTGTGCTTAATGATCCCTACATATTGCTCCTCAGGTCTCAATCACGAGCAGAATTTGGCCAAGATGCGTCTGCTGACATTCATGGGCATGGCAGCCGAATTCAAGGAGATCTCCTTTGACTCCATGCAGCAGGAGCTGCAGATTGGAGCTGATGACGTTGAGGCTTTCGTCATTGACGGTACAAACGCCTCACCTCAGCTAAATCTAAGCCCACTCACTTCAAACAGCACAGCTGCTGGTAACTCCATGCAGGAAAGAGGAAAGGAATTATGGTGGCCACTGATACTATATATCGTGTAAACCCAGCTTGCTTTGTGTTTTAAGAGCAGCTGATGTTCGTTCTGACTTGTCTGCGGACATCCATAACAGAATCTATGTATGAGTGTGTACATGAATAAGTTCTCATAATGTGAACTAAAAATTGAATCTCACCTTTTAATAAGTTATTGATCTTTTTTTTTTTAAAGCTCTTTGACCACCAGCCTAATATTGTAAAATCTTTTGAATTGACTGGGGAAAAAAACATTACTTTCAGATGTTGATCTTCATCTTTTTCAAAGTTTTCAGCCAGTTTACTACCATAGCCTGTGGTCTCACGGTTTAGTTGAGAGCAGCTGACATAGAACATGCTGCCGCCTGGATTTTTTTGAGACTTCCTTTCTCAATATAATCCCAGCTGAGATTGAAATACAGACAGGGGTCTTAAGAAGAATTTGTCAGGCAGCAGCACCCATTGGTCAGATCATGTTTCTTAAGGTTTTTCAATGATATATATTTTTTTATTTTTCTCTGCTTAGCTGTACGGACCAAAATGGTGTACTGCAAAATCGACCAGACACAGCAGAGAGTTGTTGTGAGGTAAGTGTCTCCGTTCCACTCTCTCATAGATCCAGCTGTGAATAGCTTAAGGAGTCGGCATCGGTGCACTCCTCCAGGCAGTCAGCGACCAGCCTGGAAGCTGAAAGGACTGCTTTGTGTGTAGAAAGCTACAAAGTGCAGCCTCCTGTTTTTCATACTTGCGCGTGCTGTTGCTGTGAGATGTGACCTTGGCCTCGCTTTCCTGTCTCGACCCAGCCACAGCACACACCGCACCTTCGGAAAGCAGCAGTGGCAGCAGCTGCACGACAGGCTCAGCTCCTGGAAGGCCAACCTAGCAACCGTCAAGACCAGTCTCCAGGCCCTGTCACCGTCTGCCTAATTCCTCATTCTAGACTTTGAGACCCCCGGTCTTCACTGCTTTCCAGATTCTCTCTAATTTGATCGGTTTTTGACATTTACAAAATAAAATATCAGTGAAGCTAACCTGTGGCTGTGTTTTATTTTTCTTTACTGAAGTATGCTAGTTATTGTTATTATTAAGCACTGCAGTGAGCACAACAAACCTCATTTATTACCATTTGGGATTTATTAGGCCATTATTGGATCATGAATTTACAGTTTAATGGGTCCTTTCAGTATTTCCACAAAACAAAACGGTGACTTTAATTGGGGCTCATCCTCCAGCGACTCTCTCCATCTGCTTTTAGTTAAAGGACAGCATGCCAGTGCAGCAGATGAGCTGTAACGTGGGTTGAGAAATGGACTTCAACCGGAGGGTCATTATGTCTGGGAACCTGAGATCTGATTACAGTAACGTGAACTTAAAATGACTTTTCTGTTGAGGTTGACGCTGTGTTACTGTATTAACAATTGTGGCGAAAGGATGAATCATTGCCACAGAGTTTCAACCTGGTGGGTCAGCGGATGGAACTCAGTTGGAGTCTGCGTGACTCATGCCGGTGTTATGCAGCTGGAGTTTTCACATTGGTTTTATCCACCTTAAAATGTCTGATTAAAAGTACTATTTACGGTAGTTTGCATGATTTCTTATGAAATTATGCCCATTCACAGCCAAAGTACTTAATCCCAGGATAAAACGTCAATCTGTAGCTTTTTCACCTCAATAAGAAAAAACAAACTCAAGTAATACAAGAACAAAAGTATGTTTTCTAGCTCCACTTGTATACGTCTGTCAATTAGGATAAAGGAAAAAAGTTGTAACAGTACTACATCACCAACTGCGAGCGGTTTAAAGACAGTTAAACCCCAAAGCAACAGGTCCTTAATGGCAATTTGATTGATTTAATCATTCCCTAACTGCCCACTAAAAGCAGGAGGAGGGAGATATGGCTCAAATGTGCTTGTCCACAGGTGATGGCAGGTTTTTACTTACTTATTCAGGACAGCAATGTACATCTTTGAGTTTGAGCGTTAGTCAGCTGCCCACACCCCATGAACACAATGTTTACACTTGTTTCAGAATGGAATCACAGGTCGGATCTGAGCACATGACCCATGGGCTTGTTTTGAAGATGATGGTAAAAGATGAACCACACAGTTCATTAACATAAATCCAGCGACCTCCGTGTTTTTTTTTCCAACTGGAGCTGTTACTGGGATGGTCCATTTGCTAAACTGACACAGTCTGAAAGCCAACTCCAGAGACAGGGCGCTATTGGGGATTATTAACTGCAGACATTAGGCGTGCTCTCCCAGCCCGATGTGCTGCTTCCATCTGAAAGCTGAAAATCAATCAAATCAAAGTACATGAGCCGCTTTACTGTCAGACACCTGACAGAATGCCCCAAAACTTGCTGTCAGTGTGAGCCACAATCGTCACACTAAATGAGAAACCTCTGATGGTGTTGTGAAAACAAAATGAACATCTCTCAGGGGTTTCGTCACATATTCTGAAGTTGTTATTCTTATTCTTATTCCTGTGATTTGAAGCTTTAGTGGACAGACTTTAAAGTTCAAGACATCAGTTAACTGCTGAAGTGTTTTTATGCATTTGTAACTGGTGGACATCTATCCGTATGATTGAATATAGACCACATGCCTTTGTAAGTCATAAGAGCAACAAAAGCTGGACATAAATGCCGAGATGACGTCCTCACTTCAGCTGGTCATCCTGACTTTGACCAATCCTGAACACTAGATCTGGGGCTGAAAAAAACTAATGACCATTGGTCAACAGGAACATGCTGCTAAAAACTCAATTAGCAAAAACAGCTGGAAACACAGAAACAAAAACATGTTGAGTTTTGTTTTTTGCCCCTCGATGCAAACTAAATGGCCAGTTCTTTCACTCAATAATCTGTTTTCAGGCAGCACTCCAGAGGATTAGGATGTTGAGTCTGATGATATATGGCCTGGGCATTAGGTGTAAAAGGGGTTTGTTGGAGTTGTCTCCCTCCGGGACAGCACTGAATCTGCACCAACTGACAAAGAGCAGATTACTGACATTAAACTTTCTGTATCCCTGGTCCTAATTCACAGGGCTTATTTTTTGACAATTAAATCTGCAGCTCAAACTGTTTAGTTTCCAGGCTGGGCCACTTTTCATTCGGTACATCTTTGTAATGTGATCTTTTTCAGCCTTACCACAGAGACATTTTACTCTCATTAAATGGGCATTAGAGGTGAGCGCTCTCTGCCTCAGTGTGTTCTTTTCCCTATCATACCAGAGGTCTGCTAAGGCTCACTGCACACTTCTGCCCAGTTGCCCGCGGGGAGAAGCATCCCGAGCTCTTATCAGTGGGTGTAAATCACAAAACACATTCTCTGGAGCACTGCCTCATCACAGCCACCTGCAAGGTGAAGCGAAGAACCGACGGAAAACTAATTTGGAGCTCAGTTTCCGACTTTCAGCATGCGCTTCATCTGTTGCACTTGCTTTTAAGGCACTTCAGTCCTTCCAGGCTTTTCCTTTAATTTGTCAGACTGTTTTCAAGCAGCGGTTTTGAGGATGGCTTTCCTCAGATGAAAACACTGTGGGCTGAGTTTGGTTTATCTTTTGAAAGCAGCTTGACTCTGCCTTATCTCAGTTAGATTGGCTTAATTGGCAGCGTTTGCACATGCAACCTGGGCTGCATGTGCAAACGCTGCCAATTAAGCAGTTGTGGAAATAACTGAAAATGTTATGAATGCTATTCTACTGTCCTCAGAGCAGTCTTGTAGGAGATAGGTAAGTACTCCTACGTAGTTACATGTACATGCAACCCCATGACTGTTGCTTTCAAATGTTAACTTTTCGTAAAACAAATTTACTGGATATGAAGAGCGCTCCCTCTTCTACATCTTCAGACTTTCAGAAGTTTGGGATTTTCCAGCAACATATACAGTATGTGTTGTTGACAGCTCTGGCAAGGTAAGGCTACCCTTGCCAGCAGAGTGTCTGCTGCTTCCAAAGGAGAAAAAAAATAAGTTTTTCCCACTTTATGTGTATTTGGCATGGTTGCTTCAGCTAAACCTAATGCTGAGTAGAAAAACAAAGTCACCACCAGCAACTACAGTGAAAATTAGATTTTGTTACAGTATCAGGCACAAGGTCATGCCATATCTGACATTACAAGTGACACACTGAAGCTGAAGCAGGGTTTTCTTCTTTGGAATAAAATCTTGTCTTTCATCTTTGATTTGTCTTTCAGTAGACTCAGACATTGATATATTTTTATATACAATTGCTGTTGATCCATATTGTCTTCCTGTTAGTTTGTTCTTTAACTCTTTCTGAAGCCATTTAGGTGTTTAATAAGCTGCCCCCTTTGCTGGTGATTTCATGAAACTGAAATAAATTCCACAACAATCTGTAAGCAGAAATGTTGCGACTGACTGCGAGGATGACCACTCCAGATATTTTCCTGTCCTCTGCTTTTGATTAACGTGTTGTCTCTGTAGTCAAGCCATTCATAAGAGACATTCTTCGTGCATATTGTTGTACGTAAATGATCTGTACGCCGCTGCATAGTAAGTGCTGATTGACCAGTTGCTTGTCTTGGAGAGAATTCTCCCGTAAAAGAGATTTTAAATCTCAGGACTTCAATTTTCTGAGTTAAATGGAGGTTGAATAAATAAAACAAAGTTTGGAATTTAATTTCTTTCACCCCTTTTTTTTCATATCAACATTCCCTCTGGGTACATCTCAGTCTGACAGTAGCCAGAGATGTGGTCAAGAACAAGAGAGGGGCTCTCACTGCACTTCAATTAGCACCATCCCATAAGGCTGAGATAGTGCGCAATTGCATCCTATCAGCTTCTTTATATAAACATGAACAACATGTCCACAAGCTCTGGGGCTCTCCGTGTGGAGGCATACTGTTTGAAATCTAAACAATTTTACTAGATATCATTTCCAAACCAAAATAGCAGACATTGCTCAACTCCTTTCAAACCTCATACAATGTAAATGTCTAAATTAATAATGGTGTACAAAAATGACTGAAATCCATGGCACATCCTTTACCCGTACAAGGCCTGTGGTGTTTCTGATCCACTGAGAGGTGAGCTTGAGTGCTTTCATGAGACCTGATGCAGAGATCCCAGGTGATAATGTTGTGTTACAACATTGCAAACATGAAGAAGAGCTGAAGTGGTAAAAACAGTCAGACCCGGTTAATGCATTTGCCCATTTGAAGTGTCACAAAGCAAGATGGCCTCTTAAATCCCCCATAAATCTTAGTTTTCGAGCTCAGCCAGAGTTTATGTGAGACAAGAACACTTCTGAGAGTTTCGGCAGCAGCCTCTAACATGGAAGAAATATGTGAGAACGATAGACTGCTGAGAAAATCATAGAAAATTCAGCAAAGCTTGTCAGCAACCGCTTGCCACCTAATCTTTTTGGCATTTATTCTACTATTCTGTACATTGTGGGAGTTGGCTGAGGGGGGGCATTCTTTACAGAAATAATTTCTGAAGTTTGATGTTTGATGATAGAATAAGGCAGTGCTGTTAAAAAGAGCAGAATGAAATCTTTTGTTGCTGTGGGACTAAAGTTAATCCAGTTGCCATGAATGCAGAAACATTCCACCATCGGGTAGGACATATTTCATGAAGGAATAAGAGTGATCTCTCAGGACAGCTGTCTTTTTGTCTGCAGCAAACCAGCAGTTAACCAACGAGTTATCAGGTTTACTCACTGGATGGGTGAAATTGTGTTTTTGCTTTAATTTCTCTCTCATCACTTGATTAAATGTTAGTTATTAAAAAAAGATTGCTGTAGTCTTTCTTGGACCATAGGCATCTCTGGAACACACGATGCCTCTTTCAACACCATTTTTTGTTTAGTTCTTGTAAAAATGATTCTACTCTAATAACAAAAATCAGCTCCACAGTGGATATCTGAAAACAGCTTAAACAGACTGATAACCATTTCATTCTGGAGATTGCCATCTAGCGTTCAGTTTGTCTACATGCACGAATGAAGAGTGTAATCCAGGCAAACGTGATCGACTAGTCGAGTCTTTCGCTTTCGGTGGAGCAGGAATTGTACCTGTTGGGAGTAAACAAAAGTTTCCCGTTTCTTTAGAGAGCTGCGGGCGGTGCTGTTTCGATTAACTCGGAGACGTCTTACTCTTGGAACGATTCCTTTTTGAATCAACCAAAAAAGATAGGTGTAAACTTAAACTAGGAATTGGATTGATTTTTTTCTTTCTGTTACTAAGGTTAGACATTTCCCGTCTCTGCTTATCAGCTCTGAGGCCGCCGCTGGAGCGCAGCTGCCGCTCCCTCTGCGGACTGAACTCTGCCCACAATTACGCGGCGCGTTTCTGCGCCGATAACGTAGAATGAGGGAACCCTACGGCGTTTTTTAAAAACTATTTTGCCAGAAAAAGAGGCTTAACGGGAGGGCTGTGAACAGGACTCCTCTGCGGGCAGGTGGACACACACACACACACACCATGTTGCTCCACCTGTTGGTGCTCCTCCAGCTGCTGCTTGGCGCACAGCCGGCCTGCGTGCGCACTCTGCTGTCCACGCACGAAGGCCCACACGGCCAGGAAGGTGGGATGTTTCACAAACTGAGTCCCGAGCAAAAGGTTTCTGCCCGGTCCTGCCGTGTGTGTGACTTGAAATCTGTCGGGTGTTCTCGGTGAAAGTCTTTGCAGATGAAGGGGACGCAAATTCGTTCCTGGGACGCCACCTGCTGTTCAACCGGTTCGACTTTGAAATGTTCGTTCCGGGGAATCTGGAGAGAGAGTGTTACGAGGAAATCTGCAATTATGAGGAAGCCAGGGAGGTTTTTGAAAACATCCCGCAAACAGTTAAGTGATGCCGGTTTAGATATGAGAGCAGAAAAGGCCTCCCAACGTGAAATAACTATGCTGACTTTACTTTTCTCCTCCTAGAATGATTTTTGGAAGAAATACACAGAAGGTAAGCAGCAAACATATTACCAAAAAAGACAGTAAATTATATTTTTGTGTGACGAATAATCAGTCCTTTAGTACCTTCTGACATGTGTTGGTACATGGAGTTTGCAACTGATGCTGCATTATTACAGCTGCTATCCTGTGATGTGGTTTCCTGATCAAATATTACAATGAATGCCATTCATTGACCCTGGGATTTATTGTATTATAACGTTCAGGAGGACATAAAACATCATTTATTTATTCAATGTTGCCATTTGAAGTGTACGACAGTTCCGTGTGTAAAAACTGCCACTCGATGTGTACCTGACAGTACCTGACATGTAAACCTCTTAGTATCACACACATTTCCTGCTCAGGTATGTGGGGCTGAAATGATATTGGTAAACAAAAACAGTACAGAATGTCTGCTACGGAGAGGTTTTGTCATAGAACTGTGCCCTCTCACAGAGATGAGATGCAAAACCAGCGTGCATAGGAGTGCGTAGGTGTGTGTTGTGGAACACTGCCCTTACCCTCATATGCAATATGGATCATCTCTGGTCATGAATATTATGGGGAGACGTGTCTGAGTCAGTCATTTGGGCTCGTAAAACTTGTTCCACGGCTTGTTCAAATGGCGCTTGGAACATGTTAAACATTCTACATTTTAATCCTATTTAAATTCCAGATGCAAATATCAGAAGTATCCTAGTCGCTGTAATCAGATGGTTATCTTTGCTATGATGGTGGTAGCCGCAGACATATCACTATCATGAGCCGCTCTGGACAAGGTCCAGTTAGATCTTATGGTTTCTGCTGATTCACAGATCACAGCAATCGCTCCTCCCGGGTGGATGTGGTCGGCCTTTTGGTGGGACTCATTTCTGCTGCTGTGGCTATCGTCATCATTGCCGTCTTGATCTGGTATTGCTGTCATGGCAAACTGAAAGGTGGCCTTAGCCGTGCAAGGTAAGCATGCTGGTTTGACTTTGTTAGGGAGCTGTGGTGGTTTGAAAACCCGTCAAACCTTCAACAAATCGGCAACCAGAACTTTTGAGCGCTCCACATGAAATTGAAGACTCTGTACTATGGCTGAAGGCAGTCTTGAGTCCCAAGCCACTCAGCTTGGTGAGGAAATGTTGAAGATACAGACCAGATGGACTCAAAGTGACCATCTCGTCAGCACACATCAGGGCCCAGATGCTTGAATGATGCACACACACTTTCAGTGGTGTAAGCCCCACATGGTGAGATAGGAAAGGAAAAAAGAGGTCACCTCATTTACCCCAAAATATAAATCAAATTCATTCTAATGAGCTTTGTTTTAATAAGTCACTGATTTGTTTTTGGTCTTGTTTATTTGTGGGTATCTGCACAATAGTTGCCCTGGTAGTTGCATATAAAACATTTAAGACAGAATTAGTTAAAGTTTTAAAGATTTGCTGTAAGTGAAATAAATAGATAAATAAATTCAATATAATAATATATATTGAATAATATAGAAAATAATTTATTAGATATTCACATTTGAAAAGTTGAAAGTTTGAAAACCACCAACTGTATCAAACTTTTTCCCTCAAAGTCAAGACAAGAAATTAACAGCTTTATTTGTGAAAAGGGGGGGAGGGGAGTTGATTGAAAATAGTTTCAGCTCTGCACTCATCAGAGTGACACATTTGGGTTCTTTGACAGTAGGCTTCATGACATTCATCATTCCACGTTGATAAAGTCACCATTGAATGACGCACTGTCCACACATCCACTCCACTCACAGTTCCAGTCGGGCACGCCCCAGGAGGAGTAACGCTTCCCTCATAGTGAGAAGGGTAGAAGAGGTCTCCCTGCACCCCATGGTTCCTCCGGCTTCTGCAGAGGACCCCGACATACCAGGTCTACCCTCATACGAACAGGCCATCTCAGGAAATGGGCCGCATGACGCCCCGCCACCTCCTTATCCTGGGTAATTTTGTCATGCATATGTGTCTGTGATGAATTTTTAAGTCCATTTTCACAATTGCACATGGTTAATTTTTTTAATACATGTTTTGGTTTTAGGTCAAGACCTGGGAGTGCTCGCCGGTAGAATCTGCAGGAAAAAGCATGTAAATAACAGTTAACAGTAAACCAGCATTTCCCTTGAAGAATCTACTTGTTATACTGTATATATTTTTTCATCATCACAAGATATAAAATGGGGTCTTTAAAACCTCTTTACTGAGCCTATAAAGTTATATTATACCTCTGGAGTCTAAAATTGGGCAGAATCAGTTTTGGAACTGTAGGAAATTAATCCTTAAAGACGTTTTTGGCAGATTAAGTCATGTTTTCCTGTAGGGTCTATTGTTGTCTGTTTTTCCCATATTTTTCCCATATTTTACATCACTCTTGAAGGACTTCTCTAATCTTAAATTCATCCAAAGACCAGGGAAGCTTTCCCCTGTAAAGATCAGGGCATTGTTGCCAAAGAGGACTTTCTGTGCAAGGTTACAAATAATTCTGGACCTATTCTTATTCTAATTAAATTACAAGAGAGAAATAGTACTTCAACATCCCTATTCCCTTATCAGAATGTCAAATCATCTCCAACGGTCAAACAGCTGTGAATTAACTGGTAATTAATTGATTGTCAAGTCTGGTATCATGGACTGAGGAGATATGTACTGTAAAATTATTTCTTTCTCATTTTGCTTATACTTCATTAATGTATCGCAATGTATAATTTTTCTTATGTGATCATGCTGTGCCAGATTGACCTTATAGTACATTTGATCACTTTTGCTGCTTTTTGTGTTTGGGTTAATATGAAGAAACCATGATGTGTTTGTATGATAGCATTCAATTAGGAAGCTGCAGAAGCAGCACAGACGGCACTTATAGGAAAATCGGGTAGAGATCGGGATTACATTTCATTTCGGACAGTTCGTACACAGTCAGACTGACGAGGGCACTTTCTCCTTCAGAAGGAAAACAAACCACAGAATTGATTAAATCACTACAAGTGTCTTACTCAGAGCTCTTTTTGTTTGGATTCAATGTATCCTCATGTCACTCTACTCTAATTTATTATTGTGTAATTTTCTGCATGATGTTTGCATAATTTATATCTCATCAATCACTTCGAGCGCTCCTGATTATCTTTTTCAACAACTGTGTTATAGGTAGAGACTCAAGATTGGCTGTTGTACAGCATTTTAACTTTTGTTGAACATTTTGCAGATGCAGTAAATGATACCTGTAGCTTTGAAGGAATGAAAGGATGAAAGCTTTGCAGTTTGTCTGAGCCTGGATTTATGAAGCCTGATCAGAATGCTTGAAAAGCAGATCTAAAGCAGAACTATTTAAATGTTTTAAATAAAACTGGTGTTTGAATTAATTGTGTTTCATGTCTTAATCTAATTGATGTATTCCTATATCTGTTGCAATGAAATTTAATGTACTTAATAGTTCTGAATTTGAGTTTTCTTGGTATGTTGGACATAGTGACCATGTTGCCCACTATGGTGTTCTTTTTCCTCCTTGAATAATTTGCATGTACAGCATCTATTCCTGTTAAAGCTCTAAAATGGTGAGTCAGTGCTAGTAAAAGTAAAGGACACAATATTTCTGCAACTTTTCTCCGGGGGGTGGGGGGAGAGTAAGCTGCCAGATTTGAACATTTAGTCTTAAAAATGAAATATTCTTCAAGTATATTGCATGTTGGGACATACTTGCCCAAGTTGTTTGTTGCTTAAAGCTGTTTTAACCAAATACAATCAACAAGACAACTGGTCTTACAAAAGTGTCATGATATAATTTGTCCTGGCAAAGCAATGTTATCCCCAAAGCTTCCAATTCTTCAGCGCAGAGCGCAGGAGAACGTCCCTAATTCAAATGCAGCGCCACACCTCTGATCTCAGCCTGGGGTTGCCTCTGGAAGGGTCATGTGACTGTTTTCGCGTGGCGGAGCTGCCATCGTATTATTTTACCTCGATGCTGCGTTTTAAGAGTCAATAATGTGAAAAGTTGCCCGTCCGTATGGCACAATCCGTTTCACTGCAAGTTTCAGTTAGCCTGCTAGCTGTAGCCGAGACTCCCCGACCGGCCCCCCTTTACGCTCTGGTCTCCCAGCAGAGACTAACTTCTGTGACGGGAAATGAACGAAAAATAACCAGAGAAGGAAAGGTCATACTTTAACCGGGAGAGCGTTTCTTTTTTTGTTTTTTTTCGTTGTGGTTGTTAGTTAGTTTTTTTTTTTTTTTGCGGGACTCTGCGGCGCTTTTTTCCGGGACAGCCTGAGTCGACCGCCCGCTGGACCGGAGCCGTGCAGCTACGATGTGCGTCCGCCGCTCCGCCGAGCTCCGTCGGGGAAGCGAATCTTTCGCCGGATGATGGACAGGAACTACCCGAGCTCCAGCTTCGCGGACGCGCTGGCTCCACCAGCACAGACCGTGGCTTCGTGGGCCTATGACCGCGGCTCGGCCACTATCAAACCGAGGTACGGGATGAAGGCGAGGGCGGGTCACCTTTCCAAGGAAATGTCGGTGATGGAGGGGCCTAGCGGTGGTTTTCGGAGAGAGGTGCAAGGGGGGGGCTTGTGGGAATGTTGGGAGCTCCGTGGGGAACGAGTAGATTTAGGAAACAACAGAGTTGTGGAGGGTGACTTGTGAGTGGGTTTAGCCGTGTGTCGCTGCCTCGTAGCTCGTTAGTTTTTGGCTAGCAGACTGCCCCCTGTGCGCAGACAGTTATCAACCCAAAGAGGGGAAAGTGAGTCTTGTCAGCATTTGGACTCAACCAAGTGGGATAAACAGTGTCTGTGTTGTGTCGGCCTCTCTCCTTGCCCAATAGCTACCCCAAAAACATGAAGCTAGCTGCCAGTGTTCGGCGTGTCAAAAGAGTGTTAGTGTTTCGTCTTAAGGCGACGTGTCGAAATGAGTGTATTCCTGCTATTTTCTGCAGGTCTGACAGCTTCGCCCCTGCGTTCTAACTTTGGGCTGTTGGCTCAGGATGTCCAGAAGAGCAGATGCCAACCACCCCAATAGTGCATGACAAAAGCTAATTATTTCAGTAATAGCTGACCACAATTCTGGCCAAACTAGAGTAAAATGACCTTTCCTGTCTGTGTATCTTGACCTGGATGTCACAGGTTTGAGGCTGCTGCCGGGCATTGGTTTGCCATGGAGTCACTCTGGAAACTAAATCATCTAATGACATTTGGATTGGTTATAGGGTGCATTCATTTTTCCTATTTTTGCAGTCACTTAGCTAAGAATAGCTGCATGTGAAGGATTCATGGTGTGTTTGTCAGGAGTGTGGGGGACGGTAAAGAGCCCCAAAAGCTCACCTTTTAGCTCTGATAAATACATTTACAGATGTTTACTCTCTGAGAGTTTAAAGCCATTTGTCAGGAGATAAAAATAGTCATCGCTGTTTATGTTTTATGTCTGCATTAAAGACATGATTGCCTGGATGAGGCCCCAGAAAAATGAGTAGTGTGTCAGGAGCCAAACTTTCCTGACATTATTGAAAATATTTGTGTTCAGAGGAATGCTTTTAGAATATTACAACTGATAGTAGTTAACAGAAATTGAATCCATCCAGCACCTTGTAAAACCGGATTTCCAATGTACTTTATACAGCAACAAGGGCTGTATATACATATTCAGCAGACTGGATGATGTTCTGCTTTGCTTTGTATAATGTTTTTCAAACATTTTTGGAGGATTCTTTGGTTACAGAACACTAAAAATAGATGGAATGTCTGCAACATTAATCGCAATTAAACACATTTGTTTGGTCAGTGTGTCGGGACGCTGTTGTTGCTGTGCCTTTCTTCTTTGAACGGGGTGTGGTGTTACAGAGTATGTGCATTCACTTTGCTCAGGCTGAATACCTGAGAGAACAATATGGCTGCTGTGTGCTAAGACAAGTCATATACCCACTAAACTGCCGTGTTGTGCTGTCTGCCGGTGGTTCTAGAAAGGTGGATAACCTTATTCAAAAGCCCAGCGTATTCCCAGGAACCTCACAGTCACGGCAAAGCTCCTTTGCAGATAGGCAAAGCACGTGAAAAGCCTCCCATCTCCAGTGTGGTGACGGTGGCTTCTGGATTTTGCTTTCAAAAGTCCAACTGGTGTTTGTTTGTGCACACAGTCCCAGTTATGGAGCCGCACACCTTGACGCGGAGCTCCTCCAGCCGCAAAGCTACACCTCCACACATCAGCTCCCCACCTACACCACAGCGCACACCCCCGCTGCAGCCGGTGAGTTACCTCGCTAACGGCCCAGTTCCTGCCCAGTCCCAGACGGGCTGTAGTGACCGGTGGCCTGTGCTGGTGCAGATATTTCTGGTTGAAAATGCAAAGGCTGTCTGTGATCATCTTTCCTTTCCTATTTTGACTGCCAGGGACGCTGGAGTCGAGCAGTAACACTCCTGTGACTTCTATCATGAGCTTCCTGACAGCTATGGAGTCCAGAAGTCTTCAGGCTGGTCCTGTTAGTGCCTCACTGCTTCCTGCTTTCAGACCCACGTCTTGGCCCACTGGTGAGAACACTAAAGCTTTCTTAATTACGTTTTCATACGCATTTTTATCAACAATGGCTATTCTGAGTGATTTGGGGATTTCAGTCTTTATAATTTATGCATAAATTGAGTGTTTTTCTGTGAATTTCTGTGAAAAATCATGTCCTTATGCTATTGTGTGTGTTTGAATTTGTAGGTTCCAACTCCTCTACAGAGCTGTATTTGACCGGTGCCCTGCCCTCCACGGCCACTTTCCCCTCTCCTGCTGCTCTCACATCCTACCAGCACACAGGTGCCTACCCTTCTAGGAGTTATGCGACCAACTCTTCCCTTTCGCTCCAAGACCCAGCCTTCAGCACTTCTACCAATGGCCTGTTTTCTCACCACGACCCTTTGCTACACCTCAAACCCGGCCAGGCTGTGCTTCCCACCGCCCTGGCTTTCAGCCATCTGTCTTCCTCCTCTCTGGGGTCCACTTTGCCAGTGCAGTCCTCCACTTACCGCTCGGCCCAGGAGTCCGCCCCCCACCTTCTTCAGCCCCAGTTCAGCCTTCTTCCCTCTTCCCTGCCTGCACCTCACACTGCCCCACAGCCCTACGCCAGTACCATTTTTTCTGGCTCTATTGAAAGAGCTCTTCAGCGTGAATGTAGTGTTATCAAACACCACCAGAGGCCTTCAAATAGCCACATGGCTTCAGAACAGCTGGCTAACTCGGAGCACTCTTTACAGGGTTACTTTGGGTCCGGCGGCGAAGCAGATGTGGCTTACCAGCAGGACCCATCCCATCACACCCCAGCGTCCTGCAGCCCCTCCACAAGAGCAGACTCCACCCAAGGGGTCAACGGTTCCCCACAGCCCAAAACAGGGTGTGTAACACAAGCTTATTCATCCGCTAAAGATTGTTCCTCCGAGTTAGAGCCACACCCCGCCGGGGATGAGGAGCTTAACTCTCAGAATATGACCAAAGGGTCTCCTGAGCGTTATTCCTCCCTGGCTCAGAAGCAGAACTCGGTGATTGCTAACCAGCAGGCAGTCCAGCTATCGAGCCTTATGTCCAACAGTTTGCCTCAAACCTATATGGTCCCACTCACAGAGTCTCAGACATCCCACGCCACCTCAGACAAACTCTCCTCCCTTTACACTACTCTGCCTTCCCTGACGAGCCACTCGGACAGCATGGCGCCTGCCGGTCAGACTCTTATTTACTCATCCACCTCTGGGCTGGGCCAAGAGCAGGAGATCCAGTATGGAGCCCAGGTCCAGAGCTTGTGTGAAGGAAACATCTCTGAGAGCTATCCCACATCCCACTCTCAGGGCACCCAAAGTTTGACATTCACATCTCAGTCTCAAAGCTATGCGTCCAGGCAATCCCTAGACTCTTCCTACCCACCTACATGCGTCCAGGGTCTCTCCACGTCAGATTCAAGGGGGGGCTACGCCCACATGCAGGATTCGATGGGAGGGAAACCACACGGCTCTCTGTCCGAGCAGCACACACAGCCTCACAATGTTTTGTCGGTGCCGTTGCCTACCTACACGTTGGCTCCTCAGGCCTTGCAAAATAATGTCCGAGCTTCAGCGCAGGACATGAAGCCAGCGTACGGCAAGCAGAAGCTGGAAGAGCAGCATCTTCAGGACATGGAGGCTCTGCGGCAGTCGTCCATGGTCTCCTCAGCAGACAACAGCATGGCCCCTCACAACAATGTCATCTACGTCGTGTCCAAAATGGATGATCACAAAACGCAGAGCGTCATTCGAAGCAACTCGCACACTGAGGAGCAGCTGGTGGGAGTAAGCCACAGAAGTTCAGCACAGTTAAAGAACGACCAGCTGGGTTCCGGGAACCAACAGCAGATCCATCTAAGCAGTGCAAATGATAGTGAAACAACAGGCACTAAAACTCTGACCTCCATGATTGTTAACTCGCACGCCCCCCTCTGCTCAGAGCAGCTCAAGCAGCACCCTCTTCAGCTCAGACCTCACGAGTCAGATCAGCACGGCCAGCAGAGCCACAGTCAGTCCCAAAGCCAGCCTCCAGCTGCCCACACCCAGTTCATCACGGTCCCCAGCACTCAGGGCCTCCTCGAGCCCAACCAGATGATCCTGGTCCAGCAGCCCCTGGTTCACCACGGTCAGAGCACTTCAAAGTTGGTGTCTGTGGAGGGGGTCCAAGCAGCCCAGGGACTGGGCCCGGTTCATGTCCAGTACCTTCAGATGGATCGAGACCTGCTGGGTTCCAGTGTCAGCGAGTCTCAGGGTCAGCAGGGCGCAGTGGTGTCCGAGCAGACCTCTGAATGCTCCTCCTCTGCTAAACACCACTACAGCCAGGCTGCAAATCAGCAGCCAAACGAAGCCAAGAACCACTTTGCTCTCAACTCCATTTGCTTCCCAGACTCCATGCTGCTGGCAGATGAGAGGAACATTTTGTCAAACGTGGACGACATCCTTGCAGCCACTGTGGCAGCTTGTGGTGTCACTCCACAGGACTTTGTCAAAGCCACGTCCTCTGCCGAGGCTGAAATGACCGGCATGACGAGTCCTGTCGATTCCAAAGGGCGCCTCCAGACTGTGGATTTAAGACTCATGCCGTCGAGTTTCGCGCAGCATCCAGGCATAAGCAACACTAACTGTCACAATATCAGCATGGCACTAAATGGAGCCCAGCTACCTCGAGACTGTCGGGGTCAGCCCGTGCACCACAGCAGCACTACTGACACTGACCCCAGTGGAGATGGGAGGGGGTCTGAGAATGGCTATCACTCATCTGGACAAGTGTTCGATCCATCAGGTGTCCAGAACAGAGTCAAAGGGAATGGAGCATGTGCCGACGCAGAGGAGGGCCTCGGGGAATGTCCCACTGGTACCGACTCCCCCAAAAGGAAGGCCCGCTCTAAGTCTCTGACCAAAGCAGGAGGTCCCGAGGATGACGGGGGACTAGCCAGAGCGGCTAAGCGCAGCGTTCAAGCAAAGCGTCAGAACTCCAGGAGCAGCGACGTCAGCTCGCCATCCGCCCCGAATGCTTCATACGAAGGCTGTCCCCAGCAGGAGAGGATCCGGCAGAAGATCCGCGAAGTGGAGGAGAAACAGCCGGAGGTCAAAACCGGCTTCATCGGCTCCTTCCTGGACTTTATCAAATCTGGCCCCAAACCGCAATACTCGCAGAGTCCAACGAGGACCGTCAGTCGCCCGAAGAAGCCCTCCACCTCTTCCAAGCCCTGCACTCTGCCTGCTCTGCCCGCTCTGCCTCCCAAAGGGCAGGCCACTCTGCCCGGGCCTTTGCTCGCTCAGGTGAGTCCGGGCGTGAGCTCTCAGCAGAAGCGTCTGGACGAAGAGCTGCAGAAGAACTTGGAGACGCTGCCGTCGTTCAGCTCGGACGACGAGGAGAGCACGGGGAAGAACCAGGCCCTGAGGAACAGCATCAGCTCAGCGCTGTCCTCCCTGGACGACTCTACCGATCGGAGAACCAGGACAGGTAACGGCCTGAGGCCAGAGCTTGTCCGATGCTTTCGGGGCACAGGAGAAGCTTTGGGTCCTCTCAGTAGCTTTAGCGCGTCCGTTTAGTGGCCGCCAGCAGCTGTAGCCAACACTGACCAGTTTATGCACAGCCTCACAGACGCGTTCATAGTAGAAGCTGAAATGATAATTTCTAATAATAATTAACTCAGTTAGGCTTAAGCTTTTTCTTTGACTAATCTCATCCCGCCTCCAGATAACCAAATGCAAGCCTCCATCATGAAGCCCGAGCAGCAAGCCCCCCCCGCGCCGCTCGCTGTGGCGCAGACCCGCCTGCCTCAGGCACCGGCCCCCGCCTCGGGCGGGGCGCCACCGGAGACCAAAGAGGAGCGCAGGGAGACCCCCTCCGACCAGCTGGCTGTGCAGCTGATGAGCGTGGCCATGGAGGGGCTGACGGACGAGGAGCTGTCCGACAGCGGGGGGGAGGGCATGTACAGAGAGAGAGACGAGTTTGTCGTCAGGAACGAGGACATCGAAACCTTGAAGGTAAAGGTTCCGCTTTTGGTGCGGCTCCCTGTTAGCTCACACACATCACGCTTCACTTTCAGTTACTCGGGTTCAGAAGCAGTACTCGGTCCATTCATCAGAGAATACATTCTAACCAGGTCTTTTCACGCGCTTTAAACGTTCACCCATTCATCTCCCTGTGACTGTGTCTCTGCCTCTTGCCTGTGTCCAGGTGACCATGAAAGCCGGCAGTGAACCTCCAGCCATCTGGAAGGTTCAGAAGGCGTTGCTGCAGAAATTTGTGCCCGAGGTGAGAGACGGGAAGAGAGTCTTCTCTGCCACCAACAGCGTGAGTTTAACTCTCAGTTTAACACTTGCATTTGGGATCAGTCGCACCACCCTTTCCTTTTGGGTACATTTTTTGTGTGTGTGTGTGTGTGTGTGTGTGCAGTATCTGGGATACTTTGGCGATGCCCAGACCATGTACCAGAGGGTCTATGTGAAGTTTCTGGATACGGTCAACAAAAGGGAGTATGTGCGAGTTTGCAGTCGAAAGCCACGCTGCAAGCCCATGAACTCACTAAGGTACGGGTGGAGCCGCCGTTTGCAGCCTCTCTCTCTCCCACAGGCCCAGCCCCTAACCGCTCTGGTTCTGCCCTGCAGGGGTGCTCAGGTCAAAACGCTGCTGGGCTTGACGGCTCCGCCCTCCTCAGCCCTCCAGAGCCAAAAGAGCAGACCTAAACCGGCCAAGCCGAGGGCGGAGCCGCCCCCCAAGAAGAGGCGGAAGTGGAAGGAGGAGTTTTCCCCCGCTGCCTCTGGCTCGTCTGCAGAAGACGGTGTTGAAGACGATGGTGAAGAAGAGTTTTTATTTAGAAGATGGCAGCTTGGAAAGACGTTTGCGTGACATTGACCTGTATCTTTTTTTTAATTCTGAGTTGAATCCCTCAGGTGCTTTGCAGTGCCTCAACAAGGAAACGTTCAGGAGCTTTGTGGAGCTGCTCATCAGCATCGCCTTAGACGAGGACGTGATGACGGCGCTGGAGAGGGCGAACGGTGAGCACGCCACACGCTGTTGGGGTGTGTCATAGTGGCTGCTGGCTCAGCATCTGGCCGCAGTTGGAATGAGGGCGCTCATGGGTTTCCTTTCAGATGACCTGCTGCTGCCACACATGAAGAGAGTGGACGGGGTGATCACTGACAACAGGAAGCGCCTGCTCCACAAACTGCACATCGGGCAGGTCCTGAAGGTGAGTTTCCAAATGAAACGGCGCATTGAATAAGACTCGCCGAAACAAAGTGTGCAGGATATCTTGTTCCACTTTGTGAGTGTAACTATTTTGGTTTTTCAGACAGCTCTAGACAGCTTCCCGGAGATTTCCGTAGTGACCGAACTCAAGAAGGACGGGGAGACCCCGGCCTTTAAAGTTCGCCTCAGCGGAAAGGCCTACAACAAGAAAACCATGAAGCCCCACAACAAGATGCCCACTAAAGTGCCTCAGGTGGGACAAAACCGTGTTTTTTTATGCTTTGTATTCTCAGATCTGCCCAGCAGAGGGCACTGTTTTTCCATTTCTGTCCATCTTTTCCATATCTGTGGTCATGCTTATTGTCATAAGGAAAATATTTTTTATTTTGTATTTACTCCACTTTTTCTTCTTCAAGGAGTATTCAGTGGACCAGCAGAAAACTCAGTGGTTCTCTCTGTACCACTCTTTGCAGCATTACAAGTACCATACATACCTCATGTGCAAGGACGAGGTAGGGCATTGTTGGGAGTTTGTCAGAAATACTGAGCAGCTCAAACCTGGGGTGGTTTAGCTGCGCCGGGTGGTGCGTTCTGCCCTGACCTCTGTCCGCGTTTGCGGTTGTGCTCCCACAGATTGCGTCTCTGCAGGTGCAGGCCGGGGACCTGGGCCAGGAGGAGACGGTGCAGAAGTGTCTGCAGAACGGGGCTTGGGTGGAGGGGCTCTTCGATCGCTTCGGAGAGCTGATCAGTCAAGTGCAGCAGGTCTGCAGATGATTCGGCGTTGGTACACCTGCTTTGAATAAAAAACAATAGAGCTGTTAAAAGACGGGAGGGCACCCCCATAAAGAAAGTGGCAGAAGAGATTAAGTGGACCTCTCTGCCTCCAGCAACTGAGATGCCAGCAGCAGGAAGACAGAGGACACATGTACTAGTCATTACTGGATTTAAGCTGAAAGGAGTCGTTTGATCAACGCAGGACAAAATATTTCATTTTTGGGGATCAGTCTTGGTAACCTCTCGCGTAGTATTTCTTCTATTCTTTTTAGATTTTTGTAGTTTTTAAAAGCCCACATTTTCTGGGCCTTTTCATAGATTTCTATTGGACTTTTTATTGTCTTTTTATTTCTCCGTTAAACACTACAGCGCGACCCTCAAGTGCGCACCACAGTCGGCATAGGATTTAGAGAAGAAAAATGTGCAGAACGCTGTTTCAATAAGAATCACCAATAATTGAAATAGGCTTACATACAGAGATGATTTTGTAAAATATTTTTAAAAATAACTATATATTTTATTTGACTGTAGGTGCATATTGTTTGTGTAACATCCATTTTGTAAACGGAATGCCAACTTATATATAAATGATGTACATTTTGTATAAATGGGGGGAAAAAGTGGGAACTACAGAAACTCTGTTTAGGAAGTGAGTGATCCAGAACTGGATCTGTGTTGTGGGTTGACTTAAGCGCGTGTCTTTGCTCATAGGATGGAGTCAGCGCAGTTCCACTGCTGCTCTCTACTCTGCTCGATCAGAAATCATTGCCTTGACTTCTCTTAGGGTAAAGCCAATTTGATAAAAGTTGTCATTCTATATTGCTTTTCATACATAGTCTACATTTTATGACAAATATCTATTTTTCACAGAAGTAAATATTTTTTGTTTTCACAACAGTTTCTGGGATATTTTTTTTTTTTCATTTGTCTTTGCACGGTTCTCCACAGTCGACTCTCTGCGGGTCAAGTTTTATGATATCAAAAGTGATCTTGTTTCTTTAAAGATGCAGTTTGTGAATAAAATGGCACATGTATTAGGGATGCGTTTGGTGTGGGAGAGTAGAACTCTGTAAGCTCCCCTTCACAGACCAATAGTGTAATAGTAGCTGAAAGCCAAGGTGATTAAAAAAAAAGATCTGGCTGGCCTGAAGGGGAAATCTAAAGATCAGATTAACACCATCTCAAAGTGGCCGAAAGGTTCAGAATGAGCTTTTTTTTTTTTCTCTTGCCCTCAAAGCAACCAAATCCTCATTGTGCTTACTCAGCACCGGTTGATATTGGCTCGTGTACTTCAGTGAGACGCAACGAGCTCTCAGAGCCCACATCAACGCTCGCCAATAGTGCTCACATGACCCGCCTGATCCCTGTGACTGGGTGTCTAGCTTCGTGTCGTCTGATAGGGTCTCGGAGCTGTTAAATAAAATATGACTGTGCGGCCACAATGCGAGAAGAGAAAGAGAAAAAAAAAGGACTGTTGATCCCCAAAAAAACAAAAGCATCTCTGTGGCCAGCGGCAGCTCTGTGAGGACAGCCACTGTCCTTTGGAGCTGGAGAGAGTCGGGGGTGGAGGACAGTCCCATCGGCCGGGCGTTTGGGATTCCAGAAGGGGCACGACTGGTCGGGACAGACTGTGAGCGTCTGCTCTCCAGATGAAAAGCGTATGAATTTTAATGCGCCGCATTGTTCCACATGTGGGAGACGCTCTGAGAAGGACCCTCGAGGCTGCATGAGAATGCGAGAAGGCCGGGGAAACAGAACGGCTGTTTGTTGCATAAGGCTGCAAATCACTGACAGTCTTATTAGTTTTAGAAAATGTCCCCCGGTGAAACTTGCTGCGCAGAGTGAAGATAATGTATTTTTCTACCTCACGAGCCACATGAAGGCCGTGCAGCAGATTCAGATTGAGAGGATAGATTTAAATCTTATTTGGCAGTGGGAAGGAAGTATCATTTTTGCCTCTTCTGATTCCTCGCCTGCTGCCTATATCCAAAAGCTGTGGCTCCACATTTCATTCACAAACATGTGTGGTTAGCAAGCTTCCTTGTGAGTTCCACTCCTCTGAAAGCGGTATCACTTCTCAAACTGTACGTTTCTTGCTTTGAATGCCAGCCTGGGGCAAAAAATTCCTCAGGATGTTTGTCATCATCTCAGCTGTAAACAATGCTCGACTTACGCCGCACGGCCGATAAGAAGGAAGGACAAAGAGAGGGAACTATGCGAGGTTTCTGGAAACACGGAGGGCAGCAGGAGTGTAAATATCGCTCTGACCTTGCGGGCCTGGAGCTGCGATTGGAGGAACGACTGGCTCTCTGAATTATTTTCTACGCAGGTGTAAAACAAGCCGCGCTCTGGAGCACTTGGTGGTGGCTTTGAGGCGAGTGTGCAAAATACCAGCACGTCAGACGGTGGCAAAAAGTCGCACAACCAGTTTCACCCTCAGCTGGTTGTTTCACATTCAGGCTGGCTTTTATTTCCATTTTCATTCTTCTGCACCCAGCACCCATTTAACTTCACACATTCCCAATACCAGCAAAAATATGAAGCGTATTAATTAAAACAATTATGTTTAACCACAGCGGAGCTATATATTAGATTTAGTGTTCTGGGAAAATAATCCCCTTGTTTGAACTCAAGTGGATCAGTTCTCTATGAGGGGTTCATATTTGTATTCTGTCAATGAAGTCACAATGCTTTTAGGGTCTTGCGCCTCTATATTAAATAAGTCCAATGTCTTTAAGATAAAAAAAACCCCACAATGTAATGAATAACACTAAGTCATTCATTACGTTCTGCCTTCTTAAACTTGATAGATCCTGTGCAGTGCAGACCAGCAGCTCAGCCCTTAAGCTACAATAGAACCTCTACTTTATATCGTTACGGGGCAAGAATATCAAGCAAGGGAAGCGGAGTCATGACAAAGTTGACATAAGAGAGAATGAGGAGCAGACTCTCTTATTCCTCCAGGTACAGGTCACGACCCCAAACTGCTGTACGTCTACATTGCTCAGATGAAGGTAACCAGGAAAGTTTACGCACAAATTCACAGCTCTTTCATTTCTTGTTTGCCGGGGTCAAATCAATGCATACATTTTTACTCATTTGACTGATAAATCTCTTATTTTTGAAGGGGTTTTTGTCTCCATGAAAGGTGACAGTGTGACAGCGACCAAACCGGTCTGCTCCGCTTCAGTCTTTTCTTAGATAATAGGGGTCTAGTTTTCATTCTCCTTTTAACCAAGTGACCAACATTGGCTTAAACGTGTCATCTTACGGCCTTTCCATCGTCAGATTACACCTCGAGAGAGAAAGCTGACATGGTCAGAGCCCAACTTTGTTGCTTGCTGTGCTGCAGCACGCCTGTGTTTGCACATAAGATGTTCATGTTGGTCGGTAAAGAGTCTGCCTGTGCGGGCAGACACCTGTGGCACCTGCACTCGTGTTTCAGATCTGTCTCGTGATGCACTTTGTTGTTTTGACTAAAAGGAAGAAGGACAAAGTTTCCCAAAACATCCCCATTCTCTTTCTGCCTGTTTTTATCTGTAAAATCAGACTCTGTCAGCCGACCTCTTCACTGGAACCAAACGTCAAATAGCCAGTTGTTTGTCTTATTGGTCTGTCTTATTTTCTTCCTGTGTAGGTTGAGGGTGTGACTTAGTGAGGGAGAGGTTGTGTAAGGACTTCCTGGATTTTCCTTGAAAAGGAAAACTTAAATTGACCATATTGAAGCAGATTTGACCAGCAATTGTATTCTATTTGGCTTTAATCGTATAATAAAGACCCCCACCCCTCCCCCCCCCACACACACACTCCTAAAAGGGCTAAAGGGGGATGTTAGGCTACAGAGGCAGTGATTTGTCTCCATACCTTTAGTTTCAGTTTAAGGAAAAGGCGCATAAAAACTAATACAAGCGCGCGTCCGTGCGTCTTTTGTAAGACTTCTATAGAAATTCCCAGCCTCATTATCTCGTCAGCGATTGGGACATGAATAATGTATGACAGTCGGTGGGAGGAGACGGTTTCGGGGTTGACTGAAGTCAGTTGCGTGCGTCACGTCTTGAATTGAAGAGCGAGGGACATGGTGTGGAGGACTGTCCTCTCTAACACAGGAGGGGGTTTTCATGCGCCAAACACCAGGTAAAAGACCACTTACTCTCTTTAAACAGGCGAAAAACATGCTACCAAGTTTATAGAGACTGGCATTTGAAGTGATTTTGTAATTTAGTGATTTTGAAGCGGCTGACCTGAGGCACGCTGCCATCATTCACTTCACAAGTGTCGGCGATTGAGGAGCTGCTATTCCAAATCATTTCTAGATGATTTGAAAGAATGAAATCATGAAACAAGAAAGAATGAAAAAAATTGTCCGCATCTACACACCTGTAAACTGAAGAAGGAAAAAAAAACAAGGATGAACGTGTGGAATGTGTGTGTTATGGCTGTGAGCTTTATCAATGTTAGATAATTCTTTAAACAACTCGTACATATAACAACAGTTTGACATTTGCTCAGTGCACTCTGGGAAGCAATATTTACCATGTGTTTGTGTCAAAACACAGGGTTTGTGCGCCCCCAAACACTGTACAGGATGTGTAGATTCAAACTCATGCGGGCCAGTTGCCCGTTGAGGCCCGTGTGGTGCCCTGTGGCTGCATCAAATAATCTCACTGGTCTAAGCTTGTTGGAGGAATGAAGTGCCACAGGCCGTTAACGACCCGCTGTGCCATTACCGGGACGCGTATTGCGCGCCCGGATAGACTCAGGGCAGATTTAGTTTGTGCGTCCACATCCACAGTATCCGTATCTGCAGCTCAAATTTAGCATTTGTTTCTTCTTTTTTTTATTGCAATCCTCGTGTGTGATCCTGTTCTCTAACCCTAACCCAAAGGGAAGGTTCCCATGTGTCGTGCGCTCCCTGTGCGGTTATTTACCTCCACTGGTGTGCAAACACACGGCGCACTGTTGTCCTTGGCTCAGACGCAGAGCAATCCCCCTTCACGGATTTTACAGCTGGGATTTTTTTTCACCCCCCTTTCTTTAATGAGAAGTAGCAATGTCACAACAGAGATTGAATCTGGCGTCAGCTATGCAAACTGGGCTCAGTCTCAACCTGGCGCAAGCAACGAGAGGCGACAGGGCACAGCCGAGTTCCCAGGATGGTTTTCACCGACACATGACCTCCCCCCCATTATTGTTCCCCCTTTTAAAGTTAAAGGGATAATGATCAGATCCGGATTAGTAGTGTTCCACATAATCCGGGGACCCCTGATGGGTTTTTTCCAGATGGTCTTGATTTCTTTGCAGCTCTCTGATTCTCCTCATCATTTTAATATGCTTGTTCAGATCTTTCCATTTTCCACAAACATTTTCTAATAGTTGACATGCACATTTTGGACCTTTTAGAAAGCTCTAAAACGAGCTCTTTAACTATAGAAATGGTGTGAAAAGCATTTCTAGTCCTTGTGTTTCCTCTCCGTGCATGTGCACTGTTGCTGAGTGTTCTTCCTTAAACAGCTGCTTTGGCACCAGTTGTTCTTTCCTTGTATGCAAATCGACACCTCAGCACTGTTATTTCTCCCCAGAGCCAGTCGCAGTTTGACGTAGATGTTGGGCATTAATCACCCGATCGCTTTGCTCTGCTCTCAGGGAGCTGCTCTGTCTTTTAGGGGGTAACATCTGCTTGCCGCTGCACCGTTCTTGGATTTCCCTTAAAGTTTTGCAGATGGGTCGGTAATCACATTTGTCATGTCGCCTTTATGATAACATGGAGTCTGGCCGCTGCTGTCAGATTCTGATTAATGGGCTCAACAAGGCTCTCAGATCCTCTCCTAACATTTGCTCAACAAGCTCTGAAACGCTTCCTGTTGTGAGATGAAAGGCGCACTGGCGCCACACTAAGTCCAGCTCTGCCTCGTTTCACCGGCCCTGCTTGGTCTGAGCTGGTTTGGATGACAGTCTCTTTCCTTCAGTCATGACCCGGCAAACACGGAGGAGACGTGTGGACACCTTGTGTGAATGGCTCTGTAACATGTCTGCGTTTGATAGCGGGAATCATCGGCACACTGGCGGACATTTGCGAACATTGTCTCTTGTGAAAGTAGTCACACAATGTGATCATTGTCTCCGTTTCCTGTGCGTTCCTGATTGAGTGTGCCGAACTGTGTTTTCAAGAATGCCTCGAAGGAGTTGGATTATAATTCATGTATTCTGATCTTTACTTTGATGTATGTATGCAATTCTTTTGTGTTAATGATCTGTGAGATAAAGTTAACTCACACATTTTAGATCCTTTCCACTTGCTGCTGATGTCTCAAAGCACTATTTGAGCTTAGTTCCTACATCTATATTGATGCTGGCCATCCACATACGTAACGGCAGCACTGATCCCGATTGTGTGATTTGACACAGTAAACAGGGAGTGTGTCTTGGGTCAGTGCATAAAAGAGATCAATTCCTTGAAATTTGTAAGAAAAAACTCAAAGAAAAGAACAAATATATGGGATAACATATGGATTCTATAGTGGGTGCATCGTCTGGAATGCTGATTAAGTTCAGAAAGGTTTATATGATATATGTATATTATCTACTCTATTATCTACTGGCAATAGATACAATCATGAACTATACAAGTTTAGTTGCTTTACTTAATATTTCCCTTAGCTTTTTTGAAAGGGCTGGTTTTTGAGGGTCATATATTAACATTTCTGATTGTACGTTCATTTTCATCTTCTTCTTCAACCATCAGAAAAAGGCATGGCAGGAAAGCCTTTCCGGGCCACCTATATCTGGACCAGTATCATTTCCAACCTGCAGACGCATGTGGAGGTGAAGTGTCGGCGCCACAACCTGAAATCCTACCACGACTGCTTCCTGGGCTCAGAGGCCGTGGATGCGGTGCTGACGCACATAACGCTGAACGGTTTCTTCGGCGATGAGGCCGTTCCTCGCCACAAAGCTGTCCGTCTTTGTCAGGCCCTCATGGACTCCAGGGTGTTTGAGCCAGTGGGCATCAAAGTATTCGGAAAAGAGAAAAAGAGCGCCACCTTTGAGGACAGCGCCTGCAGCCTGTACAGGTTTTTGAGTCCGGCCGGCGGTCACCCGGCGGCGCTGACCGCCAACTCCCACGCCACCAGCGAGTGTGACTCTCCGAGCGTGAACCGCAGCAAGAGCCAGCATCCTGCTGCACGTGAAAGGTATCAGCCCACGTCTCACATCTCCTGATCTCAGTTTCCGGTCGCCTTGTTCTCCCTTTTCTTGATAACCACAGCTAATCCTAAATCTGATCTCAGGTGAGGCATGAAATGAAACTTTTCAGATCACTGATCATTTTCAGCTCATTATTTTTTCGTTTTTCTTCCTCGCTGAAAGATAAAAAAACAACTCTTTAATAAAACTAAACAGATTAGAAATTCAGAGGTAATGGTTAGAGCCTACAGGGCATAGGAGTAAGAAAGATACTGCTTTTGGGTAAGAAAGATACATAAACTAACTGGATAAAGATTGACAGAATGTGCATTATAACACATAAAATGATCGCAAGTGGATACAAAAAAAAAAGATTGGTACAAAATGATGCATTATCAATGCAACTATGACACAAAACAGCTGCAAAGAGATTTGAATTAATCACAAAGGAACACAACAGCATTAAACAATTAAAATGGCCATAAACAGGTGCAGAATTAACAAAACAATTACAGAAATGATGGACAAGTTTCTTTATGTTGGGCTCTTTTATTCCATAGACACCAAAGATCCCCACAGGTTCTGATTCTGGTCCAGATCTACTCACAGTCTCTTCTCACAGCCATATCCCTGCAGGAGACTGTTTGTACCTCCAAATGGACGGAATAAAAACGCCACCATGGAAATCTCTGTGTGTAGTTTACAGTGCACTGGGAATTACATATGGGGCTCAAAACTTATTTGTATCAAATTATTGTCTTTCATGCTGGATTCTCCACTATTACATCTATAAGAAATCTTCAAAAAAAAAAAAAAAAAATCAAACAGGTAGCAAAACATGCCAACAACTGAAAACTGTAAATAGAATACATTTTTATTCTAATTATCTCAGTGATAATGAGTCCTGGAAATTGTCTCTCAGGATCTGAGAAGTCATTTTGAAAACAACTAATCTGTTATGTTATTCTTTGCACTTGATGTCAATCAAACAAATTTGATTTAGTTTTGGATTTGTTTCAGAGGTAAGTTAGAACTTTCCTTGTTTTTCTGGTCTTTTTCTAAGCTAACATTTGTCCATGTGCTCAAATTGGGCTTTGTTTGTTGCATGGGTTTTATTATTAAAACCTCTTAAAAACAGTTGAATATTCATGCAGACCGCTTTCCTCACGTGGAGGATTGCTGAAAAATGTAATACCTCCAAATAAGAAATTTAAAAAAGTCTCACCAAAGCATGTAAATGGGATTCAACGATGTGATCCAAAGGCTGGTATTCTTGTGGTGCCGATACTTGAAATTGTCTGTTGTCGTTTTGTTCTTCCTCAGACAAGAAGCGCCAAGCTACTCCACCCACTCCCCTGTGAAAACAGACAAATTACTGGAGGACGTGTTGGGCAGCCTGGATCTCAGCTCCTCCGTCAGCCCTCAGACGACCGTCCACGGCCTCTCCCAGGAGCGTAAGTTGGACTGAATTTGACTCTGGAGCTTTATGGCAACTTTTTTTTTTTTTTTCCTGTGCCGATCATTTTTGTGGCGTTCTCACTCTTGTGTCTGCGCAGGTTTGTATGAAGTGTGGCACCAACAGGCGGTATCCAGACTGCTGCAACTCATAGAGCTGCCTCTGTTGGAGAGCCTGTTAGAGAACGAGGGGTCGTCCGGCTCACCTCTGCACGGCACGGACAGTGACCCGGACCTGATGTACTCATCGAGTTACCTGGACAGAGAGGTTCTGAAAGCCTTCAGTGAAGCACAGTAGGTTCTCAAAAAGCCTTTACAGGCGGACATGTAGAAGTTGTAATGCTCCTTTCTAGATTTGTGTTTCTTGATTGGTCGGTTCTAATCAACTGGTTCCTGAAACTCTCAGTGATCCTCTGCAGACATAAAAGATTAACTCACTTTATCGTTTGAACATTTGAAATGATCAATTTATTTGGAATAAGTTGTAAAAGATTCATTCTTAGTGTCAGCGCCTTCCGACTTCCACAGCCTGCTTACATACAGAGTCCACCTCAGAACAGAAAAAGTCGAGGATCAAATCCATCTGACCCTCTCCCAAAAAATGTCTCTTTATTTCCTGTTTGCAAATTCAAATCTGTGATCGAATGAAGGCAAAATGTCGAAAACAGCAATCACATGTTAATAAACCTCCTCCTCCACTGTCCCTCAGGGCAGATGAGTGGATGTCCGGGGCGGTGGACTGTCTCGAGATTCTGCCTGACGAGCTGGTGGTGGAGGTCAGCCGGGGTTTGGCCGTTTGCGCGGACGACCTGGTGCAGTGCAAGAGGCTGCTCTATCAGGTCCTGGTCCAGCATTATGGACACGCACGGCAGCCGCCTCTGCTCAGCAATCACGTTTTCGACATCCACTCTGGCATCTCTGAACTTCTTGGTAAGAACAGAGGCTGTCGTATTCAGGTTTTACTGAGGTCGAGCTGAAATGTGACGATTTTTTAAATCTTCTTGTGGCTTCTCTGTCTCTTCCTCTTCCTCAAACTTCGCCATTTACTCTTCAGTGAATGGGAAGCTGGATCAGGCTCGGGAGGCGCTTCAGCTGAGCCTGAAGCTGCAGGACTCCCGCAGCAGAGAGGAGCTGCGCAGGCTGCTGAGGTTCATGGCCATCGCCGCCAAGCCACAGGAAGTGAAACTGCACAAAGAGGTCAGTAGTCTCTGCCTGCGTTGACTGACACGAGTGCTTGTGTTATTACTGACCCTCAGCGCTTCTTTTAGGTCGAGAACAGAATGGCAGTGAAAAGATCTTTCTCAAGTGCGATTGTCTACAGCAGGAGGCTCCCGAAAGGAAAGGTGGACTTGATGGTTCTGTTCATGATGGATAATCATTCCGATCTCTTCAAAGTGAGTGCTCGGGTGCTTGAGGAGGGAGACGATAATGAAAATGTCTTCAAAAACAAATACATCTTTACTTAGAAAAGGATTTGGGAAATCAGTGCACTGATTGCACCACAATAATCATATTTACAGGATACCGTGATATAAAATGATCTCTTATGTTTCTTTATTTTTCCACCAGACTCCCGTCTCCTTGCAGAAGATGGTTAGTGACAGAATAATAAATATCATGAATGGGAAGGATCCGGGTGCAATCGCAGGTTTGCATATCATTTGTCCCGCACAATCAGTCCAGCGCTTTTATTAATTTCTGCATCACATTTTTTCTTCATCTCTCTGCCTTTTGACTGCAGGTTCAACGTACTGTACAAGAGTAACAGCTAAAGACTGCTCTGAAAATGCAAAGAAAACCACTAAGGACGAGCTTTTGTCTTTACTGAGGACCGTTCACGAAAACCCTAAACTCTCTACCAAAGAGAAGAGACGACTGCTGGGACAGTTTTATAAAGGCCACCCAGAGATATTTGTTCAGTACTTTGGAGACAGGTTATCCAGTATCAACATGTTGCTACGGTGATATTTATAAGCTTTAAGACAGTCCTACATTTTAAAGTAAAAACAGGTAGATATTAGATGAGAAAAAAGTTAATTTTATGCAGATGATGTGAAGAAAATGATGTTTTTTTAATTATAGGTCTCTTGGAAAGAGGCATTATTTACTCATATTGTGTGGTGCAGGACACTAACATAAAATGTAGATGTGTTTTTATGAGAATTTGAAAATCCTTGGGAGTCCTCGCTATGCAGTAAAGCACGATGCATTTGCAGGCAGCGAAGAATGGATGTACAGATTGTACAGATTGCTTGTTGGTGGATGTTTCTTGTCCTGTAGCTACAGTGTTATGTGGCCAGGCTTCTCATGGATCCTGTGCGGTCCAGAGAAATTGGAAAGTCTGATGTTTTGTATTTAACAGTGAGAGGCACTCACAAGAATTAGCCCTTTGGGTTTTTCTGTTTGTTGTAGAAAAACCCCCACAAAACAGATGTTAGTTTTGTTCTTGTTTCTTAAACAAAAAGCGTAGCTGCGTTTTAGTGGCATCTTCTAATTCATAATAGTCAGTAAATTGCTTCCATCTTTCCAGGTCAAAAACAACAAACAGGTTGTTTGTTACATGATCAAATTCATTTGAAGCATCCATGTACATACTTGTTCAGTGGGTGGTGCAACCTGCCCATTCTGTCACTACAGATCAATGACATCTGGTATGTCAGGTATTTTTTTTGTATCCATTCTTAGGTGACTTGGATTTTTTTGTCCGTTAGAAACGGATTCTTTTGACACAATAGTAACACGTAATGTTGTGTTATTAGACGAATGTTTCTTTAATCTAATAAAACTCATGAATGTGACATGTTTTTCTTTCATGGTGTGTTTGCTGTGATGTTGGAACTACAGAAGTCTTAATGTGCTTTGACGGCTCTCTGTCACTTGAAACTACCACCAACACACACAGAGAGACAATGCAAGTATTTGCATTATTATTCTGTCTTAGGAAAAAAAAAACATTTAGAGCCACATTAGAAATTATTCTGTTACAGTTAATCATTTTCAATTGGCTTTTTAATCATTAAACTCCAGAAAACGCGTGCCTTGGTTTGGTTAAAAATTAAGAAAATTCTGCTTATCCTTCAGTAAATGCACTGAACACAATGGACCCTCTGGTTTTGCTGCACCCCCTGCTGGTGTCAGTAAGATGTCAGTGGCCGGAAAACTTGCTGTTTAAGGCGTTTAAGGATCAGTTGAAGTAAAATAAAAACGCAGATTTGGCTGATATTCTTTTCCACTTTTATTGAAAGGAACTTTCCTCCAGTTATCTAAAAAAAAAGAAAAAAAGAAAAGCTTTCTTCCACTGTGTCTTCCTTTGAACTTAACAAGGCCAAAACTGAACTGTGTCCCAAAATCCACGTTTGAATAAAAATTTTGTACAGTATAATGGTCAGTCTTTAAAAAATAAAAACTGATGACAAAACAAAAACCACAGAAACACTTGGTTGTGCACACCGTATGCGTGTGTGAGTGTGGTTTGACATGGATCAGCAGGTGTATAATCTGTCATGGAGACGCATACATTTAACCTATATGACCACCTGTTAAGAATACATTCTTGAGGAGTTCTGCGTGTGTTTTTGCTTATCGAATCCTCTTCTGTTGGCGTGCGCGGTAGATGTCGTGAATGGGTGGAGCCACAGCTCCCTTGTCATCCTCCTCGTCCGAGTCTGCGTTAGGCCTCTTGAGTGACTTGGCAATGGCGTGGTTCTCCATGGATCCGTTGCCCTCCCCTCCTGCGTCAGGCTGTCTGCCGGTGATCAGCTCGATAGCAGCATCAACAGCTACAGAACACAAACGCGTTAGTGGCACATTTTATGACAACAGTTGTTCTCTTTTGGTATAACCACTGTCTAGTTCACTTACTCTCAGGAAGTGTGCATCTCCTGAAAGTTTCCATGAGCTCATCCACTTGAACAAAAGGGCCCTGTAACAAGAAACAATTACAGACTTTTTGAAAAAATAAAAAAAACTGGGCTGTTTATGTCTTTTAAGTCACTGCCAGTAAATATGAGTTTAAGAGCGTAGAGCTGCTGCTGCGTCCACTCACAGTGAAGCAGGTGGGCGGAGGGATCAGCTTCATCAGTACAACTGCAGCTGGGGGAACTGGGAACACTCCACCAGGGACGGGGTGTAAACCTGGAGCTGTGGGGTGAAACATGAGGCCGTGTCAGAGACGAGCGCTCGCACACAGAGACGCTTTGCACGTCAGCTTTCACAGATTTACGGACTACGCACGGGCCAGGTGACGCGGCTGGAAGGGAATCATCTGACTGGTGTCGGGTTTTGGGTACTCGGGTTTTCGGTCGACTTCGTCCTTCAGCGTAGGCGCAGAGGGGGCTACCACAGTCTCTGGGAGCAGTGCTGCCAGTTTGGCACGAGAAACGTCCTGCAAACAGACGGCAGACCGAGGGCCAAATGTCAGCTCATGTCAACAGAAACTCCACCCGTCTGATAAAAAAAAAAAAAAAAGGGGTGGTGGACACAACCTTGTATCCGAGGGCCTTGAGTTCACTGGCGGAGCAGGGATACAGGTCCATGAACTTGTATCTATCCACGAGCAAGGCAGTCTCTTTGCCCTCGTATTCGTCTTTGAAGGCAGTGAAGCGCCGGCGCTCTACTTTCAGAATACTAGCCAGGTCTCCTATGTTGCTCTCAAAGGCCAGGAACCGAGCCCAGATCTCACTAAAACAAAAAAGGGGGGTTGAGTGAAAGTCCGTTAACATCAGGCCCTTCTGTGTTTAGACACTTGTAAGGACGCGCACAATGAAAAAGTTGAACATTCAGTTCAGTTCAGTTTATTCGAACAACAAAACAATATAAGATGTGTAAATACAACACAACACAATGAATACATAACACAATAAATACATAAACCATAATAAATTGTTCGAAAAGGAATGGGACGAAGTATAAACTTGAAACTTAAGAGTGATCTTACCCTGACTTCTCTGGCGATAAGCTTCCTGAGGTGAGGACACGTTCAAACAAAACTCTGGTGTTGTTATCCTCTGTTGAGACATAGAAAACATGGATCATACATTCACCGTCGTGTGTGTGGAATTTCTGGCCGACGTGTGACACTATTGATGCCTACCATTGAGATGTGAGAGGTAATCGATGTAGGCAAGAATGTACTCTGGAATGTCACCATATTTCTTCAGACCTAGTTCAAAAATCTTAAAGGCCACTGATTTATCCTGTTAAGACAAGATAAAAAACAAACATTTGAAGAGTCCCATGGAGGAGTGTGTGTGCTGCGGCTGATGGTGCGCCCTTACTTTGCTGCAGTAGTATTCCATCAGTGCTGCAGACACGTACACGTGATGACGCGTGCGAGCATCCTCTCGAGCCTTTTTGAAGATGGTACGGCCCGATTTGATGCCCTCCGCCCTCCTGGCAAACTTCATATACTGGATGTAGACCAGCGTGGGGTCGATGTCCTCGATGGCCAGCAGCTTGTTGTAGATGCTGTGGACCTTCTCGTACTTCATTCGACTCTGAGGGGCAGCAGAGGAAACGTGCTCAGAGCACCCGATATGTCTTTGTTCGTTTGCCCCCCAACAACTAGTGACTGGACACTCACTTCTTCGTAGTCGGCAAATGCGAAGTAGAGAAGCATGTTCTTTTTCAGGAGAGTCCCAATGGCACGCTCGTAGATGTTAGCCGCCTCGTCGCTGAACAGCTTGGAGTTGTTCATGTCCTGAGGGAACACGTCATGTTGTGGGGCTGTGTGACTCTGACACCTCTGGAGAAACGTGGGAGCTCATATCTTACCCCCTTCTCTGCCAGCAGCTTGCTGGACTGCTCCAGGTACTGTGCGGCCTCATACCAGATGTCAGGATGGTGGCCCAACACCAGCAGGCACTGCTCGTAGGCAAACATCACTATAGCACAGAAAAGCACACCAACAAATGACTAAAGCCTGTTTTCATACAACGGGAAGTCAACCCACACCCCCTAGTGGCTGTGTCTGTACAAGAGGAATGCATTCACTCGTCACATCCACTGCCTGATGACTAAAAATGCCTAAAAACTGCGGACGGCCTCACCCACCTCTCTTTGTGATGAGGGTCTGGTCTTCTGTTCGCAGCGGGTTGCTTTTTTCCCACTGGATGTACTTCTTCCACATCTCCACCTGCTGGGCCTCCTGAGGGGAGTTCTGGGGGGGCACTGAGGGTGCGTTTCTGTCTAGCCCCTTCATCACAGTCTCATACTCCTGCATTGTGGAAGCCGCACATAGACCCCCATCAGCTCAGAAGGACAGCGTGCCGCTCAAAGACTCAAAAGGTTCAAAAAGTCCCACCTTGGCCACTCTCCTGGCGTTCATGTAGTCTCTACTTCGATCCTCGATCATCTTTTTAGCCAAGTGCACGTTGATTCCCTGCTCAGGAAACAAGTAAGTCAGCTCAGGATTCTCCCGTGGATATAAAGTGGCTGTTGACAATTCTGAGACCGTTTTGGTGGTACTACACATAAATACATTGTAAAAACATACAGCATTTTTTATTTTTGAGGGAAACTATGCAGCATTATAGGCCCAAACCACCACACCTCCATCACCATGTTTCACAGATGGATGACTTGTTTTTCTTTTCTTTTCTTTTTAAATTTTGTGATGCAGTGTTTTCCTTCCTCCAAACGTGAAACTCCTAGTTATCAAATAAATTAGCTTTGTTTCCATCTAATTTGCCCACAATACATATTCCCTAAATGCATTCCTCTGGCTCCTCCACACAACTTGAATCAAAACTCATGTGGAGGGCAGTAGCATTCGTTTTACAGAGCAGTGGCTTTGGCAGGAACTATGTCCTCCATTAGCACGCCACCTCTTTAAATGTGGATTGGGTTCCAAACACTTGGAATTTCCTTTCACCATTATCTCTTCAACTGAAGTTCATGGAAATTAATTAGGTTGCACCACAATATAGTAATTGTATATAGTATACAAAAATAAACACCCCCAAAACAAATATGCTTATGTAAAAATGAATGAATGGGCACAAATAACATAAGACAATGTTATTAACCTTTCTTAATTTAACTTTTTTAATGGATGTAAAAATCACCATTATGCAACGATGTGAACAAAAGAGACACAGGCTGAGTATGAATCACTTGCCTCCTCATATTTGCTATAATCTCTCCAGAGCTGTTCAATGTTAATCATGGGGTTCACACAGCCTCTCTGGTACACCCTTCGTACCGCTGTGATTCGCTGATTCTCTGCGTATGAGCCCACAGCCTCTCTAATTAAACAAAACAACATGTCAAAGCTTTAAAAAATAGCAATACAGGTGGCAAAGTCAAAATACAATGTGAAGGGAAAAAAAACACTTACACTCCTTTCAGGAAATTGATGTAGTCCACCCAAATCTGATGAAACAAATAAAACATTATGTAAGAATAATTAAGAGAAACTCAAAAGAAATAGCGGTAAAAAGTAAGTTCGGTGTACCTGATACGACATTATCTCCATGCCAATCTTATCCAGTGCAAAGTCGTAGGCCTGGGCCATCTTCTCTCTGACAATGTTAGATTTACACAATGAAAAAAGCTGCATGTCACAGCAGCACAGGCTATCATCATTAGCTGTGGAGTCTTACTTGTAGCTGGGAAGCTTGCCTTTGGTCTCTCGAACATAAGAGAGGTAGCATTTCCATAAGTCGATATGCAACACTTTCATTAGGCATCTCTGAAACAACTGAAGGGGCAACAGGATGTTAGATAACAGAACCTGTAAAATGCATACTCCACACCTCAGTAAACTCAGCATGGAGGTTAAAGGGCACAACAAGAAATACCCGAAAAAGCACTTTTTTAAATAGAAATGACACAATAGTGAGGCACAGTTCGAAAAAATCTTCCCCAGATACATTTACATATTTTATTTCAAATCACACAAAAATTGACAAACCAGCACAGGCTTTACAGAGTGGTGGCATTGAAATACATCATGTCAAGTCTTACAACAGTAAAGGCAGTGCAGACCAGCGGGTGTGTGAAGCAACAGGCCCAACTGTGAGCTAGCACATGCTGAGGAGCTCACGTTTAAAGGCCCCTCACCCACAAGAGCCAGTAAATACCTGACACCCAAAAGAACTACTATCAAATGTATCTTTTTTTACATTTTCAGGAACAAGACACTTACCTTTTCTACCTTGTCATAGTTTTTAGCCTTGATCTGCAAAGAAGAGTGTAAATACAGGATTAATTCCAAGGCCTCCTGTATTGTGGAGAATTGTACGAAACATGCCCTCATGAACAAACACACACCTTAAAGATCAACAGAGTGAAATTCACACAAGAATGACAAATTACTTTTAGAAAAGGGGTTTATTTTCTTTCAATGTGCGCCACAAAACCCCAAAAATCACAAGTGCCCAGACACAATACGGAGCTGAATCATTCATTTGAAGACAGACGCTGAGGACAGGCTGTAAATTTGGGAGTTTGAACAGATACCAAATCTTCACATATCAGTTTCAGGTGCACATTATTCCCTGGGAAACGCTCCTGCTGCACATAAAGACTACTGCGGAGCAAAGACAGGTGACCCTTTCCCTGACACTACAGAGCCAGAACTATTCTGTCCCGGGGTGAATAGCCGAGCAATATCCTGACAATATTCTGATAAGACAGCGTCTACAGAACCCCCATTTGGCTGCAGTGACATTAAATGGAAGAATAGCAGAGAATATTAGCACAGATTATTAAAAAAAGACTGTAGCCTAGTGCCTGAAACACAAAGTCCATACTTTTCTTTGTACTGTTTAAACTGCCATGCATGAGACATATTAGGTCTGAGAATTAGTTCATAATGACCGAAATGAAAAACAAGCCCATTTCTTTCTTAACATTAGAAAAAAGGAATGAAGACTATTAAATAGCAATCCTCACATGATCAGCAAACAACAGAAACACTGCAGTAATCTTAGGTGGATACATCTGAGATCACTTTCTGTTCCACCCCATCATGAGCGTCCTAAATCTGCCTTCACATAACAGGACCAAAAAGCCTTCTTGTTCCCACTGTTACAAGCAAAAACAGAAAACACACATCATATTCCACGTTGGGAAAATGAGTAAGTTCTTTATTTTTTAAGGAACAATCCAATATTTTCCACCACAATTGATCAAATATGAAAATTAGGTTTAACTTCATAAGCTCACACACCGAGACCCAAGTTCCCCAGATTCCTTGCATTTCCCTGTGAGGTAACAAAAAGAAGTGCAGTACTTCCCCAAATCCACCTATGAAAAGGCACACTGGTTCAGTGTTTTTCCATGACTGAAGAATTACAACCTTACAATGTTTGGCTCTGTGAGCGAGGGCAAAAGTCGAAGCCGGTTGCCTTTATAAATGGATTTCTGGGGTATCCCTGAAGCTCTCACATGATACAACATTTCTTGTTAAACAGAAACAATTAACAGTTAGAAAGAACAAAAAACTAATTGGAGCCTGTATCCTGACATCCTTGTGCCCAACACATTCTTCTTGAATTCTCTATAAATGTTTTTTTTTTTTTTTTCTTTACTGACAAATATAAAACCATTCAAACCTGTCTGTGACAGCTAATGTGCAAAAATATTCACTAGAGGGCCCACAGTATGTCAACTCTGTCATTTGTGAACTGGGTGAAATAATCCTGATTAGCTAGACTTAAAAAATACAGCAAGTGTGTAATGTGAGACAAAGGAATGCTGCAAATGAGTTTTTTGTGGAATCTAACAATAGCCGGTATGTGACAAGCTTTTGTTCTGTAGCAGACTTTCTTTAAACTAAACACATACTTCAGTTTGCATGTGGATCTCACAGAGCTTGTGCGCATACTTACCACGGGGAGTGTATCAATACTACCAATTACAAGCTGGTTTAATGCTTTGTCAGTGCATGCTTTTGCCTGTAGCTTAAGGCCAGTTTAAACTCCAGAATGTAATTTAAGGAAAACATTGTGAAGATATGCAAAACTAACACATGGAGTTTTAATTCTGGAACAGAAAGTATTTGAAGTTTGATGTGTAAATATGGCTAAATAACACAATGAATCTTTATTAAAGTAAAACTTTTTTTTAATCAACATATTAGCCTTGAAAAAAAAATAGGGATCTATCTGTGAACATAAATACTAACCATATTTCTGAACAAGCAAGCAAGCTTTATGAAATTACATTTACATGTGCAATAATAAAAAATAAAAAAAGACTCTGGGCTTTGACTTTTTATTTCTTTGACCCACTTTCCCTTTTCTAACTCCAGTACACCTCTTTACTGGCATTTAAGTGAGGTTCATATCCAGTCTCCAGCTTTATAGTGAGTTCCTTATCTGTTAGGGTAGTGGTGGATTATCTCTTTATAAAACTATCATCATTTTGTCCATTTTATTTTCTTACTATGTGTAAATTACATAGAAACTATAAGAAATAAGTAGTATAAGTCATTCATCTTTTATGTGTGCTGATCCTAATTTGTTAGGGGGTGGGGTTAGTAAGGGGTTTGATAGCAATGCCAAACTATTTCGGGAAATCTTTAAGGATCACTGGTCGCCGGCCAAACTTCTAAAAGAGAGATGCATATTCTTTTGATTTCAGTGGGAAATACCCACAAGTCAAGAAACAAGGGGGAAAAAAAATCATCGGACCACCTGGGATAGAAACCCCACAACAACAAACCACAACAGCTACTAAATACATTGAACGAGTCAATTCACACCATTGAAGTATTGTCCTGACACACACGGTCGCCTTTTAGCTCATATGGAATTATTTGATACTTCTTTGTAAACTCTGACGACCAGTTTACCACCAGCTGCAGGGCTCATCTGCAGAGGGGTTGGACAGTATTGAAAAAGGTGCATCGGGGTAGTTTAAATGATCAGGTGCAAGAGAAACTGAATCATCCAGTCAAAAGCGGTTGCATACGTGCCTGTAGATGGCAGCAAGGCAACGGGCGTTGGCTCACGTAATCAGAAGGAGTAGGGAGGAGATGTCTCAAGGAAAGAATGGGCCACACAATCAAGACTTTTCTTTATAAAAATTAACCAAAAGAAAGGACACAGGAGGCAATAAATTGACACGACAAGTGAATAAAAGGCTAATGCACTCCAATACTATCAAAATAGTTTTAATACTGTTGCAGACCAAACATGCAACAAATGCATTTTACCCCATTTAAATATGGCGCAGATAATATATACTTTTAATTCTGGGAACATAAGGAATTATATGAAAAAAGAAATGGTTAGAGCTCAATTCCCCTTTGCATTTAAAGGCACAATTCTCTATAAACCTTGCAAGAGCCACACAAACTGATTCACAAACAGGAATCATTATTTACCAGTGTTTAATGAGGGTCCAAAATATTTTACAGCAGGAGGAAAAAAGTTTCTATTCTTTTTGTTGCTTAGAAGTATAGGTTATGGCTGAGACCTCCAACCAAAGTTTGGCTCAATAAGTCAAAACAAGAATTGTGACTTTAAACTTCATTTAAGTAAGACACATTTTGGTTGTGTGAAATTCACATTGTTGATCATGTTAGCATAAGTCCCAGCCATGCACACTGAAGAAAAGAAAAATTATTAACCTCGGCTTCAATGAATAGTTTCCAGAATCTGCCGGAACTCGGGAACTGTGAGACAAGTCGCTCATAGGTCTTCCTTGCTTTATCTATTGGTTGGTTCTAAAGGAGAAGAATGCATTTACGTTCCACACTAAGTAACATAGCTATGAAGAGGTAGTTCTTGTAAAGTTATCAGATCAATTTAGAGTTTGGTTATCAACCCATATTTATAGCCCACAACCCCCACCCTCATCCCAAGTTTCCTTAACCCCATGAATACAACTCTGTGTCACTAAACCTGTGCTTCTCGAATCAGAATGCTCCATGCGTCAAGGTCATATGGGTTTTCTTCCAATTTCTTCTCTGCCTTCTTCACCTTCTCAGGAATATACTCTGCCGCCGCCTGCAACATAAAACAAAGCCACAGGGAGCATGGTTAAGATACACATATAAAAAGGAGAGGGGTTATTCGCTATGCAGTCCATCCGCATTAGTATGGTTTCCCTTTCGGTAAACTGATCTCACTTACAGTTAACGGTCCCGCCGTGAAAAGAATAAAACACATGAATTACGAATATACATCTATACAAAGACAATTTGTAGTAGCTAGCTTAGTCGAAGTAGCTGAGCCCAAGAAATGGTAGTCACTTCCGTAACAAAAAAAAAAGCACAAAACAAATATCAGGGTAGTATGTTTTGCACGTCAATATCCCCACAAAGTGCACGCGATCCAAAGTTAGCTTAAAGTGTTGTTAGCTAGCTTTACGTTACGACGAAGTCACAGCTGGGTCAATATGGCGCATAGCGACAGGCTACAATCAGAAATCACTGCACAACTTCGAAAAACTATCTAATACCGACATGAAATGATTAAGGTGCAGACGATATGGCATGGTCTATAGCCCATAAGCTTGGAAGATAGCAAACGAGCTAAATTATACTAGCAAGCGCCCGGAAAGAGGTGCATGTAGCTACCTGGTCGGCTGTTCCCTCCGTCGACATGGCTGCAAGAGTATCTGCGTTAATAATGAGCTGTCAGTTGGATTAACAGTCAAATGACACCGTGATCGATTTTCTTATTAGATAAAAAAACACTAAGTTGTCGGCATAGCTTTAGAAGGGTCGATCACGTTGCCCTCAAGCGACAAACAGTTCAACGGCTCGCCTCGACGATGTCTAAAATGGCGATAATTCTGTGTTCCGCTCCGCCTGCAGGAACAACAATAACACTTCCGGTCGGTACAACCCCTTCAGAATAAATGCCTATTTTGGCGCTCTAAATACAACAGAATCCTGAAAGTTGTACAACAGAGATACACAATTATTTAAGAATGAGGACAAATGCAGCACAAAATTGGGAAAGAGATTAAACAAAGAAATAAGAAACTAAAGAAAATGCAGGCTAACGTGGCGCCAAAGGATAGTGAAAGTGATACTATATAAACAGAAATGTACTCTATTAATGCAGAAATGTTCATACTTTAATATTAACTATGCAAAAAAACTGTATATGCCCTGTAATAGGATCATATGTTGCTCCAATCTATACATCAATAAAAATCCTTATTATCATTGCTGCTTTTCTTATATAGGGAAATTCTCCATTTGTTGGTGTAAATACAGGTGAACTCTGATATCCTAACTCCAGTTTGTGTGACCTCTACAAAACACATTTTATGTGAGGAAATTCTCTAAATGATTAATGCACATTAGTTCAACAAAGGCTCGTTTTACATATGACAATGCTGGTGTTTTTGTTGACCCATAGGGGGAGGCAAATGACAGTCACGAGGAGCGTGCGCTGCCACGCGCCCCACCAAGCACCCAGACAGACCAGAGAAGAAGAACACAGAGCAGTCAAAGGCCACATGTAAACACTTATCCAGCAAATAAATCTAATAAAACCATTATACATTTAAATGAATATTCCAGTTTATCTCTCACACTTCTGTTTCTCAGTATTTTATGTGATCGCGTCTTTTTTATTCAACTTTTATAAGTTTGTGTTAACACTTGAACACCATTTGATTAAGTGGCTCTGACCTTTTGGACAGTTGGATGTTGTTGTGACAGCTTGTTCTCCAATGAGTCTCGAAACAACATCCTACCTTTTGGGCCTTCTGTAGTGTCTGTCATAAAAATCTCAAATTGCCCACTGCCTTTCCCTTATTGCAGACACAGCTGTGTTGACTCATCAGGTGTGTTTACAAAATCAGGTTAGACAAGAGGTGTTTACACCTGCTTTAGAGGCTGACCAACTCCGGCAGTTTGTTATTTGGGTGGGGGTAGATGAAGACCAACAAAGACAAATTCCTTTTGGTGGATTAGATTACAGATGGTGTCTCAGACAACAAGGGCTTATGAGCAGCTTTTTAGTCAGCTGGGTGCCTCCTGGCTGTCTGAGCAGATTTTGGCTTGCATGCCCCCGCTACCTGCAAATTTTCCCTGAATGTAATGTTCTAATGCATATTTTACATACATTCTAACAATGTTTTCTTTTTTTGGTTTAACGACATATTTTCATTTTGTTTGACAATACAGACAAAAGCAAAGTCCAAAAAATTTAAGAAGCTGAGGGCCAGATAACCTGACAGTAGCAACAAAAACAAAACAAGGAGCCCAGAGCAGTGTTGGTGTATCCAAAGTAAAACTTCAGCATAGAGATTTGACAAGTGACAACTGTACCATTGGCATAAAAGGAATCACAATCCTAAAATAGCAGTGTCCGTATCATAATGTCCATGTTACTTCTGAGGGGCCCTCTCCAGCTTCATCCTACCTCTATAGTAAATAAATAGAATTAAAAAAGAAAAGAAGAAAAAAAGTAACAGGTCTTGAAGATAAAAAAGATTAAAATTAAATATCCATCCATCCATTCTCCACCGCTTATCCGGGGTCGGGTCGCGGGGGCAGCAGCCTAAAATTAAATAGATGGATGTTAACATTGAGAGATGGAATACAACTCCTGAACAGTGAGGTAGGTGATGCAAAACCAAATGGTCTGGGAATGCATCTGTTAAGTCGCATGTAATGAGTAAAATTGCAAAAGCATTCCCCATTTTTCATTATACTTCTCCATCTCATTCATCAGGCTGTACAATATTTTCTCAAATGCCACCACCTTACCCAATTCTAAGACCCATTCCTGAAATAATGGCCTGCAGCATCCTTCCACTTTCTCATTATTATCTGTTTGCCAGTCATGATGCATGTTTGGACCCAGCTAGCTAAGGGTTTTACTATGTGGTTGAGAGCTTTAGGGTTCCCTAGCATGTGGAGTTCAGCTAAAAGTTTATAGTCTGTCCCCTCTCTCTCTGAAATATATTTATGGATCCTGGATCTTTGGGCATGGCCACAATGCATGAACTAAGTCCCCTAACAAGCCGTTAGGTACCTCCAAAATAGATTATTGGACAGACTGAACTGCTCAACCAGGTTGCCAAAGGACTTAACTGTGCCTCCTTCATACATATGACTCGGAGTAAGAAGTCCTTTATTCGCCCACTCTTTTCAAGTTACTGAGGATTTGCCACTTAAGAGTTTAGGATTGTCCCAAATCCCGGAGGACATAGTTATATATGGGTTTATCTTTGAAATACAGGCTAATTTTCTCCAGATCTCATGTATTTGTGATATGATGGAATGAGATCGAACATTCCAATTTTTTTGTTTTGTTGCAAAACTACATCAAATTGTTGAAAGTACTCTGTGGGTATATCCAGGAGAAGGGATTGAAGAATATAAATTGTTGGTGGGCACAGTTCATCTTGAGAACATTAACATTGCCCAACAGAGAGGGATAAAGCTTGGGAATAACTTTATAGTTTGGAGTAATGCAGGGACAGATCTTTCTGGGTGTGGGGTGAAGTTCTGGTTCCATTGCTGCTCGGCCTCTTCTACTTTTCTCTCAAGAACTGCCATATCCATTGCTAATATTGTTTTCTTCTGCAGAACTAAAGAGGGAGGATTTTGTTTTTATATCAGTGCATCACATTCAAATATAAATGTGTACCTTCTTTCAACTGGTTCTCTAATTCTCACAGGATTTCAACACAAATGCAACTTCTGTCTTTTAATATTTGAGTCTATACTTTGAATGGTTGTAACATGTACAATTATGATGCTGGATCACACAAATGATCTGAATATTTTTCGTTTTAGTCTTTTTAAAAATGTCTTAACCTAACCTTGGAAAACATAAACCTTTGTGACTAACAAGACTGATTTTTAATAATAGTTTTTTTTTAATCAGTTGTTTGACTAACAAAAATGATTACGCAATCCCCATAATCGTAATCTCCCATTAACTAAATTCTGCATATTTCCTTATCATAAAAATACAAAACGTCTCCCCTTCCATAGAGTCTCAATTTTATGTCACTGTGCTGTGCCTTGAACAAGTACTCTACTAAATATTCTGCCTTTGGATGCTCTCCTGCTCTGGGATCGATTGCTGCGGTCTGAGCGATGCCGTCAGTTCACAAACATTTGCTTCCAGTTGCTAGAGAAAAGGGACATGTTAGAGGCTGGCAGGACCGTGGAGCTGCATGTCTAGACAGGGGTAACGGCCACCCGCTCAGAGATGGGCAACGACGCCCAAAGAAGACGGAAACGATTCTGAATCGCGCATGTATAAATCCGACTGTGTGTGGTGTGTCCTGACGCTCCCATGCCAGAGTTATCTAATGTTTAAAATGTGGGAGATGGTGGCGTTACCGAGAGCGAGCTCTCCCTTCCTGTCGTCTAGGACAAGATGGCAGCAATGCAGGCGAACTGTGCATGGTATGGATTTATGAGTCCATAACATGTTCAGAGAAGCCCTGGATCATACTTATAGTGACTCTCTGTGAAGGTGAGTGTGGGTCTGACGCCTGTCTGTCGGGCTATCTGTTGATATGAACCTTTGAAATGCTACTTGGAATGTGACGTATTACCAAGTCCCAACTTAGCAATAAACTTGGCTATCGAGGGTTTGGCTGTTTTTTTCCTATATGTATTCTTCTTTACGTATTACGTATTTCTGCCGTGTGGTCAGTCCAGTAACAACTTTAGCTACTCGGACAAAACTAGACCATTTTCGCTGTCCTGTTGAGCAGCAGTGTTGATGACGTTGGTGCTAATTATTAACCCGAGTGAATTGAACACACATCCGTTGTCAGGGGGACCGATTGATGTCTTTTAAAAAATCTTACTTGGGGTATTTGTCTTTACAATATTGAACCATTATGCTTTTTGGTTATCTTAACTCTAATCTGGCTCGAAATTGGCAACAATGACCGTGTTACTTCTCTGTTAAGTTGTGTATCACTGTGTGCCATCACCTGACTGCTTAAGTGACTGTAAAACTGGGGCGATGCCACAGTGGGACTCCGATTCAATGGACAGGTATATTTATATGTTTTATTTTCTTTCATACGTGTGTGTATTCATGTGTGGGCTCATAGCCAATGGGTTTTATCAGATACGATTATTTAGCTCGATGTTAGTACCACAACAAACCAAGCCCGAGTCGATTATTCTCGTCTATAATCAATATAGGCCAGGCATTATGTCCATTTATCGCATTATAAAATCATATTGTGCCATGTCGCCACACCTCAGGCTTGAATGTTATTCATTTAATAGTGTACATGTCCTCTGAAAAAGGGTTCGCGGACCATAGCCACACGCCAGGCAAGTCCTCGATTATTATATAAGAAGAAAATCCAAATGCTGGATTCTAACTCGTCTAAAAATTGCACAATGTTCCTAATAATGCTACATAGTGTTCGCATGTTCATAGAGGAGCGGGTAACGGTAAACAACCGAGGCTAGCTAGGCTTTTCCGAGCCCTCGTCGGGGTTGAAATGTAACTTTGGCTTCCGGTGGGTCGCTGGGCTTGCTGACCAGGCTAAATGCGTTTGCCACGCTGCTTATTTTTCACTCCCATAGTTTAGCTTCACTGCACAGCTCGGAATAGTTCCAGGCGCATATTTAAAATAACGGAGTAGGTCGTTTTCGTCACCCACCAGCTTTAGCCAGTTTAGGAAAGTAAGCGGTGGAAGAACCAAAAGTTGAAATAAATGTTGACCATGCGACGTTTGGCTACATTTATCTCCCAGGGCGTCTGCCACAACCCCACTGTTTTATTTATCATCTTTTTATATGTCTGCAAAATACCTTTGCTATACTTTTTACACACGAGTAAATGTGGACAGTCATAACATTGGTGTTTCCCCTTGTAAAGTGATCAAATTAGAGGAATTCAGCCACAACTCTGTACTTTCCAGCCAGCATGAGTGTGTTTTTCTGTTGTCAGGAACACTTGCTAGTCATCAGTGTTGCTTTGTAGCAGATTTAAAGACTGGTAACCAAATGATGTCATCCTGTGGTATGCAGAACAGAAATGAGCCAGTAAACAAAACAGAATGACCGTCCACGGGAGACCACCATGACAGCCCACGGTGTGTTGGAACTCAGATCATGAAAGTGACTTGTAGAGACTATCTGTTATCTCCACTCGTAAACATCCATTCCAGCTCCCGGTGCACAGTCACTGCCACGCATCCAGCGATCCTATCAGATACCAGGATTTTGATAACAAGTAGACTGCCTGTCCTAAAAAACAAAGAGGTAAAAGGACTGTGTCTGCCTCTGTGTTCATAGCTGGTGGAATGAATGCAGCACTTTGTGTGATGCTATGGTCAGGGCTTTGCTGATCGATTTTAAATGGTTGTTTGTGAGGTAGAATGTCAGTCCGGGACTTGGTGACAGCTAATAATACACGCTGGGAGGATGTTGAAGGCCAATTGTGATGCAAAATACATTAGTGCCTTTTCTTTGCAACTCAAATGATCCAATTTCCCTGCAGCTCGTTAATATATTTACTTCCTATTTATATTTATGCTTTTGCCCAGAGAGTAGACTTAACCATATTTTTATGTCGTTTGAAAGCTATTATTTCAACCTTATGTCTTCATCGTTTGCTTCAAACATTGTGAGGATGTCTGGCTTGTTTTTTAATGGGTTCTTATTCAGAACTTGGTTAATAATGAATAAAATAACTGTTTAGTTTTGATCCATTTAGACTACATATAATAGATCTGCGGTGGTTAAATTGTTCCGTGTGTCTCTAAAAGCCTACAAATCTTATTGATCAGCGAAGACATTTGTAAACAGAATTACTCAACACTAGAAAGTAGGACATTATTGGATCATTGAAGTGCACCATGAAATGTCACCTCTGACCTTTTTGTTTTTTTAGCATGTTTGCTTTTTCTCACAAATGAGTACAATAAGCTTGAAAAGAGCAATCTTTTTTCAGCCTCTGAACAGTAGCTAGTCTTACATGGAGAAAGCTGCTAAATGACAGTCAGAAGTTCACTGCTGAAATAACATGAGATCACATGCTTTCGAAAATAGAGGGCCTTTTATCAAGTAACCATAAAAGATCAAGTTCACAAGACACAGGGAAAGCACCACGGGGTGTATTTGGGCTGAGGGGTTTTGATTCCTGCAGACGGGGTTGGAACATTACTCAAATGGAGTGGGAATAATGACCGTGTGTTATGTACAAACCGTGTTTTGCTGCCTGATCAAAGCAGCAGACGGAATCACTGCAGTACATATTTTTTTTGTTTTCTTCATTAAATGCAGAGCAAAATAACAGAGTGCAAGAAAACACGAGGTCAGGACATCTGAGCTTTGTCAGAAGTGTGAATATCTTGTGTGATGGCAGACATTTAAAGATCAGCTGCCAATGCTAGTGCTCGTTGCCTTTTTGGGATATGGATATGTTATGAAAACTTTGAATGGACATATTTGTTTGTGAGCGACATAAAGTCAGGAAGATTCTTAAATCGTTCCAAGTTTTGTAGCATGAAATGTGGAATATAAATGGAATTTCCCGTTTGGTGCCTTCCTCCCAAAACTGTGTATCCATCTGCTTATCATTGGGAGGTGTTTAAATGTTTGGATTTATGTTTTTTTGTTGAACATTTGACTCTTGAGTATTTCTCCTGGGCCTATGTTGGCTGGAAAAGGCCAGCCTTGGAGTGTAATGCAATGCCCCATCAGCAGCCCCGTGGCCGATCATAGGTATCTATCTTTGGATGTTAATAATAGCAACAGCTGTTAAGAAAAAGCAGTTTATTTCTCTTTTTTGTGTCGGACCTCTCTACCGTCCTCATTTAGGGTCTCAAGTCTTGTGATTTGACAAGTAAATGTGGGTTAGGTTTTGTTTTGAATTGAGATTTAGTGGTGTATTACTGTAAACTGGTAATTAAAATGAGACAGCTAGCAATTAGCATGTCCATGCCACAGCCTGGGATATTGTAGTCTGGTGGTATGTGCTACATTGTTTCTGTGGCAAAGTAGAGTTGAACTTTCTTAAGTTCTTACTTTGTCATTTAACTTTTGTCAGAATTTCTTCTCTTGGCTATTTGAACGCAGTGCATTAAGACTGTATTGTCAAAGGAAAATGTCTGACTATTATATCGACTGTGAGCTGCCACGCAGTTTGATTTATTTATAGATTTCTTCTTTTTCATCTTTTGTCCACTTGGGTGTGTCCATATACCTTTGACCCTTTGGCTGTCCTTTGAAACAACCTGTGGGAATACACACTCAGCCCACAATAATTGTTGTGGATAAACCCAGTGAACCGGGGTCTCGTCGGGCTGGAATTGGTTCCTTTCTCTTCTGGCGGTCTCAGTGAAAAATTCTACTTCTGAACTGCTACTATGAATGTGAAATGATACAGATGTGACACTCTGGTTAGATCTTGACAGTTTCTGTTTCAGTGCAGCATGTGGGGTGCTTTCCACTGGTTTTCCGCTATGTATTTCCAAGAATGCATTGTTGACTAATGATGATTTTAGTGAGGGGAAGAGGAAGGAGAAGTTGAACTGGGGATATCTGTTCTGTGAATGGTGAACTGTAGCACAACAAACCATTTTCCCTAAAACTTAACGTGCTAATGTGAAGACAGATTGATAGTTACAGCTGGTTCTAAAGTTACACAAAGACACAGCAAAGAGTTGTTGAATCATGCAACATTTTCAAAGAAATAAACTTGTGTGTGTGTATATATGAATATATATATAAAAGCCTAAAATAGTGTTTGTGGGTGGACTACTTAAGCCACATATACTCATTATCGTCTGTATTTTCTTTAACCAGAACGCTGAGGGTTCATACTAATTTTCTCTGAGAGCGCTGTGTCACTCATACCTTGCTTCGATACAAGACTCAGAACACAAGTTTCCCGACCATGCGTCTGGCATAGACGCTCTAAAGCAGACAGAAGCACCAACCTTGGTTTAAAAACAGTGGCAGCAGATCCACTTAACCTGTCTGCACGGCAGCTGTTGGCTCACTCTCTGTCTCACTGTGTGGGAAAGAAAAGGAGCCGGTGGCCTTGTGGGTTAGCGAGGGGTCACTGCTTTGGTTGTTATGATGTCAGTGCGCCTTTAAAAGAAAAGAGAATTTCGAGAAGAGAATATGTAACCCCGTAAAGGTTTCCGTTTGAAAGTGTCTGCGTAGTTAACTCTTACAGGAAATGGTTGGTCACAAACTAGGTTGACTTTTTTTCTAGTAATGTTTTGTGATTTCATTGCAGTCTCTGGATAGTTATTCTTTGAAAAAACTTTTAGTTCCACTAAAAGTGGCTTCTGGTTGGGATTTTTTAATCCATAATGTAATATTTTTACAATTTTTTTTTGTAATGTATTATATTAAAAGCTGTTTTATTTTGGGATAATTGGGAACGGACGACAGTTTATAGAAATGAATAATAAGTCTTTTGGTGAGTTGTTATTACTCTGTATTGACAGCCCAACTATTTGTGTCCTAAGGGCATTGAATGCAACACTGATTGGCTGCTCTTATCCATTAAACTGGAACCTGGGTTGTTTTTGGTGTCCCAGTATTCTGTTGTTGGACGGTGTCAAACATATCAAGCAGTTTGTGTTTTTATTTTAAGCTGGCATGAGTATAAGCGCTGGGTGCACATCGTTATTATCATTAAAAGGTAGAAATAGCTCAGGTATTAAAGAGGATAATGTGAACATTATTTAGATAATCAAGCAGATTTTCCCAGACCTTTCCACGTTTGACTTGTGTCTCATCCTGTTGGTTGACACTTTGGTTTAAAAATAGATCGGGCACATATTTTTAGTTTGGCGGAGTGCTAAGCTGCTTCTGGGATGCTTCTGAAAGCTGCTGCTGCCCTTTTTAGGTGGAAATGCAAATGTTGCCCTGAGTGGCCACTATCAACTGGAGTGTGTGTTGGAGCCGGAAGGCGTTGCAGCTGTGTTTGCTGAAAACAAGGTGTTGGCGTATGGAAAATGCTGCTGCCTTAGGTAAAACAGCGTGGCACTTAGAACTAGCTGACTTATAGTCCAAGACCAAACCTTTTGAGTTTCATGTGATAGAAAAAGGAGAATTGTTGTGACACTGATTGGCTCTCAGATTTAATGGCTTGGACATGATTTGACTCATGGCGTCACCTGGCTCAGCTCCGCTTGGGATGATTTGATGAAGGGTTTCTTGCAGTGTGGAAGGCAACGTGAGGTTGATTTGGCTAAGAGCCGCCAAGACAATCGGTGACCTTATCTGGCTGCCTAGAATAGACTCAAAAGGATCGTTCATGGTGCTATTGCTATCTGAAGACAAGTGTGTTCTGCAGCAGGGATATTTATTTTAGGATACTCTTTAGAGTAACTAACAGCCCAAATTTTCTGCCCTCAGGTGTTCCAGATTATGAAAAACATAATAACTAAGACACTGGGAATAGTAATACACTTATTTCGGTCCTGATGACACTAATCAACTTTTTCTTCCTAGCTATTGTTTGGTGATTAAAAACTAAATGGAGCAGCTTCAGTTTCTGTGATTATCCCTTAAATGAAAGTAGGTCAAAATCTTCAGATTTGCACAGAGACGGGGCAGTCTGCCTCAATGTTATATAAAGACAATCCCAGTCTCAGAGATTGGGACATTTTTTCTCCTTCAGAATATTTGAGCAGGAGCAGACGGTGTCCGCGCACGTGAAGCGCCCCGAAGACACAAATATGCAAAAATAATGTTCTGACTAAGTCTTAGGTAATTTGAGACGTGGGCTTGATGATGCTTTGTGATTTTGTTTTGCTGTGTTTGTCTATCGCTCATCCTCTTTGTTGGTTGCCTAGAGACCTGTGGTTGGATGCATGGAAATGGTAGCAGTAGGTCAGACAAACCTTTGGAGAAGTTAGTCATCCGCTGTGTGGAGGTGTTGGTAGGACTGCAGTGGGGAGGGCAGGAAGCTAAAGGTGTTCTGATGCTCCTCTGCGCCATGTTCTGCACATGAGATGTTGCTTTCATCAATAGTTGGTAGCACAAATACTTCAAATTAGCAAGGATTAGTAAACATTTTCTTGTTGTAGGTACAAGAAAGCTCAGCAGATTTGAACCTACAATAAGAGAGGGCTACTGTTGGTCCTCACTCAGTATATTTTCTCTTTTTCATGCTTCTTTTTCATGCTTCTCTTTCTACCCCAAGTTTAATCACTAAGGAAATCAGTCATAAGTATGATCAATCTCAAATACCAGTGAAAAATATATAAAATAGAATCGGTGCCATTGTTTTCGAACATTGTTTTTTACTCCTGGTATTTTGAGCCTACCTTTGAACTTGCGCAAAGACCTGGAAAGACCCTGGGAGGGCCGAGGTGTTGATTCATTGTGACTGATGACGTAAGCAGCATTGTTTTGGTGTGCCTTACAGCACCGAAGCATGCCCAGTTTGAATGTGCTTTGCTCCCCTGGACTTCTTTTCTTTTTTTTCTCCCTTTTTTTTCTTTTTTTTTCAAAATGACATCCTTATGGTATCTGGGCAAAGTGGATTTTTGTGGATCTAATGTCCTGTTGTCTTTTTTGTCTTTCTCTCTCTGTCTCTGTCTCTGCAGGTATGGCCTCACAAGTCTTGGTCTACCCACCACACGTTTATCAAAACCAGACAAGTGCCTTTAGCAGTGTGAAGAAACTCAAAGTTGAGCCCAGCAGCTGTGTGTACCATGAGAGGGCACAGCCGCAGACTTATCTGAACAACAGAACCCTTGGCATCGTGCACCCAACTAAACAAGCCCACTCATTTGTGAACCGCGACTTGGCGGTGGGCCTGAGAGTACGCGCAGGCCAGGAGTACCCCGTGCAGACTGTGGTGGTGCGCGGCGTTCAAAGACAGCAGCCCGGCAAAAGAGGAGCGGGAGCAGGCCCGCTTGTGGCCCAGCAGCGACAGGAGGCAGGGGCCGTCCGCTCACAGGGCAAGGAGAAGCAGCATCAGACGGACACAGCAAGTGGGAGCAGCAGTGGAGCAACAGGAGCAGGGGGAGGGGGACGGGGAGAGGGCTGCAGTGAAGGAGTCGAGGGGGGGGGAGAGGCGGAGGAGGGCACCAGAGAAGAGACCTGTGAAGGTTTGAACTCACCCGACAGCTCCCAGCGATGTGGGCTGAAACGTAAAAGCGAAGAGCTGGATAACCGAGGGAGCACCATGCAGATTGTGGAGGAACTCTCAATGTTGCCCGCCATGTTGCAAACGACGAATGTGGGGAACGCAGCCGTGACGGCGCCGGCGGCTGTAGGGGCCGCGGGGGGCCCCTCCAAACAGGGCGGAGGAGTGGGCGCGGCAGGAGGGGACGGGGACTATCAGGTAGTGCAGCACGAAGTCCTGTGTTCCCTGAAGAACACTTACGAAGTGCTGGATTTCTTGGGACGCGGCACGTTCGGCCAGGTGGTGAAGTGCTGGAAGAGGGGCACGGGTGAGGTGGTGGCGGTGAAGATCCTGAAGAATCACCCTTCGTACGCGCGGCAGGGGCAGATCGAGGTCGGCATCCTCGCTCGCCTGAGCGGGGAGAACGCGGACGAGCACAACCTGGTGCGAGCCTTCGAGTGCTTCCAGCACCGCAGCCACACCTGCCTGGTGTTCGAGATGCTCGAGCAGAACCTGTACGACTTCCTCAAGCAGAACAAGTTCAGCCCGCTCCCCCTGAAGGTGATCAGACCCGTGCTGCAGCAGGTAGCCACAGCGCTGAAGAAGTTGAAGAGCATGGGTCTGATTCACGCAGACCTCAAGCCAGAGAACATAATGCTGGTGGACCCGGTGCGGCAGCCCTACAGAGTGAAGGTGATAGACTTTGGCTCAGCCAGTCACGTGTCCAAAGCAGTGTGTTCCACGTACCTCCAGTCTCGGTACTACAGGTGAGTACAAAGTGGTTCAGGAGGACCTGAGATATGTGGATTTATAAACGAAAAGGGTTTAATTTCAACAGGATTTCAGACTGCCTTTGTACCGTTTAGTTTAAACGTTCTTCCTCTTTCAAAAGAAGGAAATGCCCCCCCATACCGCACCAAATCCTGCATGCCTAGGAACCACCTGCTCAGATGGAAACAGTGTGGCCTTGCCTTGTGGCCGACAAACATCTGGCGTCTCATGCCCCTGCTGCTTGCGTAAAAAGCAAACAGCAATGAGGGATCGCCTTTAGCATGATTGATTAGAGAGAAAAAAACAGTGAATGATAACAGCTAGCTTCCAGCTCAGTTCAGTGGGAGCCTCCTACAGTTTGTTGGTATCACAGGAACCTTGAGCCCTTTTAAACCTTTTAATGATATTTTAAGTACAAAAGTGATTAGATCAGAGGCACTAAGGGTGTCCAGGGTGGGTGGGGTGGGTTGGGTGTATGTGTGTGGGGGGTTAATGAATTATGATGCATGTTCACATAGATAGTTTGTTATTAAAACTTGGCCTCCAAGCCAATGAGAAGGGACTGGAGTCTACGAAGCATATTCAGATCGAGCTGTCAAAGCGTGCAGCATTTCCATGGCATTTAAATAATTTCCATTGCCGCACACAAAAGTGGCGAAGCAGCGGGGAATTCGTACTATCAGTGAAAATGGATGCAAATGGAGCATTTGATGTCTGCCTACATTTGCATTTGTTGTAGATTTTCTCGCTGCATGAAATGAGCAGACAGCGCTGACTTTGATCCACCTCTTTAGCCACAGATGAATATGAGCTGTAGAAAAGTACTTTCCACTTAACATGGAATTATGGATATATATATATTTTTTAATCAAAATTTTTCGCAAAGTTTTCAAAGAAAAAAAAAAAAGCAATTTGTGTTCTGGTCAGCGTGATTTTATTGCTAAATAAAGACCTTCCATACTCTGCTGTGCTATTGTGGAGGAGGAAGTGAGCATTGCAGCTGTTACAGTTTGTCAGCTCCTCTTTTGGTGACCAGCGGTTTCTCTCAAGCGGTCGTGTATTTTGATACAGAACTGACCCTGACTTCAGAATGCTGAATGACAGCAAAGCAATGGGCAAGTGCCCGTGCAAAGGTTAAGTCTAAGTGTTAACTCCTGCAGCTCATGCAGTTGATACTTGCGTGTGTTAAATCCCTCATCAGACTCGGTACATCATAAACGCACTCGATAATCGGCTTTCTTACCAAAGGAAGCAAAACCACGAGAAAGAAATGAGGACATCGGAGAAAGTCTTAATCATTTTTCTTCTCCGGAAGCTGATATGATGTTCTCAGTAGTCAAACCTTTATTAATGTGACTCAGTCACTGTAAACTCGACCTCTGAGTAAGCATCACAAATGTGTCACTTTTTCTGAAATATTGTTCCTTTTTTTAATTCCGGCTGGAGACTGTTAAAATGTTTTCCATTTTCATTTCAGTACAAAAGATGTTGCTGCCGCTTTTACTCAGGAACCATGAAAGAATCACCCTTCATAAGTATATGAAAGTTAAAAATGAATTTTTTAAGAGGTTGTAGCTAATAAGCCATCATTTTTATGGCCTATTAGATTATCAGCCATTTGGTTGTTGCCCTTCTTTGCGATTTCGCGCTTTGCTTGGAAGATTTCTTTGTTTGTTTTTAAATGATCTGACTGGGCCTTCATAGATCAGCAAAATGTGAGTAACTCACCTGTCAGACAGACCACTAAGCTCCATGCTTATTTGGACAGCTTGGTAAATCTTGCCCCATATTTCTCTCAAAATTCTCTGTACTAGTTTAGATGAACTCGTCCATCTCCTCATGGTCAAACTCCATCCCAAATACAAACGTGTGCCTAATATAACATAATATTAAATATAATATTATAATTGTATGTAATATACATTTTATTCACTTTTCAGGGCAAGAGCACTGCTGCCCTCAGTAGCCTGCACCCCCTCACAGAGATAGGAATATGCAAACCATAATGTGAAGGAAGATCGTTGCTGAGGCTGACAGTGGAGGGCTGCTTAAAATAGCTCATGGGACGCTGGCCAGTGTGCTCTGACTTCTATAGATGGTGAAACACATAGGCAGCCAAAACGAAATAAGGACGGCTCCAAACACCAGAGAGCTCTGACTTATTCCTCAAGGTCAACCAGCTTCACGGCGTCAGCTGTTTTGTCATAAACACGTCAATATGCATCATGCATCTTTTGTTTTGTGGACATCACAAAATGTTGTGACACCTCCAATCTATCACCGACCCTCAACTGATATTTCTCCACTGTGAGATCAATAAAGTATATCTTAATCTTTACTTTAATACACACGAGAGCCTGTTGGGCTATTCCGCGATTTACAAACATTTGGCTGGCGGCCACTTGTAATTTGCCACCCAAGTTTGCAGTCAGCTGAGCTGGAAACCTCACAGCTTCACTGTGAGAATGACATCTTACACTATTTCATTAAAAAAAAAAATTCTTTGAAGAAGGGCAATATGTCTAATAATAAACTGATACATTTTCTGTCCAGACAAAGCTGATCAGTCAGGACACCCCTTAGGGGAAAAAAAGGAATTATAGGATCGAAACAGGTCGATTTAAATTAAGATGGAATCGTGTCTAATCCCGATTGCCCGTGGTCGATTAAAGCTCTTAGAATATTTTTGTATTAATATGGAATTCTCCTTGAAAAGTACATCTGTAACCTTTTTTGTTTTCTGGGATTGTGGGTCCAGAGGCATTCTTTGGTAATCATAGGTAATAATTGTTTCCAGGTTTTCCTGCAGATAAAGTCATTTGAACTGGCCAGCATTTCTCTCTTGGAAATGTTTTTGTGGAGCTGTTTTTCCAGCATCTTGTTGTGTATTGATACGTTGTGAGAATCTGGATGCAGCAGATAATGACTTCATGCACCGGGATTGATTTTGGATTGTTAGGTTTCTGACAGTGTTGAGCCGATGACCTGTTTTCTCCTGGTCTTGGCTGCTTCATAATTTCAGCAACAGAAGATTCTGTGGGTTTTGTGCAAATGCTGAACCCATTGTTCAAATAAATACCTTTAAGCCGCCCGATTCATCAGCCGCGGGATCCGTACTGTTTTGTCAACTCTGCAAAACTGAGAGTCTGTTGTGGCACTGTATTTAATATGTGTAAATGTTGGCTGAGTGACCGCCTGATTGCAGGCCTTTTCTGCAGGATTAGTGTTAATAGTAATAACAGTGATGTTGTGCGCCACTGTAACTCAACAGAAAATGCTTGTTTGTAGTCTGCCTGTCGGAGCTGTCAGGTTATCTCTAGACATAATATAGACATAGAAAATGAGCTGCACACAGGAAATTATCAAGCAAAATGAGCATTTGTGTTATTACACCTGAGATGTATACTCAGGCTGAGCTGCTGGCACCTATAAGCCAGGATATTCCATTCTTCCATTCCAGTCTAGAAATCGCTGATATGCTGTTTATTGTGTATTCGGTCATTTTCTAACACTTTGCTCCTTGAAGCAAATGCTATCAATATTAGGTTTTATCACCACTGTACAGATTTTGTACTGGTACTACAGCTGCATAATTATGTAATACAATTACTACATTATACGAATCAGCTTAAAGAAGAAAAATGTGTTTTCAGTAATTCTTCATGCCTAAGCTTTTTCCTAGTTAGCATCCAAGGGATCCAGGCTCTGCTCAGATACCTTGAGATAATATATCTTCAAACAACGTTTGCATCTTTTTTCATTTCTTTGTCTACTACTAAAACTTTTGAAGATGCTTTTTAACCAAAGGGGGGGAGGGAAAAGGCTGTCTTCAGCACTAGCTCCATGATTTTCATCAGTAAAACGTGTCTAAAGCTTTGTATCTATAATCTGAGGTCTGGGCAGCTCAGAGTGCATGCGTATGCTTCCGTCTGTGTTTCACTCAATAATGCAGGATACCCTGAGAGTGTGTAGAATTACAGTTCCCGGAAGAGGGATGCAGTATGGCTCTGCTCTCTTATAGCGTGGAGTAACCATCGAGGCAGGTTTCAGAGACCAGCTGCCTATCTCTCATTTTGACTTAAAGGCACGTGTTGGTACGCAATAGCAATGGCATGAGCAGCGCTCGGCGCAAAGCCCTCCTTATTTGCTTTTCTGTTAGGCCTTTACACTTTGTCCCTCCCTTTGAGGACAGAACAGGGTGGATCACAGGGCTATTTCTGGACTTTGAGGTAATGGCCATGAATAAAGAATAAAGATTAAGTTAATTTATCTTTTCTGCTGATAGCCCTCGTTGCAAACTGTAAAAGTAGTGAAAGTATAGCTTTTTCTCTCCTGATTATGAGTAAAACTGGAATAATAATCAACCCAAAGGTCTACACAACAACCGAGTGCTCCTATTTTGGGAAAGGGGTTTGCCTCATGTCTTACAGCAGAGCTGTAAGCTTGGCTTTACTCGAGTGCAGATCCAGTTCATATAACAGCCCGTTCAGCCATCCGAAGCGAGTGGGGATGCACTGAAAGTCAGCTGTACCCGGTTTATTAATAATGAAGACCTAGAAAAAACGCAGCCGGAAAGGTATTTGTCCATGCCCTGGAATGAAATGGAAAAAGAAGAGCTAACTCACTTTACAGTTTTGGATGTGTTCCTCCAAATCTCTTGAGTCAACAGTTTAGTGGGCACATGGTGTTTGCAGTGGTTATACAAACATAATGTTGCCTTTTTCTTTATTATATTTATGTTGAAGGAGCATGGAGCAGGAAGTAGTGAGATGGATAGTTGGAGGGAAGCAGCGACTTGATGTTTGGGTCTCTTGCTAATGAAAACATTCCATCAATGCTCCAGCTTGTTTGGCTTTCATTTTGTGAGTGTTGTCATGTGTCATACCTGCAGCGTGGGCAGGTGATACTTGGCACAGTGCCAGGGTGCAGGATCTGCTCTTGGTGCTGTACTAATTCCTCAACTCTGGGTTTTGGATTGTTAGAGAGATGGGTCCTTTTTAAACGAAACTCAGTAGCCAGAGTGGGGGTTGTTTGGGCCGCTTAAATGAATTAATCTAAAATTCCAGCATATTTTCTTCTTCAAAAAAAGAAAACTTTCCACCTCTTCAAGGGGATTTATTGTATTTTTTATTTTATTAGATCAGGCGTGTTATAATGATTCAAAATGAAGGAGTCAGCTGTGGACTGAAGAGATTAAAAAAAGACTAAAGGGAGGACAAAATCTGATGACAGCTGCAGAACGTTCTCTGAAGTTTTGCTTATTTTTCTCTACAGTCTGTTTCGCGCAGCTCTTTTGGAACCTTTTTGAGGCTGTGAGGAAAAAAGGGATATTGCAGAGAACTTGTGCCTCCTTCATTGTCATTAATTTACACGTTGTTCAGTCAGCAGACCTGACGTGCTTCCCTCTGTGCTGAGGCTGAGAAAACACACACACAGTCAGCTTTTGTATATTTGCTGTCCTCTGAAGCATCATAATCAGATTGACTGCATTAAATAGACGTTGAAAGCGTGATTATGTTGCACTCATCTGTTATTGCTTTAAGTTACTATAAAGCTCGAGTCAAATTCTCTTACATCACTAAATGATCACTTGGCTCTAGCTGTATTAAACCCGACCGTCCTAATTTTTTAAGACACTGGAGCACCCGCCTATCACCTGGCCATTTTTTTTCTTCTTATGTGCCTTCTTCTGTGGGAGTTAACAGGCTCTGTTATTCTCCTCCCCCTCAATCATTCACTTGGCCCTCAGCTTGTACGTCACATCCTCAGGATGGAAAACGGGTTCCGTTTCAGTGGATGACAGTGGCGCTCTACTTGCGCTGATTAAGACGGGCTGTGCAACCATAGCAACATCCACTTATCCCGTCAAATGGAAGGAGAGAGACTAGCTGTTTCTGTTTATTTCAGTTTGTGATTGTGCTTGTTGCTGTGTTGCTGCGCATCCAGCAGGGAAAAGTAAGAGAAGAAATCATGCAAAGAGAAGAAAAACATCATTATTCAATTTGACTTTGTGTCCAAAAATTAAATGAAGCCTTTGTTGTGGAATGTATTGTAAACTGACCAAGAACAGGTGACCATAAGGAGGGCTGGGGACAATGTATTTATTCCTCAATTTGTCTGGGTTTAGACTACAGTGATTACCAATAAAAACAACATTTTCCCATATCCATCCTTGAGGGAGCAGTGTGCAGAGAGAGCTGTTGGGGCTTGCATACATGCTTTAATCGAATTAATCTATGAATCTACTCAAATCCAGGGGAGCTTTTTTTGATGAGGAGTTTTCAATCAGGACTCAACCAACTCAACAGAGAAGGGCCACATCCATGCGGTCCCCCTGAAGAGCTGGACCTGTGCGATGAAGCTGGCAGTGCTGCTCAGCCCCCCACCCCACCCCAACCCACCTCCCACGCACACAGTACATCCACCTTATGTCACAACAGTTGTGTTGACGTCTTGTCTGGCGTGCGATATTTTAAAAAAAGCCATCATTGGCTGACAACTAGCAACTGCTGTTATATTTACAGAGGCGGGAGTGGTTTTGTGTACAGCGAAGGCCTGTTTTTTATAGACTGTTGGGAAAAATGAATGTGGTCACCCACAGTCAGATGGTAAGCTAACGAGAAAGCACTTTAAAGGGCAGTGTAACTGATGGCTATGGGGCGCTATGTCCCAAATAAGGGTCACTCAGGGGTTTTAAAAAAGAAAAAGAAAAGAAAAGCTTCTGTTTCTTTCATGAAAAAACTTGAAAAGGCTGAATTGTTAAGGAAATGTAGCATCATCAAAGTATCACCCCAGCAGAAGCAGCTGCTGAGGGGTATATTCATCCGGTTGCAAAGCCCCGGAATGTGGCCCGTCATTCCCCTTCTCCTTTAGGGAAAATCCTTTTCTTTATAAATAGGAAATACTTGTGAAGGTGAAATCACTGGCATATCTGCGTGGTGGCTTTTCTGATGTGGCGTTGGCTAATGCACCAACTGCTGCGTGCAGTTGTCGGTATGGGGTGACCAAATTGTCTAAAACTCAGTTTAACAGGGTTCAGGCTTGCCGCCGCTGGCCATACGTCTCAGTCATGTAAGACTCCAAAAGACGTCATGGAAGAATTGCCTGTTTAAAAAAAAAAGTTGACCCTCGAAGCAAAAGATTTCCTCACGAGTAAGCCGAGCTCAGTCGAACAGCAAACATGGTGCGCCATGTGAGTAGGTTGTCATGACACAGGCTCCTCTTTCACTCTATAGATTATTTAAAACCTTTGGATTGTTTCATGCTGGTAAATGCTTTTTTCAGGGCACGGCATGGGTATATGGTGAACGGAAATGAAACGTATCTCCTTGGTTCGAGTTTCCCACTCCCGTGAATTTAGGGTCTTGTTATTTCGGGCAATCAAACGGATGTATTGATGTCGAAAGGAATATCTCAAAATGATCTCGTACATATATGGAGACAGTAAGAAAACAAACAGTGCTGCTCATCTCCTCTTTGGCCTATTGGGGTTGAAACACTTTGCCCAGCCTCATGTTTCGACTTCACTGTGTGAACCAGTTTTCATTCTCCAGTGGAAGCTGTGCTCATCTTTGAAGTGTAACTTATCCTCTGGAGTTAATCCTGGAAATCATAGAATGGGACGTGGTATTTTCCTTTTTAGCTAAATTATGAGTGACAGATTGCCTTTTTGGACAAATAATTAGGTTATGACTTGGAATCAGCTAAATTTGTGAGGAAAATGGTGATTCTGTTTCAAAAGCTCATCCCTCAGTATTTTGGACAGCCCATCTGAGAAGTCAAAAATGTTATCCCAGATGAATTCCTCATGCTGTCATTCACGCCTTTGTTATATGTCCCAAACGCAGAGTTTGTGCCGGTTAGACTGTTTTGTGGGCTCTCTTTCCGGACTCGGCAATCCTGTGACGTGGCACTACAGTGCTGTTCTGAACACTGAGTCGGCAAGTAGGCCAAGTAGTGACTGTGCTTCCTTTCTATCAAGCCAGAAGAGGACACAACAGCCTGTCAAAGCTCTGATCTCAGTCTGACTGACCTGCTAACCCACTGGCAGAGCCTGCTGACGCTTGGCACGCCAACACACGCACAACACTGGCTTACAAGTGACTTGGCTGTGGTACACATGTACCACACAATCCCATCTGAGTGGCCACCATCAGAAATCGAGTGTTTGTCTGCTCAAGACATCGGCGCTACTTAACAGAGCCACCCCAAAAAAACAGAAAAGTGCTGTTGTGATGGGTTGTGGAATTAGCTGAGGGTGGATGAGTTACTGGTACAGAAACAAACAGTGAGGATGTGTTGTTTACAGTAGATGAAAAAGTGCTTTTATATTCTGATCCTTTCCGGTACAATATGGCAAAAAAGTCTAATGTAAAACTGTGTTGAATGTTTTAACTGTAAATGTTCTTATTGTGCCTCCACAGAATAACAATGGTGTGTATTGTCTGTCCCACAGGGCTCCAGAGATTATTCTGGGATTGCCGTTTTGTGAAGCCATAGACATGTGGTCTCTCGGCTGCGTGATAGCAGAACTGTTTCTGGGTTGGCCTCTGTACCCCGGGGCACTGGAGTACGACCAGGTAAAAGCCTCCGAATGAAAACCTCTCTCTCCCTCTCTTTTTCTCTCTTATTTTTTGTTTTTTAGTTGCCATTTGCTCAGTTTGGTGGTTCTTCATCCCTGTCCGCCTCTTATACACATCTCCGAGCTTTCATGTGACTCACCCAGCACCTGCTACTTCCATGTTCACCGTCCATGATTCAGCCTCCTCTCTGCATCACATCAGAGTGGAAACTGTGTTCTTCTGGGCCTTCGTGTTCCTCTGTGTTTTTCCCCCCTCTGAAGCTGAACCCTTTTCTTGTGCCTCTTCTTCTGTCAGTCCTTCCCCTCCCCTTTCCTCATAAGTAATCAATGCATAGCTAAAGCAGCCATCCTCTCCCCCATTTTTCTTTTTCTTCTGCACTTTTCCATTCTACTTTTGTTTTGTTTTTTCCCATCTTTTGGTAGCTCACTGTGGAAGACTCTAAATTTAGTCCTGCATTTAGCTTAATTTTCTTGTGGAGTCAAATGCATAAAGGAACATTCATCAGCACAGTTTAGAGCTGATGATTTCAGGAGAGGACATGAATATAACATCGCCATAATATGTGCTTTTATAGATGTAGAATCTGTGGGAGATCTACTTTTTATCGCCTGAGGATTTTCTTTAATATTATGGATAGAAGAGAGAATGGTTTTCCACCCAGAGAGCGAATAAATGTGTGTCTTCTCACAAATTGAAAGAATGATTGGTAATGTTGGTTCAGCTATTAGGACATAACCAGCTCAGGTGACTAACAGTAAGAAAGACTTAGCACGGAATGAATTGGCTTTACAGTGACATACTGTACCTACTGTTGGTATTTCAGCAGCTGGTATCTGTTACCCTGAGCTGAAGGGTATATTCTTGTGATTGATGGTACGTCTGTTCAGAGCCTTCAGATTCCTCCCCCTCCCAGTGGAGTCCCGACTGTGTCTTCCCCGGACGAGACTGATCTGGACTTAAGCTGAAAGGCTTTCCCCTGCCGCAGAGCCCCATCTCAAAGGCTGCTGCTTCCAACACAGATCCTCTTCCCTCCTATGCAGCACCCTACATTACGGCACACTGCTGCACACTGCACCCTAGCAATGTATTTTTATGCCCTTGCATCATCCCCCGCCCCGCCAAAGCTACCCCACAACCAGAACTCTGACAGCAGGGATAACAGCAGCCCCAAAGAAGATTTGACTCTATCTAGTGCGGCGGCACCAGTCTAAATATGAGTGATCTGCATGTCCCAAAGCTGCTTTAAGGATTCCTGGGGCCTTCTCCATTTTGTATGAGACTGCTTGGAGTGGCTGGAGTGATAAGTCCAGATAGGAGCGGAACAGGGGAAGTGGAAGTTACCATAGGTGGTTGGTGTGAGAGAAAGTGTAACCGACTGGAGGGAAGGACAGGGAGGAATGTCACTGTGCACTGGACAGAAATCAGAACCACCATTTATAAACGGGTGGCAATTTAAAGCCTGCAAAAGGGCTTTGAGCCCTCGGTGCTTTCTGTGATGACTGCCTCCAGTAGGGAGTCTGAATCCCCTTCAGGTGTGTGTGTTTTTCTGCCTGGAACTGCAAAATGAAACTCACCCCACAGGTCTCTCCTTGCCAAGCCCTGACCACGAGCATGAAATAGAGTTGGTTTTGGAACTGAGCAAAAAACAGGCCATTCCACCCGCACAGGAGCAGCTAAAGTTCTTTCAGCTAAATCATTCTGGGGGTCATCTGCTCTCTCAGTCAGTAGCTGCGCTCCATAAAGGAGATTCATGTCGCCACCGTCAGATAAACTATTGGTCTGTGGATAGCTGTCAGGAAGCCTTCAGTGCACCAGCGCCATCTTGTTCTTTTGCAAGTGGAACTTTTGGCTGAGCAGTGGTTTTGTGTGAACTGTGGGGAAGCTACGAGATGATGTCTATAATGGATTCCACTGTAAATGTGATCTCAGTTTTTGAACCTCTGAAGAAAAAGACTGTGTCCAGACGAAAATAGAGAAATTGCAACATGTGCTCAAATATTCATGCTAAAGCAGTAATACCTTGTACATACGCAGACTAAAGACATTCTGAGTGTGTCTTGTGAGCTATTTCTCCTGTGGTGAAGAACTAATAAGGTGCTGCAGCATCACCAAATGTCGATGGAAAGACTGTTGGTTAGGTGCCATTGTTGTTTAGGTTTGCAGCCCCTTCTCATTACACAAAGCTACAGTGCACAGATGGATTTAGAATGATTTTTTTCAAAGCTATTCTGAAAATCAAACGGATTCCAAGTTTTAAACACTTAAAACTTACACTTGGTCTTAGATTAAAGGGGCCAACGCAGAAGAAAAGGTTCACTTTGCAGAACATCCATGTTAGTGTAAACTGATATGGAAATCTGTCCCTGGGTCATGTTTTCCCATAACTGCGATCCGGTATCACTTCTATTTGCACCCACAGGTGTCAGGCCCTGTTGGCTTTTATGCACAGTGCAGATTTATGGCACTTTTGCGCAGGTTTCACTTTTCACATCTAGAGGTTAAGTCCAGCTTTTACGTGCAGCTTTCGCCTCAACCACAGCTTTAAAGAAACCCCATCTTCATGATTTCAGAGCATACCAATTCCCTATACCAATAAAAAAATGTTTGAATATTTCTTCCAACCTTGGCTACTCTCCTTGAGTGTTTGTTCAAACACTTCTTGGTTTTTCCAATTGCTATGCAATGAGTCTGAAAGGTTAAGGAAATGAATAATCATGAGTGAGCTCTTCCTGTAATTAGTTGAGCAGCTGAGTGCTGGCGTGAGGTGTCATCCAGGGGTTACCGCTTGATTTGGCTGGAACTCATTGAGCTGCTGCCAACCATGTTGCCCCTTTTCTACTTATCTTTCTGCATAGGGTCTTGTTCCATCTCACACAGCATATTGTATTTATAACTCTGGCTCCTCCTCCCCTCTGTCACCCTCCTTCCCTTACTTCATCCCCCAGTCACACCATCTTTCACACCAAAAGTACACAAGACTCCTCATCTCTTTGATGTGACAAACCCTGCAGTTCAGGCGGGGGCTCATTATTCTTGGCTATCACATTGGCTAAGGACAGTGAACTCTGTCCTGTATAATTTTGGAAACGGAAGGTTTGTTGTCACCTTTACACCGTGTGCCTTCATTTCTGAGGTAACACAAATGCTGCAATCAGTTAACTTTCTAATCCTTTTTTTAAAACTCTTCCCATCTAAGCTGGTGAATGAGAGAATCTATTAGAGTATGTTGGCATGTCAGTTTGAATAAGAAAAAAAAGAAAAAAGATTTGGGTTAGTGGAGGATAGAAATGTCAAGGTTCCACTATGAAAGCTTGTAGGAGATGATGGCTGCACGACTCTATAATGAGATTTATTTATCCCATGTATTGAAACTTAAGAAGCTTGTTTTTTTTTTGTCTTTTCTAAAATAGTTTTCATAGTACTGACTTTTATCAGAGCTGTCAGTAAATAAAGGTCTGACTGTGCTTCCTGTCTGCTCTGCAGCAGTCCGGGGTTTGTCAGACACCCACAGCCACTTCATAGGATTCATAGCTTTGCACCAGTTCAATGGCTCGTTGGGGAGCTCTCTGCACAATTACTCCTTCCAGGAAACTAAAGAGTTTCGGGTCACAAGAATTTTCCCATCCCACACATCTGTGTGACGTGGTACAGCTGCAGTGTGTTATTGTGGTGAGGGGGGGGGGGGACTTTCAGGGTAATGTTGGCTGAAACCGACACAAACTAAAGATGAGAGGATGCAGAGAGATTGGTTCATTAATCTGCCTGTATTGGGGGAAATTACCGAAGGGGAGCGGCTTCAAAAGCAACGGGGAAATGGACAGCGATGATATGTTGTTTAAGCAGAGGATGATAGGGGATTTCTAATATCCCATCCAAATCTCTGCACAAATGAGATTTCATCTCGCATGCCATCACAACCCAACCCGAGGGAATTCATTGCGATATTCTAACCATTATGACCCTTTATATGCAACCGACTAATATGGCCAACCTGAGCTACCCACACACACAGACGCTGTGCAGCAGCTGGGGGATAAAGACTCATGGGAGCAACATAAGGAATAGTTTCTGCAGCTTAATGTGTGGCGCTGATCTGCCTGCCTTATAGTTATCAAAGAGAGTTTGTATTTCAGCGTTATCTTCATCTCTTCACTGTTAAATATAAATTTGTGTCATGACTTCTTTGTGATCTTCATCCTGCTCTCAGCATGTCTCTGCTTCTTCGCCACGCTGAATCTCTAATGATTGTTTTTCTTAACACTTGGGCGTGATTGACGTCAGCCTGGCTCGGCGGCGCTCTCCTGCGTGTGACATTCTTGCCCCACAGCATCTGAGTGACAAGCGCCGACATCCAGGAAAGCAGTTGACACTGACGATTTTTCGTCTTTTTTTTATTTTATTTATTCGTTCTTTATATCTGCGTTTACACGTAGAAACCCCTGACATCTTTCAGAGATCATCGGCTCAAGCTGCTGGGGTCTCATTTGGGCCCAGGGTTTTCACAGGAACAAGCCATCTTTTACGGTTTTGTCAGCTGTTCCTGTTTTGCTCTTGTCATCTCTGTTGGCGTTGATACTGTGATGCCAAGGTGAATGGGTTGGACAGTTGTCAATAATACTCAAGGATTCAGCAGTGTGGTGTGAGAGAGAGAATGATGGAGGAAAGAAATAAGAAATCCAGGAGACAGGAAAAAAGATACGATCTGTTCATAATGAAAAGAAGCCAGCAGTTTAATGCAACAGAAATGTGTCTCCTAAGCAAATGGCTGCTGCGTTTCCTTTGTTCATTTTGTCTTCCTTCCCCCTCGTTTCCCTGTGTCCAACAGATTCGCTACATTTCCCAGACGCAAGGTTTGCCAGGAGAGCATTTACTCAATGTGGGCACAAAGACGGCAAGATTCTTTTGCAAAGAGACTGACTCGCCTTATGCAGCATGGAGACTAAAGGTGAGGAGTGTTTACAAAGCTCAAAAGTACAGCAATATACCACCACTTGTTTAAAACAACAAATCATTGGCCTTTTGGGATCAGTAAACCTTATCTTATCTTATTTCACCTGAAGGGTAAAACTGAGTTGATTATGTCCAACGTTTAACACACCGTGAATATTTAATTTATTCACCCATACTTTAAAACACAGTGTTGGAGTAGAGTGTGTGTTATCTGGTTCAAAAGGCTGATCAGTCATATTTATCCCACTGAACTGGAGCGGCTCACATGTTATACCAGTATCAGAAAGTGGTGAGCTATCAGTTGTGAGCTATGAGAAAAGGATTCTTTTTGATAACGATTGCACTCTAGGAACATGGACATCTTGAGTTTTGAATGAATCTGTATAACCAATAATCTAATCTAATCTAAAGAGCTCTTACAGTCATAACAGTCAGAGTTCCATGAAGTTATGATGAAGTTTAGCAGCGGAGGCAGTAGATTTTGGCTGTGAAAATCTTTTTTTAAATTTTGTTTTACTTTACCCATTATACATCATTAGGCCTGTTCATAAGATCATGATCTTGTGTGATTATAAAAAGGAATAGAGCAGCTGTTCTACCAAATTCATATCATGTGTCCTTAAAAAAATGCCTTCTCTTCTGCAGTCGACAGATGAGCATGAGACGGAGACGGGAATGAAATCAAAGGAAGCAAGGAAGTACATCTTCAGCTGTTTGGATGACATAGCGCACGTATGTTAAGCTGCTTTGGCCACAGTGTTTTGAACGGGACGTGACAGGAAGTTAAACATCAGATGTTTTGAGGTTGTGTGCTACTAGGTCTAAACCAGAGGAAGCACCCCTTCAGCTGTGTGAAGCCAGTTGTATAGAAATAACATCTGTTATTTCTGTGACATAAAAAAGTAGGGCCTGGGATTGTTTTCTCTAAAGTTAAATGCTTTTAAGAACTGATTTCGAATTTGACTCTCCCAAAACATACCTTGGAAATTCCCACTGTGACTCATCTTTAGGTCTGAGGTGGCTGTTGGTTTTCACGTCATGGGGGATTCTTGTGACTTAATGTTTCAGTCCCAGCTTATCATTTACAGGAATTTGGTTTCTTCCAAAATCCCTTTTGATTCATCTTTCTAGATGTATGTTGTAATGTTACATGCTTATCTTGTTTTGCTTTACAAACGCTTTGTGTTTCAGGTGAACTTAATGATGAATCTAGAAGGTAGTGACTTGCTAGCGGAGAAGGCGGACCGCCGGGAGTTTGTGAGCCTGCTGAAGAAGATGTTGCTGATTGACGCAGAAGAGAGAATTGCCCCTGCTGAAGCTCTCATCCACTCCTTTGTGACCATGCAACACCTGCTCGACTTTCCTCACAGCAACCAGTGCGTTCGCTTTGCCTCGCTTTGTCAGACACGCTCTCATTATAACCATCCCACATGATTTAAGCTGTCAATGTCCCCCCTGTGCAGCGTGAAGTCATGTTTCCACATCATGGATGTTTGCTGGACTCGTCCTGGTACTTATGAGGCCTCCAATCGAAACAAAGGTCCTTTCGTTAGACCTGTAACTACAACCGCTACTGCCTCAGCCAACCACCCCTTCAGCAAGATTCCTGCTGTCCATGCTCAGGTAACTTCATTGGGGTGTGTTTGATTTAGGCTGTGCCAGTTCCCCCAGGAAGATTATCTTTTTCCCCCATAAATGAGCTCCAGTTATTCTAAGACCATGGAATTGGTACGTTAAATATCATCTGGAAAAAGGGAAGCGGTGCTGGGTCTTTACATCCGGTTTTGTCTTCTGTTTATTTGTTACCATGAAGACCTCGTTGCCTTGCTTTTATTGCCTTTTTGTATGCCGACCTGCCCACCTTATTGCGTCCTAATACTGCTGTCATGGCAACAAAATCACGTCATGTTTCCGAGGTCATGGCAACAGAGCAAATGAGTGTTGTTGCTGAGGAGGCACCAATCTGAGGAAGAAACCATAAAAGATTGAATGAATATTAATATTTGGATTTGACAAGGGACAGCCAGTTTTCATCACATCTGAACTCGACACAACAGATTGAAATAGATTTTATGACCGTCTACCAGCTTTTTTTTTATGTTTCCACACGCACTGCTCTGTGAGACTGATGTGCTTTAATTTCCACTTACATTTCTGGAGCAGCTGTGAAAAGGGTTAATCTTCTTCGGAAGACTTTACAGGATAGAGAATTGTGCCTGTTTTTGTATTACCAATTTGAAAGGCTGCTTTGTGTTCAACATAATGCGTATGGGGGTTTGGCCACATTCAGGAGCAGTAGCAGAACAATATAGCCCTAGTTCTCGTTATCCATTAAATGTGATTATAACCAGGCACGGGAGCAGTGCGAGTAGCGAAGAAAAGGCACATGCTTTCAAGTGTTTAGCCTCTGGGCTGTCGTAAAGCATAAGGTTGACCTTTTTTGTTTAACTGTTGATCAACCAGTTTGGAAACCCAGGTTTTAACCTTTGCAAGGCTAGATTAACCGGTCATACAAAGAAGGTTATCAATTATATATTTGGTAGTCTATCCATAAGTAGAGAAGACATACTTAACACAAAGGCTGTAAGAGTAGAAGTGGGGTCATTTAAACGTAGCATTTGAACTTTTCCATACACATGTTGATAAGCAAGCAAACAGGTCTTGAATATGTCTCGATTCAGAACCCCTAAACATTAGCTGTGTGTTGTACGTTGGTCAACTTTCTTTTCACTGATAAGAAAACACTATGCTTCTAGTTAACAATTCACCCACTGATGGTGCAACAGGACAGGCTGGGTTCTGTTGTCTGAAAACCAAAGTCCTGTTCACAGAGATGTCGCCATCTACTGGCTGCACTATGCTATTGATTATTGTCATTTCACTGGAAAGATGCAGTCATGAGCTTTTCTCCGCCTTCTCTAGGGGTTAGCCCCATCTGCACCCTCCGTAATGCACCCTGGGATACCACTGCAGACAGGAAGTGGTCAGTTTGGATGCAATGAGTCATTTCAGCAGGCTCTCATTCTGTGTCCCCCAACCATTCAAGGTAAGACATGCGGAACAGATGCTGATATCACTTTTATGTCATTCTTTAATACATGCACTTTCCTGTCCTTGCAGGTATCCCTACCAACTCAGCTAAACCAGCTGGCTACTCTGTTCGCATGGAGGCTTCTGTACCTCTGGTCACCCAGGCACCCTCTATTCAGCCCATACAAATTAGACCTGGAGTCATCACACAGGTAAGGAGTAAACGGTGACAGCAGAGCAGCAGGGCAGCAGGGCCATGCGATTAGTCAAATGCTTGGATAAATGCATTTGAAATAGTGACAAAAGCTGCATACTAAGTCTCTGATGTGCATTGATGAAGGTCTGAGTTGATCTTTTTTGTTTGGTCTGATGGAAGTATCTTTTAACTGAAGCAACTGCTTTACTTGTGTGTGCTCCAACAGGCCTGGTCCAGCCGTGCACAGCAGATCTTGATGCCCACTTGGCAACAGGTCACATCTGTGCCTGCACCACCAACCACTCTGTCATCTGACACTGTGACCGGCTCGCAGAGATTGGGTGACTGGGGGTAAGACACTTTTCTATTTTAGGAGATTTAATCTTGTGTATGTCATGAGTCTAATTTTCTGCGTATTTATAGTTCCAATACACACAGTGTAGTTTTATACTTGTTTTTTTAAAATATTTTTATTACCATTATGCGGTACTCTTGTTCTGGAATGGCTTTACTGCTCCAACGCAGCACACTTGCTCTCCTGAATGTTAATGATTCATGAGTCATCTATGGCCTTTGACCAGAGCCGTTATGTGAGAATCGCCGCTAAAAGCTTCTGGCTTGATTTGCAATATTCCGTTTTCTTATTGCAGGAAAGTGCGTGCCCATGGTAACCATTACACCTCCATGATCGCACACCCTCAGCCATTCTTAACCAACCAAATGACCATGTCCACCCACCAGCCAATCAACATAGGCATTGCACATGTGGTGTGGCCGCAGCCAGCTGCCAACAAGAGAACAAAGCCTTGTGTGAACAGGTAGAGCACCTGAGTTTTTTTTTCCCTTTAAGCAGCAAAAACACTTTTGGACACCATGTAATAATTGCTCTATGATTATTATTTTTTTTTCTGTGTAGGGGCAGCAACATCTCCCAAAACACAAACATCCAAAATATAACATGTCAGTCCCCAAAGATGGCCGATACAGCAAAGAATGTGGAAGAGGTAGAGGAGGAGGCAGCCAGATGTCCAGAGGAAGGACGCTCTGTGAGAGAGGAGCAGGCGGCAGTGCAGGTGGAGGAGGATGACGAGAACTGCTGCAAAGTGGAGCCAGACTGCGAGGGGCTCTCAGTCTCACAGGAGCAGCGGCAGGACATGATAATCTCTGACCTGGCCAGCCCGACTGTTAGCGTCATCAGTATCAGCAGCGATGAGGAGGAGAATGGACAAAGGCACGAGTAAGCTCTGGCCGTCTGGCTTGGTTCTTCGACTAGTTCCAATCTGCATCGTGGCGTTGCTTGTTTTAACTGAAATCCTCCTCCTGCTCACAGGTGTAAGGGCAGTGCAGATTGTGAGGCATGCCAGAGCACCGTCAGTATGGAGAGAGTCTGCTCTCTCAGCAGCCCAGACAGCACACTGAGCACCAGCTCCTCAGCCTCAGCCCAGTCCAGCGCCTCACCCTGCAAACACCCCAACAGGTAAGGCCTGGCTCTTTCTGCAGCTGAAAAAAAAAACAGGTTTTTAGCTTGCATACAAAGTGAAATGTTGATGGTTCCTCTTGGTTGGCTACCCCCCAGCAGCATGTCGGATGACGAGCAGGAGAGTGGCTGTGACACGGTGGACAGCTCGCCTGCCTCGCACGCCTCCGGCCACAGCAGCAGCCCCTTCGCAGAGCGCCACTACATCGCTGACAGCAACCAGAACTGTGAGCCCCGTGTCGCGTGCGTCGCCCCGGAGACCGAGCCCAGCAAGCCAACCGTGCGCACCGTCGTGGTGCCGCCGATGAGGGTGCAGAACAACAACAATAACCCTGTTGTCAATGGAACACATGGACACTCAGGTAAAACTGGACATGTTCAGATCTCACATTTAAATTTTACATAGTTGTTCCAAGATTCAATGTTAAAATCTTCTGGATTTTTTTGGTTTTTTTTCATGTGTCCTCTTTGTTATACACCAGGAAGTCACTAGTGAAGCTTTAGAGCGAGATTTGCTCCGTTCTAATCAAAGAGCTTTCCTTTCCTAAAATGACTAATGTCTGAAGTAGACTCGGACGACTAACGAGTGCACCACCGTGTCATGTTAGCTCAAAGTTCCAGTCACCACTGCTGCCGTCTGCTCCACAGGTCATGGAGCAGACAGCACCTGGGATTATGCTGTGTTAGTAGGCCACAGAGGTTCTCACAGGTGATTATGGGTTACCTGCCCTGATACATCTGCTCTGATCTCTGGAGTGGATATTTGCTTGCTGTCAACACTTCTTATGCTGGCTCCAGACTGACTCTGAGAGCCACAGCATCTGTGTGAATGTGCACTTCTTAAAGCAGCATAACACATGCGTAATTACCATAAGACGTTTAATGTCCTGAATGAAATATACGTCCAGAGAAATCTCTGGAGTGACCGGGTTTCTTAAAAAAATATGTATTTAAAAAATATTTCTCTCAGGTGTTAAAGATGGGTTACGCATGATGAATGGTGGGCTTTATAACAGCTGTGGTCAGTGGGACACAGGGCAAAGGCATAAGTTTAAGGACTACCTTTTGAATATTTAAAAAAAAAGTTATACAGACTCATAACCTTTTAAGTTACATGCACCCCCTCCCCAGCCTTTAAACATATGCAACGGGTCCGACATAAAAGGGCACAACTTTCTATTCTAGTGGTAGCATTTTTATTTATAGCGGAGGGTCTGACCCCACGAAAAGCTCCATGAAAAAGCTTGGCTACAAGCCCCTCCCCAAAACATATCTATTTATAACTGCCTAGATTAAAGGATAGACTGCACAATGTTTTGAGGTTGGGAACTGAATCCAACCACAGCTGAAATCTTTGATAAGCCTACAGAGCCTCCTGCCACAAATGTTTCCATTTCTCCTGTTGTACTTGTATTGGATACAGTCTTTTAGCTCAGTTTGGCTTGCTTGTTATTTCCATTCTGGCACCGATGGCAAGACAATCGGTTCCCTGTTTTTACATAGCGCTATCTCTGTGTGCTTCCCTTGTAACTTGCCCTTCTGTCAATTTTAAGAGTCACTGTGCCAGTCCAAAGGGCGAGGCATTCCTGGGCGACAGCATCACCACTCCACTCCGCTCCTCAACAGGCCACAGAAAATCCCCCCTGCATTCCAGCCCCAGCAGCAGCCTATTGGCTTTGGGCAGGTGAGAACTTTCACTAAAGAAAAAAAAAAGCAGGTTAAGATAAAAGCCTTTTACACATTTGATTTAATTTAAAGGCCGTAGAGAATAGTGTGGGGCCATCAATCAGCTCAAATTAACGTTTAATATTTTCCATTGGAAGTATATTTTAACTAGAGGTGTTCAAGTATTTATGTGGACATGGTTGGGTCGTTTTAAGTTGTGGGATTTCCCATTTTGTGGCTTTCACCTGTCCTGCTTCTGTTCCCTTTGAAAATTGAAGCTGGTGAGAAACTGGCAATTTTGATAATACGATTTTCAAAGGGAACAAAGTGGTGGCGACTACTGGCCAAGCTTGATAATAAAGGGCACATTTGAATTGCAAATACTTCCTTTTTGTGTCTGAGATGTTGGCACAATCCCACGTTGGCGCACGGCCGTGCTATGAGTTGCTCGTGTTTTTTTCCTACATTGTTGCCTTCTGTTGGAACAGTGCAGGACAAACCGGTATATTAAATTGCAAGCATATAATGAAGCAGTTTGAACGAAAAGGTGTAGCATAAAACCTCTGAAACAGCAGCATCTATAGGCTGACGATGTTCCTGGATGTTGGTCTTCTCTCCTTCAGGTGCAGCATTTTGGTTCCCACCACCAGGAATGGAACAGCAACTTTGCCCACCGGCGGCCGCAGGCCTACATCCCCCCCACCTTGCACGGGCACACGTTCACCCTCTCCCACAGCAGCCCCAACCACACAGCGGGCCCCCACCCCCACCTCGGAGGCCACCCGCACACCCAGCCCGCCTTACTGTCCTACCCCCCGTCTGGGCCCCTGGTTACAGGGGCCCCTGTGGCCCACCTCCTGGCCTCCCCTGGCGCCTCCCGCCCCGTCCTCCAGCCCACCTACAGCATCTCCCACCCGGCAGGCATCGTGCATCAGGTGGCTGTGGGCATCAACCCCCGGCTGCTGCCCTCGCCCACCTTGCACCCCCAGGGCCAATTCAAACCCCTCTTTCCCCCGCACTCCTACATTGCTTCGCCCGCTTACGGCAGTTTCCCTCTCAGCCCTACCAAAATAAACCAGTACCCGTATATCTGAGCGTGGCTGCTTTGGTACCCTTCATACCACCCGAGGGCTAAGCGGGCAGGGCGAAATCTTTAATACACAAACAACATGGCTTTCATTTCTGAAAACCATGGCACAACCACAGAGAAAGCAAGCTATTTTTTGAATCATGTAGACTTGGGTGTAATTGAACTTCAAGCTTTAAAAAGAAAAAAAGAAGAGTTAAGATGGTGGAGAAGATTAGGCAAAAATTTAGAAGGAAATAATGTATGAATGATTGAATGAAAGAATGAATGAGTAGTAAAATTCACACTTAATGTGTTTTGCACATTTGATATATCTTTGCATTGGATCTTCTACGAATACTCCTCAAGACAGGTAAATAATTGGGGTGTTGTTGAATAGTTAGACTTTGCACCCCCTGATCCCAGCTATTTTTCTATATTGCCTTCTTACATGTGCAAGACACATTCATATTTGTAAAGCCATCCCAGTCTCTAGCTCTAGGTTGACAGATGCACATGTTGTCCACAATGTACGTTGTACTGCGTTTGAAGTATTTGTACCTTTTCGGTGTCCTTTGGTGTTAGCAATGTCAAGTCAATTAATCCGATTTAAATAGGGTTGTTCCTCACGCTGCATGTGGTCTTGCATGAGCAAAAATGTAAACGGAAAGATGCATAGACGTTGCTCTTATTGTTTGTGTCACGAGACTCGCTGCATTGTATAACTGTCCCCAGCCATAGTGCCTTACATATTTGAGGTTGTTAATGTTACTACTTATATATGACTATATACATGAATATTAATGTACTGGACTGCAGCACTTGAAATTCCAATCAGTCGATGCATCCTATGTGTGAGTATATATATGCACATGTGTATATGTCCATGCATAGCCTGCATGGATGTGATATATCGCGGATAGCGGTGCTTACTTTTTGGAGTTGGTGTATTTCAGTGTGTAGTGAGTTACTTCTCTGTTCTCTCAAGAAGAACAGCATGCTTTGCTGTTGCGAATGCCTGCTGTTTCCTTAAAAAAAAAAGTTTTGTTTTCTTTTTTCACTCTCTCAGTTCCTGAGTGAACTAGTGTACAAAGTGCAAGTACTGAGTATTGCTTAATATTTGATAATCACTTTCTATTTAGTGAAACCCTTACTACTAACAGTATTTGTACTGTTTGAACCTGCAATACAATCTAAATAGTCGTCGATTATGTTTTATTTGTTTTTCCGTTTGTTTTTTGCGTGTTTTTTTTTTTCTTTTTCTTTTTTGTCCTCGTATTTTCACTTTGGTTTTAGATGTTTAGAAGTGTGGTAGGCATGGCTTTGGTTAGGTAAGGAAAAAATGCAAATTAATTCACGGTATGGAATCTTCTAAGCCTGAACAAACCATGCAGTATTTGATATACACACATATATGGACGTATATTATAGAGCTAGAATATTTAGTAAAGATGCTTGATAAGGTGTGAGTTAACTGTGTGCAATTCTCTCATTTATGCATGTGTGACATAGTTAACTTTTCCCTTTACATTAATACCATTTGTTAAAGGCTTATCGGTGTCAGTTGCTTATTTTCTACATTCCGTCAGGGAGGATATGTGATACTCACGCGGGTGTGTGAGTACTTTTTTTTATATATATAGATATGTCTAGATATCTATACATATAAATATATGATTTGTTTCAGTCATTTTAATTTTATTACTTGCTTTTTCCCCCTGTTTTTTGAGTCTTCTATTTTCCAATGAAGTCGCTTGTCCAGCACCAAAGACTGTAATTCATTTCTTTGAGCTAGGTAGCTATTCTGTTTGTATCGACCTCAGTTATACTGTAGTTGTAGAATGGGGTTAGACTTTTAAAACAAACAACATTAAAAAAAAAAGTTATATTTGGGGGGAAAAAAAGAAAAAAAAACAGCTGGTGTTTTGTCTAGCTTATTGGGCAATTAACGAGTCGTATCATTTCTTTCTTGAATGTATCATAGATAAGCTGCTATATGATGATTGCCACTTCAATAGCTGTGAAATTAGGTGATTTTTCTCTCTGAGTTTAAACCTAGCGTTTTGTATAGGTCCCTAATTATCTGAAATAGAAGTGGTTTTGATTTTTGTGTTTTGCGTTCATATGTGGAGTGTCACTGTAACTACTGTATTGCTGATGATGAACATTAGTTGCATTTGTTGTTTCTCGGGGTGCGTGTTTTTTGCATCAGTATTTTATCCTTATTAACCTTTTGGGCTCATCACTGCATATAAATGATGTATCGATGTGAGTTAATTTTTGTATGTTTTCATATTGATGTTTTGTATACATCTGGAGCTGTAGCTTGCAGGATTGATTTAACTTTCTCATAACTTTCTCATCGTGCGTATACCGTGTACTACCAGTACTCTTTTTGTGAGGTACAGGAGCACTGTGAGTTGCCAGAAAAAGAGAAAAAAATCATTCTGTCCCTTGGAAAGCATCTGTAACGTTTCCACCAGTCTCTCTCTCTCTCTGACACACACACACACACACACACACATTTGCCACTTAGCACTTACACAGGTAGCGAGGCTCTGAAGCGTTTGGATGATTAGACTGTGCAGTACAGAAATTTAGCCCAATTTTTCGGTTCTAAAACAGCATTTCATAATTTGTTCTTCTGTCAAAATGATTTGAAGTATTTCTTGCAACCTTTTTATCTGTTCAATGTTATGAATGGTTGGAATATCAGTTTAAAAGTTGGGTATTCTAAACTGCCTTGTGTTCGGATCGCTCTCCCCTTTACGAGTGTCTCACATGAAAATGATGCTTTGTCAGTGCAGAGGAATGGCCGTCGTCATGTGTCCTTTATTGAAATGGAGACAGTGTAAGCAGCACTGTGTATGTGCCTTGAGTTTCGAAAAAGTGGGAATTCACATTGTAGGCGGAAAATCCGAGTCTGTGACCACATAGGCGGTGTTTTTTGACGAACACTCGATGGAGGAGGAAGGAAAAATTCAAAATCAGACTTTGTCGCAGTTCCAGAGAATTTGACTAGTGATCAGCCTGTGGTGGAGCTTCCTGTTTTAAAGGGCCACCGCCAAAGCCTCTCTGTAATTACACGCCAATAAAACAGACACCTAGACTTTGAATGATAGGACACACCATGAACTTTGATAGTCACTCTGGCTGAACAGCAGATGCAATACTTTACATTGTGCGGTCATTGTACCACCAAGTGTTCTTAGATAATCTCCATGTTTTACATACGCTTGCATGTACACATGACATCACTCCACTGTGTCTTTTACCGTGCAAGTTAGGACTGAGGACACAGGCCCGTTAACACCCGAGCAGCCACGTTTCAACTCCAAGAATAGTCCGTCTGGAAGTCCATTCTGTCCTCTGGATGAAAAAATGCTCCCTTCAGGAGATTGTTTAGGTTTCTCTGTCAGTCACTAGTGCGTTGCTCCACGCTACGACACAGATGCTGAAATGGCTATGTGTTCTTCAGAGCCTTTTCTTTGCGAGCTGTGCGCTATACCGATCATATTCAAACGCCACAATGGTAAAGAAAGCTTTTGGTGACGAGGCATGAACTTGGCAGATTAGTGCTTGAAGTAGTTGCCCAATAATCCGCATGTGAAATGTAATCTGTGTTTTGACTCCCACAAAGGTATTCACCAGCAATGCGCCTGTGTTAACTCTCCCGTACCTGTTAAGAAAAACAAAAAGAATGGATGCAAAAGGAGAGAAATGTTCGGAACTGTTTTATCATTTTCCACCTGATTGACACCTCTGTTTCTGGATAACCTGTTTTAAAGAATTCATGTAACATTTAACAGATAAAAGATTCGTTTGTAAAAATGAGAGCTCTTGAAGTCTTGACTTTGAAATGGAACTCCTCTGCTGCGGTATTATCCTTTAGAGCTCTTAATTCAGGGTCTGTATTGTTCTAAATGTGCTACTCCGTAATTCTGGGTTTGGGTTGAATTGGGTTTGTTTTTACTCAAGATGTTTCAGTCTCCTGCTCATCTCGATCAATTTCCGAGTTAATTCACACTGCAAGTTATGGAATCGACCGTTTAGATTGCTCATCAATTAGACTTGATTATGAAATCTGAACTGTTACTGTTTTAATAACTGTAGATTTTTTTGTGGCTTTATTTCTGTTTTGTTTTTTTCCATTAGCTTTTTTGTTTTTATTATTATTTCGTGCTACACTAGTTTGCCATGTAGCAATTGCACTGTGCAATATTTACAGTATGAGGACTGGGAAAAACTAACTCTATGGATGTGATGTCTCTACAGTTTGCGATAGTGTTTCCTCTCTAGTTCTCAGTGATTTAGGTGTGACCAAGCCTTCTCTACTTTGTCACATTAAGCGGGTTTTCCAGGTGACTCTTTTGGTGAGTGTCAAATTAAGACTTTATGGTGTATTATTGTTAAGATTCACTTTGAATTAAAAAAAATCTATTGATGCAGCTCCTCCTGACTCGGGACTGTTCTTCCATTGTCGGCTTTCATTTTTCCTGACTTTGAGGCATGAAAAACAATAAATGATTATCCAGTTAATCATCTGAATAATTTAACCGCATCATATGGCAGGAAACCTAAATATTAGGCACATTAGACTGGAATATTTTTCCTACGCATCCAGAGTTAATCTACATCATGTTTGCCATTTATGACCTGCAGCTCAATCCCAAAAAACTAGTTGTTAAATAAAACAACTCGACACTTTTTTGTTAAAATAGGGTGTTTGATGACATTTTCCTTAAAAAAAAAATGTTTTCATGCAAATCTGGTGTCCTTAATCTGTAACTTCAGTCTTGTTTGTGTGCCTGGGCTGACACCCTGTGGTGATGCAGAGCTACAACAACCACCTCTGTGGTGTTTTTAAATATGAACACACAATTTTAGTGAGTGAGGCCATAAAGGGGCACAATAAAGAAAATTATATTTTTGTTGCCTTAACATGGCAGAAGATGGTTGGCTTAAAGTCAGTATCAATAAAACGACATACAAAACAAATCATATAAGATGTGACGTTAGGCATGCTCCTCAGGTTTTGGGGAGATGATTTCATCCGTAAATGGCCCATTACCTCGGCACTCACCTTGTTTTATGATCAGATCATATTTTGTTTGCTCTACTGCTTCTGGCTTTTCGTTGGTCGGCAACATAAAATCCAACAAATCATCATATAATTTACTTATAAACAAACCGGCAACCAATATGTCTTACTGCTTATTTAAGTAAATGTACGATTTGTGACAAGATTGTCAAACTGCAGACCAGGGAAAAGTATACATGTGGAAACACATGTAACCAGATAATATGTAATCACCAGAGAAGTATTTCTGTACCAGCTCTGTGAGCGGTCTCAACTTTCAGGCTTTCACTATAACTGTGTCCTTAATGGGTTTCAACACTACAGATTTCTATTTTATATAAAAAAAAGAGCAGACCCTGAGGTAGAAAGACTCCCAGTGGGTCACTCTGTGCCTCTAAAACAATTCCAGCAAAGGTGGATGATTGAAAAAGAACACTCCCAGCTTCTCTCTGTGTCACGTTGACCACAGCAAACTGTGTCAGCCTGAGACTAAAGGACAGAATATGCCTCCTCCAAAACTTAACCTGAAGAAGCTCTGTGTTTTCTCACATGCGGCCAGCAGAGGGCGTCCTGCAGAATCCTCGGCTTTGACTTTCCTGCACACATTTAACGCGGATATTGGCACAGTTTGAATGGGCTAGAGGCTGATTTAACTGGCCTCTCCGCATATGAGAGCCAAACGCTTCATTTGGGAGCAACCCACCGTCTCTTGCACGGTCGCAAACAGACTGCCTTTTTTTTTTCCCACCTGCAGCACGTCTAAACGAAGCAGTTTTACCGCCAACCGCTGCATGTCAGACCTTTGGCACGGCGTGCGCGCCGCCCTGCGCCACGCAGCGACGATGATGATGATGATGATGGGTGGACCGAGCGCAGCCGAGCGGTGGGGCGCATTTCTTTAATTTTTCTCTCCAGCATCCTGCGTTCCCCAACCCTCCCGGCTCCCCCCCCCCCCCCCCCCCCCCCCCCCCCCCGGGACACGCTGACCACACCGCGGGACGAGCCGTGCATCTCCCCGTTCCCGCACGAGGATCGATCCGATGTATTATTTACGAGCCAAACTTCAGCAACTTGTCCGCTGGATATGGCTCCCGGTCTGAGGAGTGATGGGCGGGCAGCAGGGCACCGGGGAGCGGAGCCCGGAGGATGCTCGCCGCAGAGGACGGACCCCGGAGGAGAGATGGGGAGGCGTTTGAGGTCCGGGCGGCGCGCCGGAGCAGCGGGGATGCGGTCCGTGGCCGTGCTTTTACTTGTTGTCCAGTGCGCCGTGGCCACAGAGGGTAAGGACATCAGCGAGTTATGAGCCTCAGCATCATGACACACATGCCGATTTATTGCATCAACCCCCCCCCACCCCCCATTTGCGCGTAGGCTTGCACCGCGCGCGGCGTTTACCGTGAAGGGAATAAGAACACACTGGGTGGAAAAAGCGGATCTTTTGTTTTTACACAGGCAGCGTTTTGTAATCCGCTGCAGGGTGCATGATTCACAAGGCTGTGCGGATGGGAGCTGTGGCTGAATGAATAGCCTGCTTAATCATTTCTTCTACAGAAAAAAAAACAAAAAAAACTTCTGCTATTCAACTATCTGTGATTCATGCACTGGAAGCTCTTCACATATGCTGACGTGCTGCACACTGAAGGCATCTTAAACGTGGAGGAGAAAAAGTGTGTCTGGCATGATATGGTATTTCTGAGATTGTGTCTTCTGCACCGCTCAGGGGTTTTTCTCCTGTGTGATGTAACTATCTCTCCCTCATACTAATCTTTCCACCTGAGCCCGAAGACAGTCAACTGCTTTGTCTCCGTGATCTGATCAGTCTGCGGCGCACAGGGGCTTCTGCTTCTGCTTCTGCTTCTGCCTCTGCTTCAGCCCAGAGGCTGCTCTCAGCACGAGCCCCTTTCAGCCTCAGCCTTGTCTATCAGTCCAACTTCACTTTGTCGTTGTTGCTCCGTTTGCCATTTCATTTGGGTTGCGTTGCCGTGGCGGGGGTTATTAAACTGTATGACTCTCTGTAATGAGCTATGGGGGGGGTTATTCTGGGAACGCAGTGCAGCCACAGGACAGTCAGTGTCTCGGAGCATCTGGGTCAGCACTAATGACACACATACTGGAGCCCGCTGTGGGTCTGTTTGCAGCTGAGGTAAGGCCGGCCGACTTCTGCCATCGGTGCCGGAGGAAAGTGCTCAGGCCTTCGCGTGTGTGTTCTGATTTGGGCAGCGTCACTTTAAAAGTGTCTGTGTGACCACAGCTGAAAACCTCAGAGGCTCTGTCACCCTCTTCTACAGCATGCAAGCTGGGCTCTCTGCTGATGCACTGCTACAGTAGCTGAGTCTCCTCCTCTTTCTCCTCCTCCCCCTGTTCCTTTCTCTTCCCAACAGTCAGCATCCATTCTTAAACATGAGTGCTTATGCACCTGAGCCACACCGTTATCGGTGATAAAAGCTTATGAATACTTTTTGCTCTTCTCTTGCATCAGATTCAGGGCAGGCGGACATGTGCACTCGGGATGCATGCAATCTTTTGTAGGAATATATCAGTAGTGTGCCAAAGCTAGTCTTCTAACCAGATGTGCTCTCAATTCTAAAGCAAGATGCAGTGTTCTCTTTCAGAAGCGATTGCCAAAAAAAAAAGTTGTGAGGAGATTGAGGGATTCACAGCAAATGGAGTCTAATTTGTTTAATTGATATGTCTGACTATTGTACTGCGGCTTGGTGGCATCCTGCATCCTGGATGAGGGGTCAAATTCCAAAAGAAATGAGTTAGAAATACTCAGCATGCATTATACAAATGCCCTTTAGCTGCGGTCCATTTTGACTACATTTCCAGAAGCAAAACCTTCATAAATCCACAATAAATCATTTTTTGAGCCTCTCCACATTGTAGGAAGACACACTAATACAAAAGCCTTTACATCGGCCCACGTGCACAATCTGTTCTTTTGAATTGATGTTATCCTCACATTTTGGCAAATTCATTTAAAATATCCTCCCTCTGTGGTTCCTAATGAATGTTGATGGATTACCTCGTTTAGTTAGAAAGGAATTCGCTTTATTTGTCTCTTCCTCCATCCTCTTTGCACTGTGCCAGCAATTGTGTGCTCAGCTACTTATTCAGTGGCTGAGCTGCTGCTTCAGTTTTTAAAGTCACTAATCTCTGGCCTCATGCTGCTTTTGCATGTAGGAAATTTTTACCTGGATGATTTCAATCATGCTGGACTGCACTCTCAGGAATAATCAATCTGGAGCCTTCTGTTTAATGGTGGTAAAGGTCTAGCTGTCCAAGATGATAAGATAAGATGATACCTGGAGCTTTCAACATTGAGACCACTTTTTACTTACATTATTTACACTGTGTGAACAAACCCACTTTTACTGAGGCCTTGAAGGGCCTGTGGATTGTGGAATAGTGAAATCCATCAGTTTTTTTTACAAACTGGCCAATCCAGGGGGCTTGGGGCATATTATAGTTGTCACTGGGAGAAAGGTATGCACTAGGAAAAGTCCACACAGAACCAGGATCTGAACAGATAGCAGTGATAACCTCGAACATCACCGTGCATCCCTGACAAAGACCAAATAGTCCATGTTGTATGTGGTTTAAAATGCAGCCTTTCACTGTATTTCATAGACGGGTTAGCTGCTTTTGCAATTGGACTGAACACCGGCACCCATAGCCTTATCAGACATAGCATTATGACCACTAACCTTATCCCGCGCTGGTCTTTTTCCTGCCTCTGAATTAGCCCAAGTATTAAAAAGAGGTGGGGATAGTCACAGTCAAAAATGCACAAAAATAGCAATTAAAAGAAAAGAAATCAGGCTGACCGACTCCCAAAAAATTGAGCAGGACGACCAGTGGAACAGAGCAGCGGCATCAGAAGGAGTTTGACAGCGTGAGAAAATGTAAGAGTGGAAGAGAGTAGTGGAAAAAAACCCTTTGCTTCCTGGAATACGAACAGATTAGTAGAGAGAACTTTCTTTCTAAACTCACAGCTAAAGCTTCATGTAATGACTTTTTCCTGAAAACAGTTTCTGATTAGCTTCAGAACATATAGATTGGATGCCTTTTTTTTCAAATACTTATTCACGTGTAAGAATGACACTCAAACTGCAAGAAATGGAGTTCAGGAAACTATAGCAGAACTCATTTAAACAGAGGTAGAGATCATAGGAAACCTGTGCAACTATACCCTAAGCTTTGATTGGTCCGAGAACTATGGATATTGGAAATGTTTGGAAGTTTAAGGGGTGTTACAGGAGCTGGCCGACTTACCAAGCCGCTTCAACTGAATGGACTTTGTCAGGAAAGTGACGGTCATCCCTGTAGAGGATCTAAAATCATCTGCAAAAAATGGAAGGACAATCA